GCTCGTAAATAGATATCGGTATGTGCATTGACGTCCACACGGTAGCAATATGGTAGCGCCCCACTGCAAATCGAGCCGTATTAGGAAGCGCACGACCGGATCGCGGGCGGCCACGACCGCCGCACATGGGAATATCGATATGTCAGCTTTTTCCGTGGACGACGTCGCCAAGCGAAGGCGAAGTCCCGAAGACGACGGCGACGGCGGCGTCCCCAGTCCAAGAAACGTGTCTTTACATCTTTTCTCTCTCTCTCTCTTTGTTAACCCTCTTTTTTTCCCATTCGTTTTGTCTTTGTCGTCGTCGAACACAACACAACACAAAATCGGTATCCTACCGATTCCGTTTCGAAAAATCCAGATTCAAAGATAAATATTTATACAACGAAAATTTTCTTCGAAGACAGTAACTTTGCGAGTTTATCGTGTGAACGTAGAGGAACGGAAAGCCGCTGAAATTGCCGAAAAGAACGGGAGCGCTCGATAACCATCACCACTGGGGCGGTTATTACGAAATTATTCAGCACGGGACTCTCCGGCCTACGGCGAAGGCAAGTCGCCCCTTTTGTCCTCTCTAACGTATGACTTGGTCTTCCTGACGGGAAATCTTTTTTTAACGTTTTTTATTAACTTCCTGAAAGAACTGACATCGATATATCTGATGTTAGAGGGTCAAATCCACTTCACTTTATCACAAAGAAACTCTTATTATCTATTATTTTTATCAATTTCTTCAAAAATCTCCTTTCCTTTCTTTATATTCGTTCATACTCGTTTATAGTCGTTCGGGGATAGTGATTTTGCTCGGAGTCTCATAATAAACACGGCGAAATTATAGCCGCGATTACCAATTCCAGGGAGTTAGCCCCGAGGGGCGGTCGCCTCCGGCATAAATTTGTAATAACCGGCGTGGCCTTTGTCCACGCGGCAGCGATCTTTATCTGGTCGTGTCTAGATGTCGCGTTGTATTTGCATTTTGGTGGGTCTATTAGCACACCATTGACGAGGATCTGATAGCGGCGAAGAGTTATTGGCTTCCGTGTGGCCGCCGCCGCGGTCTATCCCACCGTGTCTCTCTGTCCCTTCTTCGCTATACCGCCACCTCCATGAATATGGATGTCGACGAAGAGGTCACAAGTCGCAACAACGACGACCATCAAGACTCCAACGTCCATCCTATCCTGACAACAACTTCCTCTTATATTTTTTAAAAGAACAACCAATTTTTTGTAAGATTTATTTAAAAGTTTAATAAATGAAGTATAATTAAAATTGGATCCAAAATTGAAATATTAGTATCCAAAAGAAAATAAAATTAAATGCTATCTATTACCAAACAATGGTCCATAATTACCGTTTGTCCCATCTACCTAAATTTGGTGATTTTTCTTCACGCCCAAAACGTTTCAGCCCCCCATGAGCTTGCAGGGCGAAGCCGAGAGCCCCCTATCGTCAGGGACCGGTCAATGAGCCGATGATTGATCACGACGCATTCCTGAAACGGAGCTAAACACATATCATCACTCTTCGTAGTGTCGGATGATTACCCGAATGTTCTAAAGGTGTTTTACTCTTTTTTATTTTTTTAGCTGAAACAAATCTAAAACACAAATAGTTTTTTATTTTTATTTTTACATGAAAAACACATCTATCTACGAGAGTAACATCTGTCGTAAAAAAAAGAGTGACAATGTTTAACGCAGTGGAAATTTAGTATGGTTGAAGTAGAAAACTTTATCGTTTCTCTGTTAATTCCGCAAAGGGCTCTTCTCAACTCAACTCGGTCCAGCTTCAATTGTCCCAAATTGACCGTCGCCATCCGACGAAATCAAATTAATGAGGTGTGTAATCCACAAGGCATAATGTCTATGGGGTGTTGTCCCGCTGTGGGTACTTTACGTTATTAAATATGTTAATTCAATTAGGCGTAAAAAGAACCGAAAGATCCTTTTCTAGGATTTCATTCTAAATTTACTAACAAATTATGTTATTTTTGGATAGTATTATAAAAAACTCGATTATTATTGCCTTTTGGAAATTTTTATGTTAATTTCTGAAGTATGACCAGTAAAATTTCTGACATTTTCTGGCAGTTTAGAGTTTTGGTATTGCAATTCCAGACTGTTTCTTTCAACTTACAATTAGAACAGTGCATTTCAAACTTTTTCTCCAAATCTAGAGCATAACCAGTACACTATCAGTCAGTTTCTTGTAGTTTAACATTTGCCTAGTGTAATGGCAGACATTTTCTTCCAGTTTGGCGTATTGCCATTGCAAGTTCAACCATTTCAAAATATATATAAAATATATAATATGAATGCATCAAGAATGAGTACATAGAAATATAATATTGTTTAAATTTGTTATGTTTTACTTAAGTACCTGATTTTGATATTGTTTTGAATGACCTGAGTTTAGGAATTCGAAATATTGGACTTTTGCTAATCGTTTTTCTGCCGTTTTCTTTTTTTGTTTAATTTTATAATGGATTTCAAAGTGCCACAGGTGTCCCGTAGATGTAGATTTATGATTAGCCCGTTTTAGTTTTTTGGGATGTGCTGGGGCATGAAGAGGCCTATCACGCCCACAACAAGGGATCACTACCTGAAAAATTTCTTCCTGACATGTGTCGACTGGAAAGTTTATTTTATTTCAACTCGCCATTCTCGCGCTCTCCTCTTCCTTTTCTTTAAAGAACACTTCTTCTGTTCTCGGGACTACTTTTGAACGAACAGGTTCGATATGAGTTATAGTTTTTTGGGGGCTTCGACTCTCGTCCGGGACGATTTCATTAAGTGTTTTATGGCGTTTAGCTTTTTCTAGACGTCTCAGAGTATAGTTATTAAAAATTTAATTAAAGGTAAATATATCAAAGTGCTGCGGGTAATTTATGACCTAATGGATGTCTCAGGCGCGAGCTTCGTTGATTTATGTCGCCGATTCCATTAACATTTATTTCTGTCCCGTGTCTTTATAGACTTACGATTATTTGCAACACGTGCATCTTTGATTTCAAATATTTCCATTATTTGTTTTTTATTTCCCCTAAAAAAAGAGTTTTATTTAAGTTATTTTTTTTTAATTCTTATTTAACCCCCATGCTGAGCTACATAATTGTTCACTACCCCTTGGGGAGGAGAACTTGAAAAACTTGAAGAACTTTCCAACAGGTGTAATTGATTATTATGAAAAATTAACTTTTTAAAGTTATAATCCATAACAATAGCAACCATAAACACTTTAGTTTTATCGCCTGGTTAGATCGTTGTTATCTAACACAGATGTCATATTCAGGTGGAGGTCATTCCCGGAAGGACGAAACAAGGACAGGTCCTGGCTCAGTTCCAAGGATTGTACAACACCCTCGATGACATGTTGGCAGTAACAATAGATCTTCGAAGCGCGTGTACAAAAGTGTCTAATTAATTGCCTGGAGGTAATCTAACACTCGACTCGTGTAGCTACTGCACGTTTCTCGTCTACTCGGTATCTCGTGGTGACAATCTCAGGTAATAAAGAATCCCGGGTAGAAAAGACAGGATGTCTACAGGACTTCGAAGGAATCTTAAATGGACACAGAAATGTAACAAGAATTATCAGTATCAAAGGGAAACATCAACATTTTGATGAATGGGATTCTAAAGTCATCGAGTTTCCCTCCGACGGATAAACTTCCGGAGCAAAGTCATCGGAGATAAGTTTTCTAAAGTCATCTTCCGGTTTTTTCGGTATTATAACATGGGGAGAAACGACAATAAAAAACTCTGTACTCATGGGTCATTTAACGTTGAAAATGAGAAGGTGTAGGGGGTTGAAACTTATTTATTCCACCAACAAAAAAAAATAGTAAGGACAAGAAGTTGAAAGGACACGTGTAAATCGACGTTTCAACGAAATCTACAACAAAATCTCTAGGTTTAAAGTTGACTGGTGACAGTAGATGGCATAGATAGGAAAATAAATAAGGGATGTGGATGTCGACTTTCGACCCACCTTTTTGTTTCGGGTTTTCTTATCGGATCAACTTTTGCGATTTGTCACACTTCTTGCTCCCCAAACGTTATCCGGGGACTCGATCGAAATTCCGCCAACAAAAAAAAAGAACATGTAGTACTACCACGTGTTCCAACAACTACCCCCGAAAAGGACACGAAAACTAGATTGTAATCGGTTTTGTAACGTGTAGAAACTGTGGTTTTAAAAAATGACACCTGACATTCTGAGAAAAGGTTATCGGTATCCTGAATTAGATAAAACTATTATATACACTAAAATTTTTTGAAATATCTGAAATTAAAATATTAAAAGGAACTAAAAATATCACCTAAAAATTATTACTAGTTATAAAGTTATCATCTTAAAAAAAAAATAAAGTTATTTAAAAAAAAAAATTTAAGGTGACATCTTTTAAGCAATCGATGAACTAATCTGTAAGTATTAGAACACATACAAACCTTTAGAGAGCCATCTCCTTTTCAATTAATGAATTAAAACCTTTAAATGACATAGTTTTGTTGAAAAGATTATTTCACTCACTCAATGGATTATGTGGGATGTGGAAGATTGAAGGAATGCGACAAATTTTGAACTGATTTTTGTCTTGTCAGCTGAACTTAATTACTTTTTGCCATCACCAACTTGTTCTGGGATTTTTTCTGAAATTTCTCTCAATTTTTACAACTGTAGCCCTCAGCAACTTCTCATTCTTATTAGTTCGGTATTTTTTATTCATAATGTAGATAAATCTCTGACGAGGACTTTACTATTACTTATCTTACTTTCCAAATTGATCGATTTAGAACACAAGCTCACAACACTCATTAAATGTTTCTGTATTAGTGTTAAAGGAATTTCTCTGTCTATTCTTAAATGGATAAGGACTTGGAAAAAATCTGGAACAATAAATTTAATATTAAATTAAGTAAAAAGGAATATTTGCATAAATCAAAGGATATAAAGAATATTATAAATCAGTGTTTATCAATTTAGTAAATTAATAACACTTTTAAGCTAACCAAGAAAAATATTTATTCATTAGCATTTTATAAAATACCATTATAATATTCGTATTACTAAACAATAATAATTAAGTAAACAATACAACCGCTTTTATTTTTAAACAGAAATCCAAAAAGAAAATAATCTGCTAAACCCATTTACGTCTTCTTCCTTTCCAACCCGACACAGTTGAAACAAACACAATCGCTTTCTTCAATCTCTACATATATTTTTTAGAAACTTATTCATCATTTTATTATTATTTTTATGTTAATTAGTACCTCCTTTATTATTATTATTATTTTTTTAAATCCCAGCATCGATTTACTAAACATTAAGAAAGAATATACGGAATTTAGGGGTGTATTTTGAAGCGTACAAGGCATCTGTGGCCGAAAGGGGCGGATTTCTTGGCTTTTTGATTCCTTACGCAATCGGCTTCTCTTCGTGAATAGTTGGACTCGTCGCAACTGAACTCGATCGAGAACGCAAATTATCATCATCTAAACTCTGTTGAGATCCCGAACGAGACACTGTAGTTCCCACTTTCGTCTGCAAATAAAACTAAAATGATGGAAGGAAGTTAATGGGGGAACAAAAACTACCAAATATAAACCATTAGTAACGACGACGATAATTAATTAATCTAAATTTATTTTTTGTGTTAAATTAGTTAAAGAAAGACGATTTAAATTAATTTATTACCTTTACGTTTTCATATGCTGAACCAACTTTTTCTTCAAAAGATTTAAATGATTCTGAATGCCTCATTTGACCTATTTTATTGGTAATGTTCCCGGTAATACCTCCGATTAGCGACGTTGTTTTTTGATATCTAGAAAATAAATAATGTGAAGTTTTTCAAATCAAAATAAAAAATGTTATACGTTTAAAGAAACCGTAGTAACTGCTTTATCGCCGTAAATTAACATTGAAAATACTCCAAACAACATAAGCAGACACATTAATGAGATAAATGAGAACAAATACATACAACATGACATTTAAGACAGATACAAAAAAAAGTATCAAATATAATGTTAACCTATCAAAACGTTATTGATATACAGAGTCGCTGATATGTATGGAAACGGTTATTTCATAAAGTAAGATAACTAATAGAAAATATACAGTCAAAAAGTTATGAAGAAACAAAGTTATGTTTTCTTTAATGGAACACTCTGTATATTATTCCATATTTAGGTTCATCTCAAAATTCTAAACAAAATTCATGTAATAGGTAAATGGGTTTTCATTCATATTGGTATATTATATGTGTTTCAAAAAACCTAAACTTAACTGTTTTCGAGATATTGAACTTTGAAAATCACTCTTATAAATTACATAGAAATATTTTAATCAATATGTTCATAATTCATCAAGTTACCTTTGAAATTTTCTCATCTCCATAGCAACGTAGTGACATAACACATGTCAAAAATACAAAAATAGTTTTAATAATTTGCGCCTAAAGGTAAATTTCGTCACTAATTAGATATATTCGTAAATTTTTAAAAGCTCGATGTTTGAAAAACGATTAAGTTTAAGTCTAAGATGTGCTACATGAATTTTGTTTAGAATTTCGAGATGAACTGAAATATGGAATAATATACAGAGTGTTCCATTAGAGAAAACACAACTTTGTTTCGTCATAACTTTTCAAATGACCCTGTATACTTAATTTGTCTTTATAGACAACCTAAGCCTTGACGTCACAGAGATGGGCGGAGCTTATACTAACTCCAAACAATTTCGTTGCTAACCACAGTTGCTAAGATAAATCGCCAAAAAGTGTCATTTGAAATGTCATCACTTAGTTTATTTTACTTTAACACTAATGGAAAATTGCATATGGTGATTTACCGTTAGCAACGAAAATGTTCGGAGTCAGTATAAGCTCCGCCCATCTCTGTGACGTCAACGCTTAGGTTGTCTATTGCTTGGAGTCAGTATAAGCTCCGCCCACCTCTGTGACGTCAGACTTAGGCAGTCTATTGTAATAGATTTTTTGTAATTCGCGAGAGTAATTAACAGTAACAGATTTTAGTAACATTTTATGGAACCAGTTCAAGTTGGTGACATTGGGTCATTAATTTTTCTAGTTGTCAATGTGACAATGTTTGTCTATGTTTAAATGCGTTCTTAGCATCGAATACAAGGTCCACAATGATGAGGACATTGAACTCTGAGCAATTTCTCTTATTTTGAGAGGTGTACATGAAACATTTTTGTCAGGTGAATACATTTTGTGTTTTGACAGTTTCTAATTGTCAATTCAAATTTCTAATTTCAAGTGTTACGGTGTTACCAACTGCGACATACCTATTTCCCTACATTGTCAAAATTTATTTTATTTTTGAGAAAAAAAAGGATAAAAACGCGAATTACAAACAATAGCATAAAAAACACGTTCCATAAGACTTAAAGCACTCATTCATTAAAAAACTTGTTTTTTGATATACTAAGGAATACTAAAACTTTTGAAACTCTTACTTTAGGAGATAACTGATTGTTTCCATACATATCAGCGACCCTGTATACAATTCTAATAAATATAAATATTTGTGAAATGTTGCATATACAAAACACTAAACCTAGTACTAGAAACATTCGAGTTTAGCCATGCATCTCTTAAGATGGCTAAACCCAAATGATTCTAGTTCTAGGTTTAGTTGTTCTGCAAATATCTGAGCCTATAATGCAAATGGGTTAACATATATGGATTTAATACAAAAAAGTAAATAATAAAATTCAGTTTAGAGTAAGTCCAAATATTAAAATAAACACATTTATAGAAAAAAATTCATTTACATCATCCAGATGTCACATTTTAATTATTTACTTACATTGGAGCATCAGTTACAGCTTTTGTGACTTGACCAACCTTAGTCTCAACAGTTTGGTAACTAGAGGAAACAAACAAAAAGCTAAGAACTCAAAAATTACTAAACAAAAATGTTCAACAACTAATTTTAATTAATTATAATTTCCTAATAAAGCGAAACATTTAAGATTAAAAACTTTTATAACCATGCTTCAAAAAAGGCGAATAAAAAATAACCGTCTTATACTTACACATTGCTTTCTTTGACATTTTTAATACCCTGATTAACATCTTCGGTGAGTTCTTTCCAAACTGTGATGCCTAAATTGCGTTTCAATTCGGCGCTACGTTTCATTTTCATCGATAAAACAGTGCGTAACGTTGCGATATCGTCTTCTATTACAGCCAATTCCGTTCTCCATTCTTCTTCTTGTTTTAATTTTTCTTCGGGTGTTAAATGGGAAAGATCTGCTGGAGGTAAAGATCCATCTCCCATTGCCATAGCTTCTTCTGCAACAATAAAAATACTACTAATATAGGAATTAATGTTGGATGATTCAATTAAATCAATTTTTCATTAATAAATATTTAATTAATACACTTTGATCATAAAGCTGGAAGTATTTATTCATTACTACTTTTTATTATTTATATCCATTAATGTTAATTTAATTCTAATGTCCACATTTTTTTGTTGCTATAATTTAAAGCATTTTAAGATGTTTTTATTACAACTACTTTTGATTAATTTTTTTCAATTTCAATAAAAGCCATCATAAAGCTTTTTATAAATATAACTATAAAATTTATCTTTTAACCTTGTTTATTAAAAAAAATCAAATTTTTTTGAATTAATTGGATGTTTTAGATTTTAGAAAGCTAACTAATACTTTATTTAAAAAAAATTGGAGCATAACATTTAAAAAAAAAATACAAATGCTTACCATTCCCATTACTAATATCTAAATACCTCCTAAAGTTGCTATCTTTAGGTAATTTAACTAGATAAGGTTTTGATAGATCACAGTAAGTTACACGAACTTGCTTTTGTATCCGTTTTCTTCTGAAAAACGCTCGAATAACAGCGTTAGCTCGTTTAACATTAAAAAATTCAGCTTCAACATTTAAAAAGTCATCACCAGCACCGTTATGTAAACTATTACATGGTAATTCATCAAAATCTAATTGGCGCAAATCGAACAGCTCCAATTCGTTGTCTAATTCGGTTTCTTCGTCTAAATCGTCCTCGAGAAATTCGTCTAAACTAGGAGTACTTGTTGCAACTTGAGGATTAAAATATGGATCTTCGAAATAACCAGGAGAATGCTCCTCTTCGTCGGTACTCATTGTTTTTTGTTCTTAATCACAGTTTTATCACATGGTTCATTGTTCGCGATTCAATACGTACTAAATTAAAAATCGTATAAAAAAAGCTGTCTGATCCGCTACCTGAGAATGATTAAAGGAGGACTTTCTCTTCCTTTCGAAAATAGGCAACGTGTAAAGCATAAAAAATATACAAAAAACAACAAAGAAATTGTTTAACAAAAATATAGACACGTCACAAGTAGGTTTAATAACCTTTTTATTTAAATCATTAAAATTGTTGTAATTGCTAAGAAATGTTAATGCGGAACGCAATTAATCGATTTACATGGTAAAATAACGATAACGGGTGCGATTAAAAAAGGCGTATGGCTAGGATTTATAAAAATATAAAAAAGAATCGATCGTACAAACTATTCTTACCAGCAGTTGGACTAATGCTGTTCATTGTTATTCAATAACTTTTCAAGTTCAATTCTAAAGCTGTCGATACAAATGAAGCAAAACTTGAGATTTATTTCACTTTTGACATATAACTTTGACACAACCGGCTATGAAATGTCAATTTAAAGCGACACCTACATATTTTATTGAAATATATATTACATAGATGTCGCTTCACAACTACTTTTAATTATTTAAATGAATTTAATAATAAGATGAAAGAATTTAACATCTAATTATACTGTTTTAATAAATAATTAATTATTGCAATCATATAATAAAAAAAGTTGTTTAAAAATTAAAAAATTTATTTAATTAAAGTTATATTACATCAATAGATGTCGCTTTAAAAGTGAGGTTATAACAACTAAAATGTTTCATTTATCAAAAATTATACCAAAAATATCTTTAATAGAACATTCTGTATCTTTACAAATCGTAAGATATAAAAGAAAACCTATAGGGGCCCCTAAAGCAAAAAGTAAATTATATAAAGTTCCGGAAAAACCACAACTTCCCAAGGATGAACTCGAAGAATTAAGACGAATAAATAACAATTATAAAAATCACATGAAATCAATAAAAAGATTTTTGGTAGCAAACTATGCTAGTAAGGAAAAACTAGATGATACAGATCATAAAAATAAAGTGGCTTACGAAGACTATGAAATTTGTGCTAAAATAAATGACGAATGGAATGCAAAGGTTGGCGTTGAACGAGAAAAATTCTTTGAGGGTCTTTTAAATAAAGATATTGAAGTAGCGAAAAAGAAATTGGAATTTCAACAATTTAAGAAGGTTTTGGATTTAGAGGAGGCGGAGAAAATTGTGAGAGAAGTTAAAGAGGAAGCAAAAGGGTTTATTACCGCTGAAAATATTGATGAGGCTATTGAAAAGGCTTTGTCTAATCCTGTTGATCATAATTTTTCAATTGATTTAGAAGGAAATCGGTTTTACGGTAGAGAAAGTGTACCTGAAATGATTAAAAAATGATTTAAAAAATAATTACAAAATAAAAATTAAAACAATTCTTTTATTTTTTAACTCTAGATGTAAAAATATTAGTAGTCTTCTTAGCAAGTTCAATTTCAGCTTTTAATCGTTGCTTTTTGGCCGCCTTTTCATAAGCTAATCTTTCATGGAGATGAGTCCATTTAAACCCAGATAAATATTTTATGTTCCACATGCAATCGTAAAGTTTTGATTTCTTCCGTGTACTCACTTGGGAATTATTTAAAAGTTGGGCTACTTTTTTCGCCACAGATTTTCGTTCAAACTCAACCCAACCTTCAACAAACTTTTTTGCTGTTTTTCGTTTCTTTGACTTTTTTTCATTTGGAATAGATTCTAAAATTATTAATTTAGAACTATATTTGTTACTTTTTATTGCATCAACATACCTTTATCAGCCAATTCTAAATAAACTCTTCCTATTTTACCCAGCTCCCCAAACGTTTCTCGTATTTTGGTTACATTGTAATAAGGGGGAATACTCGATAAATAAATGATACCACGTTTTGGTTTTTTAATAATTTTCTTTGTACTTGTGGATGGTTCTTGTAAATTTTCTTCAGTTGATGTGGTCATTATGATAAAAAATAGTTTTTTGGAAATATAGCGAACATAACCTCACTTTGTCACATGAACTTCAAATGGATAATGGGGTCATACACGATTTTTTTTTTATTATATTTTCTGAATGTTTATATAAAAATATAGTTGCCGTTATTTTTTTTTTTAATATTTTCGAACAGTCATTGTTAAAAAAATTATTGAAAATTTATATACCCATTTGCGCTTTTAAAATTCCCGCGTTGATGACGTACGATTCTCACTTTTGCGTCCCCTGCTACCCGCTCAAATGCGAGAAAGAGTTGAACGTCATTTAGGTTGTATTGAAAAGAGATAGAGTGTTTGTAGGTTATGTTTATTAAGTTTTGTTCATGGATGTAATAGAGACACTCTATTACATCCATGGTTTTATTTTGACACTGTCACACCGCAAGCGCTATCTAACGGACAATTTAACTTGTTTTAGGCAGTGTGGTTCCTACGTCACAGAAAAGCCGCGAAATTATTTCGTTTGAATATTTGCTATTTTTCACTTCAAATTACGCAAAATATAAAATTGATCAAAATATTTCTTCTACTTTGTGTTCATGCATATACTTGCATATATCGTTCGACATAAAAATTTTCTCTAAATTTAATAAGTGTGTATGACCCCATTGCGCCATCTATTAGTACTTAAATAAGAATTTTATGCAAAATTTGATCAAATTGAAATAGAAAATAAATAAATAAGGAAATAAATAAAAATGAAACGAATAAATCTTTTATTTTTGTACTATTAATTAATAATAATAAAATATTTAAAATGTCAGATGAACCCCAAATGGATAATTGCGCCATCTATTAGTATTTAATTTGATGCAAAATTTGACAAATTGAAATAAATAAATAAGGAAATAAATAAAAAGGAAACGAATAAATCTTTTATTTTTGTACTATTAATTAATAATAATAATAATAAAATATTTAAAATGTCAAAAAATCTTTCACATATTTCATATCACATTCCACGATTGTCTCTGTTAAAATAAATTAATGAAATCAAAGAATAAAAAATCACAATTGATCCCCGTTAACATCTTCTCGTTTACCTTCTTTGACATAAAATTCAACCCACAATGGGCAATGTGGAGAAACAGGCCCTCCCCAGCTCCATCCATTTGGAATTGCTAAATGGGTGAGTCCTTGTCGGACGACGCCCCATAATCCGGTTAAATGAATTTTTGAGCCGCTATTAACGAACATGTTATCGGAATATTTATATTTAAAGTTGGAATAGGTTGTGTTGGCGTGTAGGGGTAAAATCGATTCTAATCGTGTCAAATTCGAGGTGAGATTAGTAAATTGCAACTTGCTGAAGTCGCCCAATAAAAGGAAACAATCGTCGTCGGTTATAATTTCTTCGAGTTTTGGGTTTATGTGTTCTATGGGGAAATTTTCCGGTAATTGCACGTTTAGGACGGTAAAATCGAGCGTATTTATGGTAAATTGAACTAAGGTGCTTTGGTAATTTTCGATTGTTGCATCTTTAATTATTTCTAAACTTACACCTATACCTAAAAAAAGAATTAAAAGATTAATTTATAATAATAAATTTTTATTTTAAGTACTTACCACCACTATTAATATCATATAAAATAGCTGTTTGTTGTCTTTGCATACAAACATTCCATTCGCAACTATTTTGTTTAAATTCAGCAACCCTGCGGAGTTTGGGATTATTTAATTCGTTACAAATTATTTGTAAGGCTTCTATATCCTCGACTTCTTGAAAACAGATTATTGACCAACTAAAAAAAAATTTAATAGTATTAACACTTAAAGCAAAGCTTGTAACCTTCAAATTATACTAAAAAAGAGTAATAATAGCCAATTGAAGGCCTATTTAAACGAATAACTACGTGAGAAAAATAAATCAACGATTTTAACGAGCTGAATTAGTTAAAATTGTTGGGAAAAAAACTTTAAAATAGTTTTAAATTTGGGATAAGTTTTTTTCTAAAAAATTATTAAAGTATGACACGCAGTGTTGCCACCCGAACAAAGTGCGTCTTCAGACGCACGGCTAAATCCGAATATTTCTAGTTCTAAGTTTAGTGTTAGTTCTAGTTTTAGTTTAATAAAAATATACAACAATCTAACTCTGTATAACGATAAAAACTAGAACCGTGCGTTTCTTCCTCTTATTGAGGTTGGAATAATGTTGGCAATAATGATTTTGTTGACAGCACCTCGAAATAATTCAGCTGTGGTTTTCCCAGAATCTCGTATTCTTCTTCTCTTCTCTTTTTCCTTTTATTTTCCCTTGTATTACAGAGAATATCAGAGATATCAACATCTCATGACATGTTCCAGGTATTCTTTGTGGCACTTCCCGGTTCATCATGTGAGATAATTGTAATAATGAAAATTGATTTTCGTGTTCAAGGATTGTTTTTTTTATTTTTTAGTCAAATGTCCAATTTAAACATTTTCCTAATGTGGTAGCACTGGTGACACGTGTACAATTTATTGTATACAATTGAAATCAATTTGGTTTTAAAAATAGCTGGTTACTAAACGATATTTTTTATCTCCGATAATGTTATCGTGTAATAAAAAAAAAACGGAAAACTGCATTTCGAGAGACGGAAAAGCTACAAAATCCGTTTGTCAACAAACCCGATTAGATAGTGTAATCCTCACACTTTACAAAGAATGAATAACTTCCATTTTATTGTTTAATTAACACGAATTAATGATTAACAATTAGTTAATTTTGAAAGATGATACGTAAAGATTAGATAAACGTTTTCCCAAAAGTAATTTGATTTGATTAATGTTATCATAGATTTTTTTATTAAATTCCAGTTAATTTTTTTGTCAATAACAGAATGGAAAATAACAAAGAATCTGCGTTGTAATTTGACTGCGTTAAATAAATCATCAAACAACGTTTTTGACGCTGTTCTAACAATAAAGAATTTTAAATTGCCCACTTGAAAGAAAATAGAATAAAAAACAATGCAATTTGGATTGATCCGTAAATAGAATTCATAGAAAACCCAATACAGAAAGTAGGTTAGAGTACTTATATGATTGTTGTGTAAGTTTTTGTCCAAGTTAGTTTTATCGATTAACCAAGACACGACAATAATTTGAATAAAAAATTAAAGCAAACGATCGATACTTTAAATGATTAAAACATTCGTTTATAAAAGAAATGGTAATAATAATTTTATTAAGTATTTATTTAAAGATAAGATAAATAAAGTTGAAATAATTGTACTAAAAAAAAACGATATGTGTGACAAATTATACAGTACTTGGCAGTTGAAAGTAAACGGAAAATGAATCATGCGGCTGTTAAAAACTATGTTAAATCAATATTGTTTATAAATAAATTAAATGGATGTTTTATAGAAAATGAATTTGATGCCAGACAATTTCGCGGTGTGTGCCAAAAATTCTTTTTTTAGATTTTGTTACACCTGGATGAAATCAAATTCATTCTTTGAATTAATTCTGTGTTTTAATAATACTTTTGTCGCATAAAAACATTCGCATAAATCAACGAGATAACAAAAACGATTTAAAAAGTAAAAAATACTTTTCAACAAATAACATATTCAAAAGTAATTTTTTAATATTCCGTTTTACGATTAAGTTACTCGTCGATTCTTAAAATAAAATTGATTTCAAATGACATAACTTTATTTTATTACGATTTAATGTAAGCTTCATCATTTTATACAAAGTCCACATAAAAAATTGGACCCCAGTCAAAGTATTAACAATTCAAAATGCCAAAAAATAATAATATTTTTAACTTACCCATTTTCTAATATAGTTCTACAAATAACCTTTTTAACACTAAGTAACACATAGTTTAGAACTTCCATGCAATGTGGAGTTTTTTTAGGGAATGACCACCCCTACATTTTTAAATAGAGTTTTACTTTATGTTAAAGGTAATGAAAAAAGAAACACAACCCTATAAACGAAAACCAGATATCTTAATTGTTTCAAAAATGATGAGGGGTTGACTACCAAATGGGAAAATTAAATGTTTTCAACGATTTTTATAACAAATGTTGAAATTGTTGACCTTTTTCGGTCTGGCAATGACCCAAACGCTCATAAATGGAATTTTGAACCATCTGGAGCATATCCCTAGTGATATTGGTGGTTTCTTTAAAAAATAATTTATTGATTCTAGTTTTGTTGCATACACTCTACTTTTCAGAAACCCCCAAAAGAAAAAATCGAATGGTGTTAGATCAGGAGATCGTGGTGGACTCAATTTCACCTTTTCTACCAATCCAACGGTTTGGAAAGGTACGGTTTAAAAAGTCTCGGACTGCGCGACTCAAATGTGGAGGAGCACCATCTTCTTGGAACCACTTATTGTCAATACCATTAGCGCATATGGCACGTACACTTGGAACCACTTGATTTTTTAACAGTTGCAGATATCTGTCTCCGTACAAATTTCCATGAACACAAAATGGACCAATTACATTTTCTCCAATAATACCAGCTCATACATTAATTTTCTGCGGTCTCTGAGTATGATCTTCTTTTATTAAACGTGGATTTTCGTCACTACAATAACGACAATAGGGCCGTTAAGATCAATCGATTGAAAAGACCCTCTTTCAAAAAATCGATCGTTCGAAAATTGTTTAATTTTTGCAATAATTAATGTAAAAGTTTAAAATTCCCCACCCCCGACTCCAGATGACGTTTTAAGTAAGAAGAAAGAAATCACAGACTGATAATGTTTCTTTTGTGAGGGGTTTTCTTCTAGCGCATAAGATTCGTAGCATTGTCTCCCTCCAGGAATTTTATTGATTTTTATACGCTCAAATCTGAGTGACGTACTTTGGAGTTCGCACCCTGTAGTTTCAATCTTTATTATTTTTTTTTTGGAAAAACTAAGCCTCAGAATTAAAAATTAAAAAAGATAGGATCAATCAATTTTAAAAAACTTTCGAATAAGCCAATAAAAAAAATACTTAAAGACCCTATTGTGCCTATTAACCTTACTATTCAAGTAGAAAGTAGCCTCATCAGAGAAAACAACATTCAAAAGAAAATTTCTGTCAAGATCACATTGTTCACAGAATTCCAACCTTTTTTTTAAGTCACCTTCATTAAATTCCTGAACTGGGTGAAACTTACAAGGAAAATAGTTATTTCTTCTTTCTCTTCTGAAGGTTCTTCAATAAAAGACAGTAATATTTCTTCGGTTTTTTCCTGAGTTGATGCAGATTTCGGTCGGAAGATCTTTTACAGTTCCCTTTTCTTGAAATCTTCGAACAGGGCTTTCGGCTGTTGATTTAGAAATCGGTGGTCGTTGATGAAAAAAATCAATAAAGACATGTCGCACTTCATCGTAAGATTTTGTTCTATTCCCAAAGCCACGAGTCATTAAAAGAGTGATTCTTTCTTTTTCGGTCAGTTTTTGCGCCATTTTTGGAGTTAATAAAAGCAAATTTTAGAAAACAAGTTTGTTTTCATCATTCGTAAATTATTCGTGGCTCGACAGAAAACCTCATAATTCTTGAAAGAATAGATTTCGGGTTTTGGTTTATGGGGTTGTGTTTCTTTTTTCATTACCTTTAAAATAAGGTAAAACAGTTGCTATTTAAAAATGTAGGGGTGATCATCCTTTAAAAAAACTTCACATTGCATGGAAGTTCTAAACTATCTAAGAATGTAGTTTTTATGACTACTTAAATTTTCAAATTTTTTTTCTTCACTTATTCAAAACTTATAGCTCCGTCCAGGGAGTTTTGGTAAGCCCTGTATATGGATGAACACGGGAACCGTGTTCAACGCATTCAACGTGTTAAGACCCCAATGATTCTAGTTCTAGTTTCACACTAGCACTATCACTAGAACTAACACAAGACCTAGAACTACAATCATTCGGGTTTCGCCGTCTTAAGAGACGTGCGGCTAAACCCGAATGTTTCTAGTTCTAAGTCTAGTGTTAATTCTAGTTATACACTAACACTATCACTAGAACTAACACAACACCTAGAACTAGAATCATTCGGGTTTAGCCGTCTTAAGAGACGTGCGGCATAAATCTAAATGTATCTAGTTCGAGGTCTAATATTAGTTCTAGTAATAGTGGTAGGTAACGCAAGTTAGCATAAGATATCACTACGTTGCATGTTTTTATTGCAATAAAACTAGAATTAACACTAGACCTAGAACTAGAAACATTCGGGTTTAGCCGCACGTCTCTCAAGACGGCTAAAGCCGAATGGTTTTAGTTTTAGGTCTTGTGTTAGTTTTAGTAAGTTACTAAAACTTACACAGTACTAAAACTAACACAAGACCTAGAACTAGAATTATTCGGGTTTAGCCGTCTTGAGAGACGTGCGGTCTAATATTAATTCTAGTTTTCGTTTAATAAAAATATACAACAATTTAATGCTGAATAACAACTAGAGAGCACAAAAACGATTTAAAAATTAAAAAATACTTTTCAACAAATAACATTTTAAAATAATAAATTTTTTTATTTGAAGTACTCCATTTTACCATTAAATTCAAGGTAATTATAGTTAATTTTTTTTGTATAATACCTGTCAAATTGTTGTAAAGTTGGCAAAATTAACAGGGAGTTTTGTTTTATCATGTTTTGAAATAGATATGTCACAATGACGTTTGAGTTTTGGTTATTCAAAAAGAAAAGGTGCATAAAAAATCTTGTGGGGTGTTTATTTACCTAAAAAAGGTGTTTTGTTCTATTTAATTACTTTGTAGCACGCTTTTACAATAAATATGTACTTTGTTAAAATCGTATTCAAAAATTTATTAGTATTTTAACCTCAACTATTTAGTTACTGAAAATGCTACTAAAAATCAGGAAAACAACATAAATTTTATAAGGGTCCTAGATAATACCAACAGAAACCCTAAAAAATTTATATTGACAAGGATTATAGAAAAAAAACCAACATATACAATTCCTGATTGATTCTTAAAATAAAATTGATTTCAAATAAAAGCTTCATCATTCAATACAAAGTCCACATAAAAAAATTGGTCCCCAGTCAAACTATTAATAATTCAAAACGCCACAAAAAAAAAAATAATATTTTTAACTTACCCATTTTCTAATATAGTTCTACAAATAACTTCTTTAACACCTAAATTTTGTGCCTTTTCCACACAAAATTCGTGTAAATTCCATGTGGCTACACGAAAAACATCTTGGTTGTTCCTTGAATATTTGTATTCTTCAAAAATCGTAGGGCGGGGACTGTACGTTGATAAAAGATCAAAAATATCGTTTATTGATGAATTTAAGAGTCCATTCGACATGTTAAATTTAATCGGTGCGCTACTCGATTTTCGGTGTTTATTTGGGGGAATCGTTCCGTTTAATATTGTCCCATTTGGGATGTTTCCATTAACACCGTTTGTAATAATTTCGCTTGTACTTTTCGAGGGGGTTAATGAGTCGATTGTTAAATAGTGTCTCATGTTGCTTAATCTTAAGAAATCTATACTTTTTACTTTTATTAAATCATCTACCTAAAAAATAATCAATTAAATATGTAATTAAAATGATTTAAATATAATAGGAGTACTTTTTTAAATGGTCCTTTTTTATATCGATAATGTACAATATTCGCAGCCATTTCTTGGGACATTCCAGGTACACATTGTAATTCAAAAACGCTAGCGTTATTTATATCAATAATCCTTTTATTATAACCTCTTGGAGTTAACCGATTTTCCGCACTTAAACTATCATAACTTTGAGCTCGCGAAGACTCACAACTATTATTTATGTTATTTAATTTAACACAAACTTCCGATTTAATATTTTCAAACTTTTCAGCTCCAATCCCTCTCACTAAAGCTAAATCTTCCACTTTTCTAAACCTCCCAATTGCTCTTCTATATTCGACGATATTTTTTGCTATTTCCCTATTAATTCCCGGAAGGGTCATTAATTCCTCCTCCGTGGCCAGATTAATATTAAGCTGGTCCAGTTTTTGATCATCACCGAGGAGTACGAACGTATGACTTATTGGGGCTTTTTGCGAAGAAGATCTTTTTAGAAATGGAGACCTTAGCGAACGTTTTCGTGGGTGTTTTGGTAGACTCGATGTGTGCCCCATAATATATGAAATCACCACTAAAACAGAACATACAGAAAACACTAACAGAAACACCGACCTCAGACAAACGGGATTTGAAACTGAAATTTTATACGAAAGTGAGGAGGACTCGAGAGTCTCTGGTTGACCCTGAATAATCGTTTTTTTGTAGAGGGGGAAATTTATTATTATCTGTGTGTGTATGAGTGAGTTTTGATATGATCTTTGGATTTTGGACGATGTTAATTAGTTTATTGTGAATGGATTTAATTGTTTTAAAAAAGTGGAATATTTTGGTGGGCTATTTATAGGTTATGTATTTTTTTTACTTTTAGTGAAAACAATTTTAATTACAATGTAATAATTAAATGTAAAATTATTAATAATAAGATTTAGCTTATATTAAACGAAGAAATCGCCAAAAAAATAAAAATTAAAAGAGTTTTTAAAAATTTTTGACTTTTACGCTCAGAGACATCTAACGACAGTAGATGAAACTAATCAAATTTATTGTTAACACTTTATGCATAATAATGCAACAAAAAGTGTTATAAAAATAAATTCTATCAACAAAAAGAAAATGTAAATGAATTGAAATGAGGACGAAAAAATATTATTTGGAGAAATAATTAAAATTTTTATTTTTTAAACGCCATCTATTGGCAATAGATTAAACTAATCTTAATTTAAGAATCACTTAATTTGACATTAAAAATTTATTTAAATAATTTATAAATGTCATAAGAAAATAAATAAATAATTGTCAATCAAACATGAATACCTTCAAATCAAATCTCTTAAAAATAACCCCAGAAAAACTCTCCCAAATCAAAAATTTAACCCTCACTCATCAAAAGCAAGCGAAAAAAGTTAAATACAAACCATATTCCCCATTCCAAGGAAAATATAGTCCTGTAGAATGGGTTATTGTACGTCTTGATGATTTAGTAAATTGGGGTCGAAAAAGTTCTCTTTGGCCATGTACTTTTGGTTTGGCTTGTTGTGCTGTTGAAATGATGCATATCGCAGCTCCTCGATACGATATGGATCGTTTTGGTGTGGTTTTTAGGGCTTCCCCGCGTCAAACGGAAGTGATAATCGTCGCTGGAACGGTTACGAATAAAATGGCACCTGCTGTACGGAAAGTTTACGATCAAATGCCTGACCCAAAATGGGTAATTTCAATGGGAAGTTGTTCTAATCATGGGGGATATTATCATTATTCTTATGCGGTTCTTAGAGGAGTTGATAGGATAATTCCGGTTGATTTTTACGTCCCTGGGTGTCCTCCAACTCCCGAAGCTTTGATGTACACCATTTTGTTGCTACAAAAAAAAGTTAAAAGGATGAGATTTATACAATTGTGGTATAGAAAATAATTTTTATTTTGTTGTTTTAACTTTCTATGAATATAATTTTAAAAATAATCAGCATGGTTTAGAAAGAGTGTATTAATCATCTAAGTAAGTGTAGAATGAGATCGAAAAATGTCGAATTGAACAATCTCGGGTGAAAGTTTCAATTTCTTCGTTGAATGTGTAAAGTGCAAGTTTTGGATTTTTTATTTCCTTTTATCATCAAAATGAGGTTTCCAATTTCTCTTAGTAATTTCTCCCTAATACATTTTTTTTTATTGCATGGATTTGAAGTGTAACGCCGGACGACGACGACAGAAAAGAAGGGTCTTCCTCCTCATTCGTTGCCGCTGTTACGGCCACGGTGAGTGCACACACAAAACAGGTGGAAACGTTAACTTGAGTCTTCATTTCCACTCGAACTCTTCAAAGCCAAAGAAGTAAAAGCCACAACACCCAAAAACGTATTAATTTGAAGTGTTTTTCTTTAAAAATTCTTAAACAAATTTTTGTAACAAATTTAAATGTTTGATGTTAAAATTGTAAACAGATATCGCGTGTTTTGAAATCGTTCGTTAGTGTCCGGCGGATCGATAAGGGTCTTCCTTTGGATTTAATACTTTTATTATTTTTTTTAACGGGACGATGAACCTTTATGAAACACTTTGGTGAATAAAATGAAATTTGAGTAGTGAGGAAGTGATCGCATCCGTGAAGTAATTCGCTCCAGTTACTGGGGTAACCTGTATACTGGACGACGACGTGGTAAGTTAACCGAATCAAAAACGATTTGGAAACTTAAAAAAATGTTATTATATTCATAAAAAGCTAGAAACATTGATTTTTATCGTTATATAATTTTATCCTTGTCATTAAATAAAAAGAGGCAGAGTTTGAAACAATGGCGAAATTGATGTTTATCTTAATCTTAAGCACTTGTTTTGCAACAAACATTAATAAGTGTATTTGTAGAAATTTCTCTAAAGTGAGTGAATCCATTAAATTTTTAATAATATCACAAGATTGACTCGAAAATTTTTTTCAAAAATATGTAACTTTCTTATTCCATTGCCAAAGATGAGTTATGTTGTTAAATCATGCACGGGAGGTAATTCTTAAAATAATAAGACATAGGACAATTTAGTAACTCCAATGGTTTCCATTTTATTGCATTTTTTAGTTCTTCTCGTTAACTTTTCCAAAATTAAGCATTTTAGAATGAAATTTTTTACATTTTTAGACACTTATACATTTTTGGTACAATTTCTCGCCTTAAATAACAGATTTTTGAATACTTTTTAACATTTTGGTATTACCTGAGAGTTTTTGACTCTACCGGTAACTTTCCTATTCCATTGCCAAAGATGAATTATGTTATTAAATCATGCGCGAGAGGTAATTCTTAAAATAATAAGACTTAGGACAACGTAGTAACTCCAATGGTTTCCATTTTATTGCATTTTTAGTTCTTCTCGTTTAATTTTCCAAAACTAAGCTTTTTAGAAGGAAAGTTTTTTACATTTTTAGACACTTATACATTTTTGGTACAATTTCTCGCCTTAAATAATAGATTTCTGAATACTTTTTTACATTTTGATATTATCTGAGAGTTTTTGATTCTACTGGCAACTTTCTTATTCCATTGCCAAAGATCAGTTATGTTGTTAAATCATGCACGGGAGGTAATTCTTAAAATAATAAGACATAGGACAATTTAGTAACTCCAATGGTTTCCATTTTATTGCATTTTTTAGTTCTTCTCGTTAACTTTTCCAAAACTAAGCTTTTTAGAATGAAATTTTTTTGCATTTTTAGACACTTATACATTTTTGGTACAATTTCTCGCCTTAAATAACAGATTTTTGAATACTTTTTTACATTTTGATATTATCTGAGAATTTTTGATTCTAGCGGTAACTTTCTTATTCCATTGCCAAAGATGAGTTATGTTGTTAAATCATGCACGGGAGGTAATTCTTAAAATAATAAGACTTAGGACAACGTAGTAGCTCCCATGGTTTCCATTTTATTGCATTTTTTAGTTCTTCTCGTTAACTTTTCCAAAATTAAGCGTTTTAGAATGAAATTTTTTGCATTTTTAAACACTTATACATTTTTGGTACAATTTCTCGCCTTAAATAACAGATTTTTGACATTTTGATATTACCTGAGAGTTTTTGACTCTACCAGTAACTTTCCTATTCCATTACCAAAGATGAGTTATGTTGTTAAATCATGCACGGGAGGTAATTCTTAAAATAATAAGACTTAGGACAACGTAGTAGCTCCCATGGTTTCCATTTTATTGCATTTTTAGTTCTCCCCATTTACTTTTCCAAACCAAGTTTTTTTAGAAGGAAACTTTTTGACACCTACATACATTTTTGGTACAATTTCGCACCCTAAATAATGAATTTTAAATACTTTTTGACATTTTGATATTACTTGACAGTTTATGGCACTTTTTGACTCTGCCTATGACTATGAGGTCTTAGTAAGTCCCCGAAAAGATGGTTTAATACAGAATCAATCATTATAAAACTTAAAAAATAAGTTAATTATTACCATTTTCTCCGTTATCCTTGGCTCGGATAAATCTTAGATTGTCTAAGTCGTTAATGAGCCGATAAATTACCTTTATCTTGACCCATTTGATCATAAACTATGACTCTACAAAAAAAAGAAAAAATTGTATTACAATTATTACACCCACCATGATTCTTTAATCAGTTCTTTTATCAATAAATTAATTTTTATTAATAATTATTGCATAATATTTCTTTAAACATTTCCTTTATAAGATGATAACCATCAAAATTTCATAACAAATTATTTCTAAACGAAAGAAAAATCGTTTTCTTTAAATCTAAAATATTAATAAAGCTAAATTAATCTTGTTAATTAAAGAACATAATAATCAGAGAAAGAAAATTACTTTCTCATTAATGCATTTCCCACAAAACACTTTTATAACTTAATTAAAAGCGTTATAAATAAGATGGAGAAAGTTAAGATAAACAAAGAGATCTCATATTAAAGCGTGAAATTTAAAATCGATCGGAACTAAGCAAACAAAGTTTACAATCGGCTCAAACCAATTATAGCGTTTTTTCTTCGGTATAAAGCGCATCTGGTATCTGTTTGGTTTCATTCCACTTAACAGACCATGGCGAAATTAAAGAGAAAATTGAGAAGTTACAGCAATTTGATGAATCGGTGTTATTTGATGGGAAAACGAAAATTTAATTGAATAAGGAAGGAAATACAAAAGTAGAGCAAGAATAAATTAATCTAAATTTATTGTGGTTTTATTTTTTTTGTTATAGATGTTTCAATATGATGACCACACATTTTATCTTTGGATTTCTCCTTACATTTTTTTTAATTATTCATCCGAGTAATAATCAAGGTAAGTACATCAACTTTTTGACCTTCACCAAGATATATTTACACAAAATTCTGACACCATAAAGTCAAAGGTTGTCGTTCTCAAAACGGATGATGTTCGAAGTCCGTGCTTCCGCCCATTTTCATTCTTTACCTTACCTTCTTTTACCCTTTTACAGGTAAGGTCACTCTCCTTTTAATCGCTCGATGTTATTTATTTGCAGGAATAACAGACAATCGTTGTTACCTTGAAAACGGCGCATCATCCGAAAAATTTACCTTACCAGAAGACTCTTTGGTCGGATCACAAATTAGGTCTGTTCACGTTCACGGAGATCCTCGCCCGAGTCTTGAAGGGGGCAACATCCAACTTTACATTCAAGAACAAGATGGCCCTATTTCGATAATACCAAATTCGAAAAATTTAACTTTAAAGAGTCGCTTAGATAAAGAAGGGGTTGATGGGCCTTCATCCATTTTTATCAATTTAATCTGCGAGCGATTACACACGTTAGATCCAGTTTTTGTAATTCCAGTTAATATTCGTGTCACTGACGTAAACGATAATTTCCCTAAATTCGTTAACGCCCCTTACGAACTTAACATCTCCGAAGTAACCGTTGTTGGAACAAGAGTTCTTCAAGGAGTTTTTGCAACGGACGATGATCAACACGGTCCGTTTTCAAGTATACGATACAGCATCATTCCGAGCACTTACAGCGATTATTTTGACTTTATAAACGAATTAGAAGGAACGTTAGTTTTAAAACAATCGTTGGATTTCGAAAAATTAAAAAAATTTACCGTTAGAATCAAAGCTGAAGATCATGGTCAACCACCAAAAAGCGCCGAAACAACTTTAACAGTTAACGTAATCGACGCTGATGATCAAAATCCAAAGTTTTTAGATGAACGATATTTTGCGCATCTTCAAGATTCCGCATTAAAAGATCAAGTTTTAAATATAAAACCATCCCAATTAAAAGCGATTGATCAAGATGTTGGAATTAACGCCCCGATTTCGTTTACATTTAACGGAATCGGTGGCGATTACAACCTTTTTAAAATCCATTCAGAAAGTGGAATCGTTTCGTTAAAACGCAATTTAAACGGAAGCGATCTTATTCATCCTTCTACTCTAGTTATAAAAGCTGTTCAAAAAGATAACAGCGATCGGTACGCTTTAACAACTTTAACCGTTTCTAGATTGACACCGAAAGGACTTAAGTTTTTAAAACGAACATTTTTTGTTAAAATTTCTGAAACTTTACCGATTGGATCGTTGATAGCAACTTTTATAAATAACCAACCGGGGAAAACATTAAAGTATTACGTTTCCGAACAAGAATTATTGCAAGTTTTTTCTTTAAACGGACGCGGAGAATTGAGTTTGAAGAAAAAATTGGATTATGAAACTAGAAATGAGTATGTCTTTAAGATTTTTGCTACAGATATGATTTCGGTGAGTAAATATTAGATGAATATATTGTGAGTTGTGAAATTAATACTTTTTAGAACGATACCTTCTCGGTGAACATAACCGTTGATGATGTTAACGAATGGGAACCAAGATTTCGTTACAACCACTACGAATTCTTCGTTTCTGGCGACCAAACCGACTTAATCGGGCGAATAGAAGCAGCGGATGGAGATAAAAACGACGCCTTATCTTTCACTTTAATCGGAATTAATTCCTCTATATTCACCATTAATCCCACGGGAGAATTAAAATTAAAAACGATCGGAAACCATTTTGGAATTGCTAGTTTAACCGTTATTGTCACTGATAGCGGAATTCCACCGAAAAAAGCAACCGTTCCAGTCACAGTACATTTTCCATCACCTCCTGATTCGGGGGAGATATTATTAGAAGAAAAAAATAATGGGGGACATTTAATCTTAGCTGGTTTAGGAGGAATATTATTAATTTTGGCTTTTATCGTTATACTTCTTGCTGCTTATATTTGTAGAGCGTAAGTAAAAAGTCTTTGAATATACTTCATCATATATTGTCCTTGAATTAATTTATATCCATAGTGAAAGATTAAAAAGGGGATCTAAAATTTAAAAAATATTATGTTTTATTCTATTTGGACACTTTTAGACGTCATTTAGACATTATTTAGACATTATTTAGACACATTTGGCCTCAGTTGGATACTTTTGGATATCATTTGAACACATTTGGACACTTTTGAACATCATTTGAACACATTTAGACACTGTGATATTCTTCTATCTTCCATTACCAGTCTCTTTCCAGTCATCCTCTCTTCTTACCAGACTTTTTTAGTTTTTGTACAGTCTCTTAAAGTCTCTTTCCTTTTTCCCATCTCTACTTTTTCTCTTTTCAAAATCTATTCACTTTCCTTCTTCTCTTTTCAGTCTCCTTTTTTTCTGCCAAGCATATTTATTCTCTTTTCAGCATCTATGCTCATTACCCAGTCTGTTTATCTCTTTCTAATCTCTATTGATTAACATTTTCTTTTTATGTAAAGTAAAAGAAGATCATCTCGAGAACAACTACCATCTTTATCGATAGAAAAATCACCAAGTTCTAGTTCTACTTCATCTGGAAAAGTAAGCAATCCAATGTTTGGGGATAGAATGAGATCACCAACGGCTACGGCAATGGGGGGAATTCCAAATGAATTGTCGAAATCGCGAATACCAAGTCCGAAAGTGCATCCGGCGCCGCAACCTCCTTCTTGGCCCGGTTCTTCGCTCGCAAATAGAGTTAAAAAGTTAAGCTGGGGTGATGATAAGGTTGCTTTTTTATTTTATTAACAAAATCGATATTTAATAATAATTTTATGGTTTCAGACGGATTCTGATAGCACCGATAACCTGAATAACATCGATGCTACACCGAAGATAACCGAAAATACAAATTTGACGGTATATTTTTAGGTGTATGTTAATTTATATGATTAAATTTTTGTATATAATTTTAAATAAATAATCTTGTAAACGAAAAAATATTTCAATTAATTTATTATTTACCCCAAAATAAACAAAAAGGGTTTCATAACTTGGAATACCCAAACTTTCTTATTATGATAAGTGTGTTAAGAGGTCAACAACTCTCATCCGGATGTAGTGACAGTAAAATGACGAAGAAATGCTTCATGAAAAACCGAAAATTCAATTACATCTAAGAAAATGTGTTAACACTTTCTATAAACGATCTAATCATCCATAAAAACGAAATAAAATTTAAAAAAATTAACCAAATAACGTTAAGAATATAAAAAAAAGTACCCGCACTCAGAATTAAAGAAGAGAGAGTTGAAAATGTTTAGTTGCTTTCGGTTTAGTTCGATTCGAATCTTCGCCAAGTGATCATCGTTTTTATTTTTAATTTTTAACTTTAAAAATGTTTTTAATTTTCGTTTTAATTTCCACAATCCTCCCTCAAATATGTATAACATCGAACGACACAAATGAAATTGTTAACCAAGACGGTATTTGGGGTCCGATTTTAGAAGATTTAGCAACAAAACCGATTAGTTATAGGGAAAAAAGGGTTATGAGGATAATCCCGGTTGGAAACGCTTTCGTACCATCAACACTAACCGATAGAATCTCGGATGGTTCTCCTTCAATTACCATTCAAGATGACAAAGAAAGTAAAATTTCACCCGGGAAAGTTTTAAGTGGAAGTAATCATCCGACTAAATTAAAACCTACTTCAAATTCTGGACGACAAGTTTCCGAAACCGATCTCTATTTACTCGGTGCCATCGAAAAACTTGTTTTTAGAATGGATTTTATGGAGAAACGATTAAGAAAACTTGAACAAATGTTGTATTATGTGATGGCGGGGAGCAGAATTGATAAAGGTGATTTCGAAATCATGTATTTTGCATTTTTTTTATTTAATTTTTTTTTTTTTGTAGAACCATGTTTAGAAAATTATACAAGAGTTGGTAGTAGTTGTTATCTATTTCATGCAAACGCTGGGAGGGAAATGGATTGGAAAGCAGCTAGTTCTTATTGCAAAAAACATGGAAGTACATTAGCTGAAATGGAAACTATTGAGGAGAATCAAGATATTGTTGGATTTATTCAATCTACGCCCAATCTAAGAGGTAATAATAATTCCTCCACTTATTAGGAGTAATAACACCCCCCATCAAAATATTCTAGAAAATAAAAAACGTAAAAAAATTAAGTTGGAATGTAGCATTTCCAGTGCAGACGCTTCATGATGTCCATGATCGTCCAGAACATTACTTGCTGACGTTCTGGATGGTCCATCTGCTTCAAATTTGTCTCTAATGCGAGCAATGATCCGTCGCGTTGGTGGCGGTTTTACGAATTCCCTTCTGAATCGTCTTTGCATTTCAATGACATTTTCGGTGTTCCAATAACATTTCAGGACAAACTCCTCTCTTCCAAACTAAGTTCATTTCCTGCCATGCTGTGATTAATTAATTACACCTACAATACAAAAAAGGCAGCATGGTAATGACAGTTAAAGTGTGAGTACATTTTTTTGAGACACCTGTATTCATGAAGAAAAAGAAAAAAGCAATTCAAAATCAAAAAATACAGTTAACTATACAATAAGTACTGTTAAATATCTTCCCTCTGCTGCTGAAATAACAGATATCTAACCTCCTTTTTAAAAGAGCACTCATTTGCGTCAGTCCTTGTTTAAATACAGTTTAAAAAGATTAATTGAACCGAATTTTTTGGTACAAATAGGGAGGACATTTGTATAAAATAATGTGACAAAACATACATAGTGTGCTAGATACATCTTTGGGCCATATTTAGCCAGCCAGACCACTGTAAAATGTGAGATATAAGTTATAACTAAACTAGATATAACTCAATGTCAATCTTGTTTGTTTCAATTTTATTCTTTGATTTTATTGCTCTGATTGATATAAATCTATTTGCAATTTCTTTCCATCTCATTCCTGTTAAATATTTACACAGATTTAACTCTTCCTCTATTTTTTTAAAAGATATAAATCATGTTCTTCTTAATTTGGATCTTCAACTACAACAGGCTTAGTATGGGAAAAGGTTTAATTATTACTGAAGTTGATAGTTATTAGGTATTGTATATGTTAATATTAATTTATACCTAACTGGTGTTAAAAGGTAAGGGATGATGCCTAAAAGTTTAAATATTGCTTTAACAAGTGAGGTTATGTTTTGTAATTAAACTGTCACTTTAAAAATCAAGTCTTTACCACAAATATTTATTAATTTCAGACTTATCTCTCCGTCACAATAAGTAACAATTAATCTTGTGAGGTTGAGATTGACATATTATTTTGTTTAAAGGTAAAGATTTTTGGACTGGAGGTTTAAATCCGGGTTTATTATGGATATGGAGTAACAGTGCTCGACCAGTTTCAACAGCAACCTCTGGCAATAAGAAGAATCCTTCAGCACAAGAAATAATTGGAGATGGAAGGTGTTTGCGTCTCGCTTATGACACGGCATTGAGATCTTATAATTATAAAGGATCAGATTGTTCTGTTCGATATGGATTTATTTGTGAGGTGATAGATAATACCGGAAGTAACGAAATAAGTAGGATCGGAAGGAGCAAAAACATCCTTTTAGATGAACTGTAAAGATTTATTCTTAAAGATAATCATCAATTTGTAATTTAACAATTTAATTAAATAAAGATAACTTTAATGATTAATTCGTAATCCTCCCAATAGATGCCGCCACTAACTGTTAAAATTTCTTATAAATAATTTGCTTTAAAAAAGAATTAACTATAATTTTTTTGTATTAATATTGTTTAGAAATTATTTAATAAAATTTACATTCAATAATTTAACTAATTTACATATAAAAAGTGAGGTTATTTATATAACATCCTGTCGTTTCACATAAAAGAAATTATTACTTCGACGAATTGATCTTAATATAAATTACCATTTTTTTTATACCCATATAATTTTAAATTGACTATAATAATAATAACAATAATTTCAAGTAGTTACGTCAATACTTTTATAACTTTATTAGAATGCGCTCTCGACGTCATCCGTTAGATGTCGCCGAATTCACGGGCGATCTTTTTCAAGGTCTCTTTTAGCTACGTAAAGCACCACGGTAAACGTCACCAAACGTCACATTATTCCTAGTGTTCTGGTTGTTCGCGTGTTCCGTTCTTATACAAGTTTAACGCGACCGTCAATTAAAAAACGTTTTTCAAAAATGTTTATTACGTGTCTCCGTTTCCGAACGAAATATAAATGTGTTTGAGTCGATTTATGTCACGAATTATTTGAAATTCGCCAAAAACTTTTATTTATTGGAGAAACCGTTCGGTGTGGTGATTGAAGAAAAAAAAAGTTGTTTGATTTGAAAGCGTCGGACGCCCACCTTTTTTTATATGGTAGGTTTTTTGCGTTTTGTTACAACCCTCCCCACAAGTAAATAAAATGAAAACGAAAAGAATCGTCCGAAAATCGACCACCAAAACCACTTCTAAAACCATCAAAAAACCAACCGATATCAAACAAAAAGGTACGTGACGAATTGAAGGAGGAGCCGGATTGATCAAAGCTAAAAGCTAAACAGGCATGCATCAGCTTTAAAGCTTTTATTTAGCGTGTGGACAATTTTTACATGCGAAGCACTTAACCCTAATGTTATTTATTTAGAAACAAATTACAATTTAGATGGTGATGTGTGGTGATTTATAGAGAGAAAATATTAACAAAAAGTTGTAGTATCAAGGTTTTTTTTTGTACTCATATTAATAATTAAAAAGTAAAAATGAATTTTTTTTCATTATAATTTGACAGATGTCAAATTATTTTTTTTTTAGGTTATGTCAATTTGATTTTGACCAAAACTTATCGATTTTACTAATTAATATTTGAGAAGATAAATCGACTTTTAGATAGCGTCATCATAACGAAACAATAAATCATATTATCCTTATGCTAATACCATTTATTAATTTATGATTCATTTAATTCATTTTTACCTTTCTTTTTAATATACAGGTGTAGTAAAAATAGGGCAACAATTTGTTTATTATCTGATTTTAATGTATATGTGTTAAATTATAAATCGAACTTAAAATCGGGTAATAAACGAAATGATTAAAAAAAAGTTTTGTATACAGGGTGAATCAAAAAATCTGAAATGAAGTTATAAAGGTGATTAATACTGATTTGGTAATAGAATACAGTGTGTTAATTAATTATCGTACCCGATCATTGCAAGTATGCAACCACTATAACAGTATTTTTTTTATAATACGCGATTTGCCTATTGCAATACCTATACTGTGATATTGGTTGCATACTTGTAGTGATTACGTCGGGTACGATAATTTATTAACACACTGTACATTTTGAAGGGGAATTATATGGTTATAACTTGGAAAGCTTTTCTTGGTCATTTACAGTTTATGAGGAAAATATTTATGAGAATTAGTCATAACGTTTGACCCACTATAACTGGAATAATAATTAATAATGTAACATAAAGTTGTGTTCGTCATAATTTATTCTTTCTAACATGATATCACCTTTATACAATGAATTTTACTTAAAACGCAATATACAAAAATATATTTCCGTAGAAACCAGGGCGTACCTACTTAATTTGTCCCATATAAAATGAACATAATAATGTTTCTTGTTGTAGGTCTAATGTTAGTTCTAGTGACAGTGGTAGGTAGCGCTAGTTAACATAAGATATCACTATGTTGCATATTTTTATTGAATTAAAACTAGAACTAACACTAGAACTAGAAAGTATCGGGTTTAGCCGTCTTGTGAGACGTGTTTCTAGTTCTAGGTCTTGTGTTAGTTCTAGTTTTACACTATCACTATAACTAACACAGCGTTACCATGACGTCACCTTTTTCCAAGCAACACTTTGCCTTTGCAAAATTACCCAATGCCTGTACTATTAAGCTATGTTGCATTTTATATGGAACAGTGCAAGTGCATAGTACTTTCTTAACTGCATTCCTTTATTGCGAGTTATATGAAATTCCCTGTATACAATATATATTTTAGTACCTATATTGATCACCCTGTATATTATTTACTAATTTTCAAGTTTATATTTTTTATTATTTTATTTTTAATTTTAGTATTAAAGATGCTTGCTGTAATGGAAAAGCAACAATCTGCTAGTTCGAGCAGCACTACTAGTGGAAGTAGTTCCACGGCGATATCTCCGGAAAACGGAGCTCACGCGAAGGAGTTTCTATCTTCGGGTCGAACCGGACGTCGAAACGCGATGCCAAATATACTCGGTGAACACGCGGTTGTGAGCAGCTCCGATTTACCGGGTAGATTACAAGCTTTGACGACGACTGAAAAACAAGATGACGTCGAGAAAGATGCAAAACCAGGACCGAGTTGTTCTAAAAGTTGAATGGTTTTTGTGTTTGAACCAAGTTTTTGGGCGGAAAAAAAATTTGTATAATGCCGAGAATGGATTGAGATCGACCGGGTTGGATTGAGGAATGTCAATTAATTAACAATTTAGAACGCCAAGAAAAATAAAATAATCTAGTCCGCTTAGATTATAAATTTTTGATTAAGAATCTCGTTTAAATAAATTTTAATTCGTTTATAAAGTTTAGATCTGATTTTTTTTTTGACTGATTCAGTAATTAAATTTTTTTTAGATGTAAATTAGCCTAAAAGCAAAACGAATGTTCTTGCCTGGTACATTTTTATTTTCGTTATAACAGTTGATTAGCAGTCAATAATACTTTAATGTCTATTAATAGACAAACTTGGCTACCAAACAAAATCGAAATCATCGCTCATTAAAATACAAATGTGTAAACGTTTTGTTTATTATTAAAAAGCAATAAAAAGAATGAAGCAAAAACCTTTGTAAATACCTATTTATCTAGATGTGATGTATTAATAGGTGTATTTATCTTTTTATTTTGATTCAAAAACGCAAAAATAAATTATATATAACATTAATTGATATTAAATTTGAGAAGTATTAATGGCCTAGTAATGTATAATTATTATTTTTATTGATTCAACTTCGACTTTTTGTGATATTAGAATCAAAAAGCCTAGTCATTTGTATTGCGTGAATGTATTTGTATAAATAAAAATTTAAAAAGTCGGTTTTAATTAATTTTATTATTTGATTTATACAAAAGTGTTCTTAAATTATTTTCAGCACTTTTCAGATTCGGATCGAGTTGAATCGCCTTCTTATACATATCCCTGGCTTTTTCTAATTTCCCCCATCGATGATACAAAACTCCCAAATTCGAGTGATACAACCCACTGTAAGGATTAAAATTAATCGCTTCCAAAAAATGTTTTTCCGCCTTCTCAAATTGTCTCATTTTCCCCAAGGTATTTGCAATGCTAAAATGTAAAGCTGGCGATTTTGGGTTGTACATTAAGGCTGTGTTTCCCAAATCAATTACTTTTTCGTATTGTTGTAAACTATCCAATAACACTAAAGTGTTACTCCAAGCTGAGGTATGTGTTGGTTTATAATAAACGGCTTGTTTCCACGCGTTTAAAGCTTCTTCCGGTTTGTGTTGATCGAGATATAAATTTCCTAAGTTATAATAACAGTCGGGGTATTTATTTCTGTGTTGTATTGCTTTTAAATAACAAGATTCCGCTTCTTTGGCTTGATTTAAGTTTGTTAAAACGATTCCTAAGTTCATCCAAGCGGCTGCAAAATTCGGCCTAAAAATTCAAATTTAATTAAATACTTAATTAATAATAATTAAATTAAAAATTAACCTGATATTAACCGCCTTTCTTAATAATACTTCCGCTTCTTTATATTTTTGATTTTCCCTTAATAAATTCGCTAAATTATTCATTGCTTGCTCATAAAACGGATTTAATTCAATTGCTTTTCGATATTCAAATAAAGCTAAATCTTTATCATCTTCATCGGCGGCTATTTTAGCTATGTTGTAGTGTACTTTAGCGTTTAATGGACAAACTTGTAACGCAGATACAAATAAGGATTTTTCGTTTAACCACTGCTGATTTCTAAGGATCGTTTGTATCCCGAAAATTACACAAATTCCATAAAAATATTTGTATAAAAGTTTTCTTTTTCTGTTATCTTTGAATTTGCATGTTATTTTTTTAAACCCCAATGATATTAATACGCAATATCCAACGCTGGGAAGTAACAACGTGCGTTCTGCGATTACAAATCCCACTTTAAAGAAAACATTCGATGCTGGGATAAATGGCAAAATGAGCAAAAATATTGCAAGGAAATTCGAAGATTTTGAAATGTTTGAATTGAAGTAGAGTAAGTATACAAAGATTCCGATTAAAATCCAAAATGTTATTACAAATAATGCTCGGTAATCGTATGGTTCTTCTATGAGCGGGATACATCCCATTGACCAATCAAAACATAACCATTGGGGCCATATCAATAATAACAAATTTATTAAATAAATGTAATTATATGTGAACACCTAATAAATAATAAAAATTTATTAATAAAAGGGTCAAATGGATGTGAAATTAGTTATAGATTTTAAAATGAAAAGGAATTAATACAAAAGATGTCACAAGATCTGTACAGAAGAGTTATTTCATTTTTAAATCTATGGCTAATTTTTGTGTATTATTTACATACGGTGAATTTCACTTAAAATGCCATATACAATATATTTCATAAAAACCAGGGCGTACCTATTTACTTTGTCCCACATAAAATGCAACATGTCTGAATGTTTCTGATTGTAAGACTAATTTTAGTTCCAGTTTTACACTATCACTAGAATTAACACAAGACCTACAAGTAGAATCAGTGGTGGCCGAAACCACGTTCCTCTCAGGCATAAAGAACTGATATTAATCACGACTATCAGAAGTTATTCATCAACGTTACACTAACTAAATTAAATTTGCCATTTAGAGGAAAATCTGATGTACTCTTTGAAAAAAATAACTGAGTGTTTTTTCATCTAAAGAGACACAGGTTCATTATCTTAGTAAAGACATACAAAATGAATTTATAGGTTTATCGACAGAAATGACTAAAAAGAAAATTATAGAAATGGCAAAAAAGCCCAATTTTTTTCTGTAATCATGGAAACAAGTCCCAATATCAACCACAAAGAATAACTTACATTAATAATTCGATTTGTTAACACTGAATCGTATTTGGTGGAAGAAAATGTTCTTCCAATTGATTTTATTGAAGTAACTGACACTACCGGAGTCAGTCTGGTATCTCTATTTTTGGACACAATAAAAGTACTAGCTTTAGACATTTACAACTATAGAGGATAGGGCTACGACAATGGAGCCAATATGAAAGGTACGAATAACGGATTACAAAAACATATTTCAAATATAAATGCGAGAGCGTTATTTGTTCCTTGCTCCTGTCACTCTATTAATCTTGTTTTAAATGATGCTGCAGAATCAAATACAGAAATGGTTAATTTTTTTGGAATAATACAAAGCTTGTATGATTTTTCTTCTGCATCCACTTATAGATGGTCTATTCTTGTCAAACATCTGACCAATTTAACATTACAACCTCTATGTTCTACGAGATCGGAAAGTATGATAAATGCGATTACATTAATTATTACGTTTTAACATTACATTAATTTGGTATAATGTACTTTTAGATGTTAATAGAGTGAATGTTCAGAGGAATCATCTAACAGAGGTTGCAAGTAATCTAAACAAACTAAGAAGTAACGAAGATTATCAAAAATTGTTAGTCTGAACTAGTAAATTCAGTAAATGTACAACCAAACTTTACAGAAATCAGATTAGGACGTCGAAAACGCAATTTCAATAATAATAAACTTTTGACAACCCAATACAAGATCCGTCACAAAAATTTTATGTTGATGTATATTTTAATTTACTTGACATAGCGATTCATTCAATAGAGGACCGTTTTCAACAGTTATCCTTATTTAATAATACATTCGGAAGTTTGCAAATCTTGCCGACCTAAGAAATTGGGAAAAAGAAGACGTCATTAAGCAAAGTATGAATTTGGAGATTACTCTTACACATAACAATAGAAAAGACATCGACGGCATTCAGCTGGCGAAAGAGTTGAATTTTATTTCAAAACTTTTAAACTCAGGTGATACACCTTATGAAGTTTTGAAATATATTTTAAACAATAACTTAATTGTTATATATCCAAACCTTTAATTATATCGCTTTGAAAATCCTATTAAGAATTCCTGTAAGTGTGGCCAGTGGAGAAAGAAGTTTCTCTCGTTTAAAATTAATTAAAACGTGCCTTCGGTCAACAATTACAACAAAATCTGTTATCAGGCCTGACAATTTTATCAATAGAAAATGATTTTGCTAGATCTATAGACATACAAGATGCATTGCGACGTTTTATAAGCAAAAAGGCGAGAATTTTAACAAATTTGTATTTGTTAGTTTGCAATTTGCAACTTGTTCAATAAATAAATAGAAATAAATCAAAGTGCATTTTTTAAAGGACACTTTTTTAAATTTTTATTTAGGCAAGGGCGGCCAAATCTCTGGCACCGCCCCTTTTCGACTGTGTCTAAAGACGGCAAAACCCGAATGATTCTAGTTCTAGGTATAGTGTTAGTTCTAGTTTTACACTTGCACTGTCACTAGAACTAACATTAAACCTAGAAACATTTGGGTTTAGCCGTACGTCTCTTGATACGGCTAAACTCAAATGATTCTGGTTCTTGGTCTAGCCCTGTATAACAATTAAAACTAGAACTAACACTATACCTAGAACTAGAATCATTTGGGTTTAGCCGCACGTCTCTAGAGACGGCTAAACCCGAATGATTCTAGTTCTAGGTATAGTGTTAGTTCTAGTTTTACACTTGCACTGTCACTAGAAGTAACATTAAACCTAGAAACATTTGGGTTTAGCCGTACGTCTCTTAATACGGCTAAACTCAAATGATTCTGGTTCTTGGTCTGGCCCTTTATAACAATTAAAACTACCATTGTTACTATGTAGAACTAACACTATACCTAGAACTAGAATCATTTGGGTTTAGCCGCACGTCTCTAAAGACGGCTAAACCTGAATGATTCTAGGTATAGTGTTAGTTCTAGTTTTACACTAGCACTATACCCAGAACTAGAAGCATTTGGGTTTAGCCACACGTCTCTAAAGACGGATACGTTCATAACAACAGCGTTCATAAGGATAACCTTTTATTAACGAACCTTGATTCTGTGCATTTGGTAACTCGCGATAAGATGGCGGATTTTAAATCGAGGTCACAAAACGAGGTGCCGCCAACATCAAACGAATCGACGTCAATGTCATTTTTGGTTGTTCTGTGCCAGAAGCCTCTTTGCAATGAATGTGATAAAATGATATCCCCTCGAAATGACACGCTAATTCAGGATAGGATTGAGGACACTAAAGAACAATTATTTTTTCATTCACCAATATTTCGCTTTGTTTATTAAAGCTTCTTGAGGGTTTGAATTTCTATAATCAAGCAACAAATTAACATGAAATAAGGAGAAATAATTAATAAAATCAGCTGCAACGTACATCTCAAACCATAAATAAATAAACAAGGTTAATAAACAAAGCGAAATATTGGTGAATGAAAAAATAATTGTTCTTTAGTGTCCTCAATCCTATCCTGAATTAGCGTGTCATTTCGAGTTGCTAACGGGATTGAAGAAACAAATCTCCTGCTAAAATGATATGTGCAAACTGTAACTAAAGTTGTCATAATATAATGTTTGTTTTTTTTGGTATAACAAGTTTTTAGTGATTTTTGTCATTGCCAATTTAGAATGCATCGTTTAGTTCCTATTTTTACCAACTAGTCATTTATTTTTTTTATTTTCTGAGTATTTGAACTAAATTTAAGCGATGTTTCATTCCTTTAGCAATTTTTTGTTATTACTGTAGTTTCACCACTTAAGAATTAAGACGGCCGAAACCTCAGGGTTATCATAAGGACGTCACCTTTTTCTAAGCAAAATTTTCCTTTACAAAACTACTCCATGCGTGTACTATTAAGCTATGTTGCATTTTATGAGGGACAGTGCAAGTGTATAGTTTCGTAAATATTGCAAATTATATGAATTTCCCGGTATAATTATTACCTTTGTAAAAATACAATTCGAAAAACTCGCTGGATTATCAACTGGAGCAAAAATAGGTCTCTCAAAATTCATAATCCATAATCTGAAATACATGATTCCAACTCCAGTTAATAACAACCAAAAAAATCGGAAAAAGAATCGTTTAGTAACCCCATTTTTAAAAATTCTTGTATAAAAAATATCATAAACACTACATAACCCCTACAAAAAAATGAATTAACCTTAAAATCGATTCAATTAAATTAATTAAACATACCAAAACCATAATGGCAGTTTCTTTCGTTAATACTGCTAAGAAAACAATAAAACTTATCACCAAAAGTAATATCACAGAATCTTTTTGAATTGTTTTTTTGTACAATAAAATTGTGATTAAACTAAAAATTGAGCAAAGTAAATCTGCGCGACCTACAAGAGCTGCCACGGTTTCTGTATGAACCGGATGCACCGTAAACAACAATGTGGATAAAAAACTTATTTCGTTTTTTAAATGTTTCTCAAAAATAAATAATTGTATCAGTGGAATGAGCAAGATACAGAGTATAACGTATAATAATATATTTGTAGCATGGAATCCCATCGGGTTAAAATCACTTAATAACGCATTAAATCTAAAACAAATCAATATTATTTTCAACATTAATTTAATTTTTACGTTTTATTACCTATAAGTAAGTATCGTTAAAGGCCTATACGATTTATGACTCGTATTTTTCGAGATATCTCCACCCCAAAAATCATTTTTAAACACATCTATTAACGACGATTTTGGATTAACATCTTTGTTTTTTACAATAGCTTCAGTATCATCAAATACAAAGCTTCCAAACAATGTATTTGCATAACAAATCAATGCTACACCACCGACAATCACCTTTTTATTCATATTATTACAGATTTTCTTTTCTCCCATTTATATTAATCACTTAACTTTATAATCAATTCTATTATTCGTCATGTTTTGACCCATTTTCATTTAAACTTTCTTTAAAACCATGGAATTTCTACAAAAAAAAATCTTTTAAACATTTATCAACACCAATATATTGATTTAATGGTAATTATAATAGATGGCGCTAAAGTGGGATATGTCAAATTAATGTTTAATAAAACTTTAAAGTTAGGCTACCTGTTAATATCTCCTTCTTTATAAAGTTGTGTTGTGTCTGTTTCGATTAATTTGGTGCTCTTAAATTAACAGGATAAGTTTTAGTTTCTTTAAAATTTTCCTCTGAAAAATTAACATAACCTCAAGATGAGTGAAAGGTAATGTTTTTCTTCATTTCCTCATTTTATTTTAGTATTAATTAATTTATAACATAAATTAATTGTTTAAAAATGTGCGTAAATTCTACATCTTATCATTAATTCTTTAATCTCGGCGAAATTAATTATTTTTTTATTAAAAACTTAACTTTCAATAACCTTTTTTGGGTGGTGCAATACACCCAAATAGGTCACCTTATTTTCCTTTCTTGAAGGTCAAATTGGATATCTAAATCATATTTCTTAACTTTAATTACTTAATCATATAGTTTAATAAATCTTAATATACAGGATGGTTCAAAAAATAAAATTCTTATTTTTTTTTTATTAGGGTTGGTGACATTGGATTAATTGGGTTGGCGGTAATGGGCCAAAATTTAATTTTAAACATCGCAGACCACGGTTTTAACGTAATAGTTTATAACAGAACCGTTGAAAAAGTCGACAATTTTCTTGCCAATGAAGCTAAAGGAAAAGAATCCATCATTGGTGCAAGAAGCATTCAAGATTTAGCAGCGAAATTAAAAAAACCACGCAGAGTTATCTTATTAGTCAAAGCCGGGTCGGCTGTAGATGATTTTATCCAACAATTACTTCTCCATTTTGAAGCGGGCGATATCATCATTGACGGTGGAAATTCCGAATATACTGATACAAGAAGAAGATTTGCTGAGTTAAAAGCTAAAGGGATAAGATATATTGGTTCAGGAGTTTCTGGAGGTGAAGAAGGTGCAAGATATGGGCCAAGTTTGATGCCTGGAGGTGATAAAGAAGCGTGGCCGTTTATTAAAGATATATTCCAAGCGGTTGCTGCAAAAGTTGATGGAAACCCTTGTTGTGAATGGGTTGGAAGCGACGGGGCTGGACATTTCGTTAAAATGGTTCATAATGGAATTGAATATGGTGATATGCAACTTATAGGGGAAATTTATCATTTAATGGTTGCGATGGGATTAAATCAAGATGAAATGGCAGATATTTTCGCGGATTGGAATAAAGGGGAATTGGACAGTTTTTTAATTGAAATCACCAGAGATATCTTAAGATACAAAGACGAAAAATCTGGTGAATTTCTTTTGCCAAAAATTAAAGATTCTGCTGGACAAAAAGGAACTGGTAAATGGACAGCAATTTCCGCGTTAAATTACGGCGTCCCCGTCACTCTAATCGGCGAAGCAGTTTTTAGCAGATGCCTTTCTGCATTAAAAAATGAAAGAGTTGAAGCAAGCAAGATTTTACCTGGACCTGAAAATAAATTTGATCGAAATAAAACAGATTTCATTGAAGATTTAAAACAAGTATTAAATAATTTTGTCATTTAATTAAAACTAATTAACAAATTTTAGGCTCTTTATGCAAGCAAAATAGTTTCTTATGCTCAAGGATTCATGTTGATGCGAGAGGCGGCGTCCCAATATAATTGGGATTTAGATTATGGAAGTATTGCGTTGATGTGGCGAGGTGGTTGTATTATAAGATCCGTTTTTCTTGGACAAATTAAATTGGCTTTCGAACAAGATCCAAAATTAAAATCTTTATTGATGGCCCCCTTTTTTGTTGACGCAATTAAAAAGGCTCAAAAAGGGTGGAGAAACGTCGTTATTACAGCCGTTAATTTAGGTTTGTTAGTGATGTTTTAATACTTCATTTTTTAATTTATTAATTGTAGGTGTACCAACTCCTGCATTGAGCACCGCGTTAGCTTTTTATGATGGATATCGCGCCGAAAAATTGCCAGCCAATCTTTTACAAGCGCAAAGAGATTACTTTGGGGCTCATACATATGAGTTATTAGGAGAAGAAGGAAAATTTGTTCATACAAATTGGACTGGGCATGGTGGAAATGTTTCAGCTTCAACATATACAGCTTAAATTGTATGATTTTATAATGGGTTGGGGTTAAAATTTTGTATTTAAAGTTAATAAAAAATCAAAAAATATCTATAATTTTATACAAACGAAAATTTCTTTTAATTGTTAGGTTAGGTTGAGTTTAAGAATTTTTATTAACAAAACTAATATTCGTGGAAAGATAAAATTATCAACGATATAAAGATTAATTCTTACTTTATGATCTCGAAGAGAGTTGTTTCGTAACCCCAAATCTTTATTCAAGAAAATAATTTTGAATTAATGATTTAAAATTTGACAGTTTTAGGTTATGTAGGTTGAATTTAAGAATTTTTATTAAATTAAACGAATATTGATGGAACAATAAAATTATTAACAATATAAAGATTAATTCTTACTTTATGATCTCGAAGAGAGTAGTTTCGTAACCCCAAATCTTTACTCAAGAAAATAATTTTGAATTAATGATGTAAAATTTGACAGTTTTAGGTTATGTAGGTTGAATTTAAGAATTTTTATTAAATAAAACGAATATTGATCGAACAATAAAATTATTAACAATATAAAGATTAATTCTTACTTTATGATCTCGAAAAGAGTTGTTTCTTAAACCCCAAATCTTTACTCAAGAAAATAATTTTTAATTAATGATGCAAAATTTGACAGTTTTAGGTTAGGTTGAGTTTAAGAACTTTTATGCTTTTATCAAATAAAACGAATATTGATGGAAAGATAAAATTATCAACAATATAAAGATTAATTCTTACTTTATCATCTCGAAGAGAGTTGTTTCTTAAACCCCAAATCTTTACGCAAGAAAATAATTTCGAATTAATGATGCTAAATTTGAGTTTTAGGTTAGATTGAATTTAAGAATTTTTATCAAATAAAACGAATATTGATGGAAAGATAAAATTATCAACAATATAAAGATTAATTCTTACTTTATCATCTCGAAAAGAGTTGTTTCTTAAACCCCAAATCTTTACGCAAGAAAATAATTTTGAATTAATGATGCTAAATTTGAGTTTTAGGTTAGGTTGAGTTTAAAATTTTTTAACAAATAAAACGTATATTGATGGAACAATAAAACTATCAACAATATAAAGATTAATTCTTACTTTATGACCTCGAAAAGTTTTATTTTTTAAACCCTTAATCTGTACTCAAGAAATTAATAATCCAAAAATGGATAGTTTTAGGTTAAGTACAAGAAAACACTTTTAATATATGTAAATGTGTTATTATTTTGCTTTTCCCTTCTGCATTCAAATACATTTAGTATAATAATAAAAAAAAAATGGTACATATTGCTTTGAGATGATTATAAAAGTAATCCTAAATTTATAATCACCAATAACCAAGATTCTATTAACAATTTTTACACTTAACCAAACAACCTTAAAAAAAATATTAATAACATTTCAATAACCTTCCAAATCCCATAAAAGAAATGCTTTTAACATCGAATTTACCCTAAAATCTTTCTGATCATATAATTTAAAATACCTCCATGTTTATAATACAAAAGATCAACCTCCGTATCGAATCGTAATATAACATTAAAATTTTTATCATCGGCGGTTACTTGAAGATGCTGACCAGGAGTTAATTTATCTGGAAGATTTATTGTGTAATTTTCTTTTCCATCTAATCCCAATGATTCGGCGTTTTGACCATCAAGGAATTGAAGGGGGATGATTCCCATCCCAACCAAGTTTGAACGATGGATTCGTTCGAAAGATTCCGCAATAACAGCTCTAATTCCCTATTTTATTAAAAAAAATTAAAAATTAACTTAATTTTTGTTGTAAAGTAAAAATTAATTACCAATAAATATGGTCCTTTTGCAGCCCAATCTCGACTAGAACCAGATCCGTAATCTTTTCCGCAAATTAAAATTAATGGGGTATTATCTTGTGCGTATCTATCAGCGCAATCAAAAACATCCATCTAAAAAATCGTCAAATAAATTATTAATTAATTAAAAATTAATTTATTACCTCTTCATATGTTGGAAGATAAATTGTTCTTGGGCCTGGTTTAGTTAAAAATTTATTCACCAATCGGATATTAGCAAACGTTCCTCGAGCCATAACAGCATCATTTCCTCTTCTAGAACCATAAGAATTAAACTCTCTAGGTGTTAAGTTCCTTTGGGCTAAATATCTAGCAGCTGGACTAGTTCTTCCAATAGATCCTGCAGGGCTAATATGATCCGTAGTTACTGAATCGCCCAAAAACAACAAAACGCGAGCATTTTTAATTGGTTTCTTCACAGGTAAATCTTTACTCATCCCATCGAAAAATGGAGGTCTCTTAATATAAGTCGAAACGTCATCCCAAGGATATAAATTCCCTGATGGAGCATCCAAAGCTTGCCAACTCTGTGAACCGACTTCGATTTTTCCGTAAACTTCTTCAAACATAGTTGGAATGACATATTTTCTTTCGATTTCTTGAATTTGAGCTCGGGTTGGCCAAATATCTCTTAAGAAAATCGGAGATCCATCGCTTTTCTTTCCTAATGGTTCAACTTCGAAATCAATATCAACAGTTCCCGCTATAGCATAAGCTATAACCAATAAAGGACTTGCTAAGTAATTAGCTCTAGTATTCGGGTGAATACGCCCTTCGAAATTCCTATTTCCAGAGAGAACACCGCAACAAACCAAATCATTCTTCTCAATCGCATTGACGATGTTTTCGTCTAAACTTCCCGAATTTCCTATACAAGTCATACATCCATATCCAACAATATCAAAACCGAGTTTTTCTAAAGCCGGGATCACGCCGGATTCTCGAAGATAATAAGTTACAACACCCGAACCGGGAGATAAACTCGTTTTGATGTAAGGGGCAACATCTAAACCGGCGGCAACCGCGTTTTTAGCTAAAAGACCAGCTCCTAACATTACACTTGGGTTACTGGTGTTTGTGCAAGATGTTATTGCTGCTATTATTACGCTTCCATGAGTTATTTCGTATTGGGTTCCATTAAACATAAATTTGGATTTTGTTGTGAGCTTTTCTGTTGGAATGCCGAAACCTTTGAAACCAACCTTGAAAGAAAATTATGTTTTAAAATTACTATTGAAATTAATCCATAAGTTTATTTTTTTAAATAAATTTTTGAATAAAGTTTAAACGTCAATGTGACACAAATTCAATGTTACCAACTGTAACCAACTTCACAACAATTTGTCAATTTTATGAAACGTCATGTTTTTTTAATGTCAAACCTTTAAAAAGTAATAAAACAATTAAATTAAATTGACGTTTTTTGAAATTTTGACGTTTCAAATAATTATTCAAGTCTATCCTCAAGTTGATTACCAGTGAAAAAACCTTTAGAAAAAACTTTATGAGTTTCTTTGATTAAATAATCAAGCAAAATCAACATAATTTGTAATTTTAAAAAACATAATTAAATTACTATTGAAATTGATTCCATAAATTTATTTTTTTAAATAAATTTTTGAATAAAGTTTAATCGTCAATGCGACACAAATATAATGTTACCAACTGTAACCAAGTTCATGTTGTTCAAATGTCAATTTTATGAAACGTCATTTTTTTTAGGAAAATTAATTTATTTATGCTTAAATTATAGGCAAAAAGGAATTTGTTTACGTTTTTTTAATGTCAAACTTTTAGAAAGTAATAAAACAATTAAATTAAATTGATGTTTTTGGAAATTTTGACGTTTTGAATAATTATTCTAGTTGATTATTAGTGAAAAAATGTGTAGAAAAAACTTTGTTTATGAGTTTCTTTGATTAAATAATCAAGCAAAATCAACATAATTTGTAATTTTAAAACCTCTCCATTAAATATATGTAAGTGTTGTACTATTTAATGTAATTTCAAATATTTAAAATTATTTCAAAACTATTTTAAAATCTTATCAATTAGTACCAGCTGCAACGAAGTTATGGTTGATTCATTTAAAGAATTTAATCGAAAATTGGCAGGACGTTAGTAACCTTGTTACAATTTATTAGCAAACCCACGAAAAATGAACGGAATCTTATCAACTATTATTCATTTCCTTCAAGAAGTAATCCAATTGAATAAAATCGAGCAATACTTTTTTTAGTTGCCAGTTCACTTTTGTACCTAGCAGGTCGCAGCCGTCTCTTGTAGATCATCTAGTTTGATATTCAACATTTTACATATCACTAGGTGATCTGCAAGGTGATGGACGCGATTTTAATCATCATTCTAACAAAACGTCTTTGTTACTTAAAGGTAATAAAAATTATTATTAAAAAATAATTGTAAGGTGTTATTTTCAGGTGTTTTTTATTCCGGTGATGTGATGAAACATTTTATTCATCACTGGGTGAAAAACATCTGTTAATACACCTAAAAATTAACAAAAATTAAAAAAAAAATAGACTACTTAAGGAATGTTTAAAGAGTGGTTATTAAAAAATAATTAAATTACGATTGTTATTATTTAGAACGATTGAAAGTTAATTATCTAATTAAATAGACGAAAACAAATCATTTTTAAATTAAATACAAATTTATGTTTAAAGTTAGAAAGTATTTTTTCTAATTATTACTTAATAACCTGCAAAAAGTGGTTTAAATACTAAACCCGACCAAAAGGAACCATATCAAAACGAATACTCAAGAAGAAAGTTAAGCAAAGTGATAAAATTTAAAAAATGGTAAGAATTTTTTTAAAGCTATAAATTAAGATAATCGTAATTAAGGAACTATTGGTGTGATTTGGAACTTAAATTTCATCACAGCAATAATTCTCACTTACAGTTGTCTAAATCCACAACGAAAAATTATTTTTTTACTTTTACCTGGAAGATTTCCGGTAGACTTGATATTATTAAAATAGTCACTGGGTACCTTGTAGGGAAAAGTATAAAAATCATAAAAATAATAAAATAACCAAAAAAATTCTTTAAAGCATGGTTTCTCTGGGATAGTTTTGCTTATAAGCGTTCAATTTTTTTGCTTAAAGCTTAATTATCTTTGACAAAACATGAATAATTTAATTTCGAAACATTTAGTGTTATAAATCGGAGATACGTTGCGTTTAAGTGTACCAATTAACATTAAAGCAAACGTATCTTTGGTAAATCTCACTTTTTAATCATCACCCATAAAAAAATCATATTTAAATTAAATAAGTATGTTTTTTATAATCTGCAAGGATCTAAGGAGGCTCTATTTTTATGAGTCATCTTGCAGATTATATTCGTATTAACACCATAATAAACAATTTATTATCGCCTGCAAGAAACTAGGTAGGCATTCGTTTAAGTTATGTCACTGGGTATCTTGCAGGGAATAAAAATTGTTTCAAACCAACCTTATTTGTAAGACAATTAGCAAAATCTTGTTTCATTTCCGTAACGGAAACGCGATCATTCGGTCGTTTGGGCCCACTCACGGATGACACAACAGTGGCAAGATCAAGCCCGACAGTTTGACTGAAAATTGGATCATCACCCGACTCGTAATCTCGAAGTTGTCCCGTTGCTTTTAAATAAGCTTCAATCAATTTTACTTGAGATTCAGGTCGATCTAAATGTATCAAAAAAAATTAATTTAATTTTTTAGGTTAATATAAAATCTTACTGGTTTGTCTCAAATAAGATAAAGAGGTATCATCTACTGGGAAGAAACCAACGGTGGCACCATATTCAGGACACATATTTGCTATTGTTGCTCTATCGGCTATGGAAAGGGCTTTTACACCTGGCCCATAAAATTCAACGAATTTACCCACAACGCCAAGTTGTCGTAAATGCTAAAAAATTATTTAAATTATCAAATTAAGAAAATTTTGAGTAATAAAAGAAACCTTTGTAATTGTAAGGACCAGATCTGTTGATGTAACATAGGGAGTTAAGGAGCCATGAAGTCTATAACCAACAACTTGAGGTAATAACATACTAATTGCTTGTCCTAACATGACAGCCTCAGCTTCGATTCCACCAACACCCCAACCCAAAACACCTAATCCGTTAATCATAGTTGTATGGGAATCTGTTCCAACCTTAACATTAATTTATTATTAAAAAAATTAAATTAATTAAAAAAAGATACTTACAACTGTATCTGGGTAAAGCACCGCATCTTCTTGACCATTAAACACTACTCTTGCAAGATATTCAAGGTTAACTTGGTGAACAATTCCGCTTCCAGGTGGTACAATTAACATGTTATCAAATGCTTTAGCCCCCCACTTAAATTAAACGATTAATTACCACCATTATTGATTACAAAAAATTAATCTTACCTTTAAAAACATGAAACGTTCTTTGTTTCGCTCAAATTCAAGGTCTTGATTTTTTTGTAAAGCATCCGGGCTATTATTAATAAAAAGTTATTTTTTTATCATTAATTTTTATTATTACTTACGATCGTATAAAGTCTACTTGAACGGAATGATCGATGACTAAATCAGCGGGACATATCGGGTTAATTTTTTGTGGATCTCCTCCCAAACTACGAACGGCATCGCGCATAGCAGCAAAATCAACTACTGCTGGTACTCCAGTAAAATCCTATAAAAAATTGCATATTAATAGATTTTTATTTTTATTGAGTATAATAATTATTTCAAGGTTATAATGTTTAAAGTGGAATTAAGGGGTAGTCACCACAAGATTGGTGTCGAATAATGCAACCGCAAGCGACCTCAGTTAAATCGACTGAAATATAATATGTTATTGTATTAAGCCGAGGTCGCTTGCGGCCGAGGCGCTACAAATAATACCATATCAACACAAGACTGGTGTTAAACCATGCAGAGCCTTGGCCTCAGCTTAATACTGTAATATTATATACAGGGCGTTTAGAAATTGGGGGATAATCTACACGTAGCAACATTCTTCGTTCGATTCTAAAGCGATTCTTAATTGTAAAAGGTTGTGCCATGCTTATTATACCCGAAAGTAACGGAAAAAGTCTAAGGATTTAAATTTTTTGGTATAGATTTTAATTTTTTTTCGCCATTTTTAAGCAAGTTATGACGTCATCGTTATTTTTTTTTTATAGCACCCCCATTTTTATTACGAAATATAAAAGAGGAATTTTTCTGAATTTGGTACAGCCAAAATTAATATTAGTTGCATAAGAAAATTTTCGAGAAAATTCCCTTAAAGTTTCATGATTTTCTATTCATTTGAGGTAGAAAAATAGCAGTAGCCATGCGTAACCATGGCAACCAGTTGTTTTAAATATTTTATTAAGGCAATGGAATCAGTTAGTTGCCATGGTTACGCATAGCTAGTGCTATTTTGTTATCTTATATGAATGGAAAATCATGAAACTTTAACATAGTTTTTCTCGAAAATTTTTTTATGTAACCAATATTAATATTGACTGTACTAGATTCAAAAAAAAGGCCTCTTTCATATTCCGTAATGGAAATGGGGTATTGCTATTTAAAAAATTATCGATGACGTCATTACTCGTTTAGAAACGGCGAAAAAAATTTAAAATCTATACCAAATACTTGCAAAAAATTTAAATCTTTAGACCCGTTTTAACGATTTTTCCATAAACTGTTCTTAATTGTTTTAACGAATTTATCCATTACTTTTGGAAAATCCTGTATACGTCTTCATGAGGTTCTCAAAGTTCAGATAATTTGTCCATAAATAAACTGTAATTTAGAATAAAAAGAACTTTGAAAACTACTTTTTTTTGTTAAAGTTATTTTCTTTAGCTTTAAAGTTCGTTTTTAACATTTTTTGATTATCATATCCTCATGACAAACACATTTGGCAGTAGAACAACATTTTAACATAAAGATTTTCGATTCAGAGTCGATCGAAGAATACAGACACCCTATACACAGGGTGTTAAAAAAAGAATGTAAAATATTTAAAGAGGCAATAGTATGGACCAAAATAAACAAAAAAAGTCTTAATAAACATGGGTCTGCAAATGAACGGTTTCGGAGGTATGGAAGGTATGAAAAACCATCATACTGGGACCATATTTGTTGCCTTTGATCTAAGGGAATGTCGTCAAAAAGATTAATCATTGTGTTCTGCGGAAAATTTAGATAAGCAGCGTTTTTTAATCGGTAGGACCTAAAAACCTGTCGCCTACAATGTCCATTTAAAGGTTTAATGAAAAAAGTGTCTGATGTCCAGATTCCATTATTACATGAAGATTTTCATTGGCCCAACCATGCGTGTTGTGAAAATTAACAACTCCATTCCATGTGAATCCGGCCTCATCAGTAAAAAGAATATTGACAAGAAACCGGTTCTATTCAGCATCATTGCGTAGAAACCAAAGCCAAAAAACTAAACGTACTTGAAGATCAACTGGTTTTAAATTCTGTACTCATTGTACATGGAGAGGAGCACTAATTCCTACCTCGGCTTTTACATTCTTTTTTTAACACCCTGTATATATATCTGCAAAAGTACTGCTGGGGAGATTGGAAGAGGAAATGGAGAGGGGGGAGTTGTTTCCGGATGGGCAGGCGGGATTCAGGAAGGGATACCCCTCTTCAATTCCTGAATCACTAATTGACAAATATATAGATATTGAAACACCTGGTAGATAGGGAGTTAAACAAGAAGGGAGGAAAGATGTATGCATTGTTCATAGACCTGAAGGCGGCATTTGATAAGATGGATAGAGGGAAGATGTGGGAGGAAATGAGGAGGAGAGGTATCACAGAACAGCTGATAGCGAGAGTGAAGGAGACGTACAGGAAGAGATAAGCGAAAAGAAAGGTTATGTTTGAGGGCTTGGTGAGGAGCACAATGATGTACGGCGCAGAAGCATGAAGATAGAGAGAACAAGGATTGCTGGATATACAAACGGTATTAGAGATGGGTACTAGGGTTGGCGAGGGAGACTCCAGGGTATGTAATGAGGGAGGAGGTTAAGGTGGATGCAATAAGGGTGGAGGCTGGGAGAAGAGCAGTGAAGTACGAGGAAATGATAGAAGAAAGACCGCATTGTAGGATCCTGGGAGAGTGCTGGAGGGAAATTAAGGAGAGGAGGCTGATATATGGGCAGAGAAATAGGGAAGGATATTATAGGAAAGTGGGATATTCATTAACTGGGATCGATAACAGAAGACTGGAGGGAGGTGAAATGTGGAGCGAACTGAGATAGGGACAGGGACATACAGAGGTAGGAAAGAACGTCAGATACGCGAAGGGAGGTATAACATAAGGTATGGGCAGATATAGTGACAGAGGAACTGCCAAAGTATCTGTCAATGGAGGGAGATGATGAAGAGAAGAGATTGGTGGCCAGATTTCGCTGTGGCAATAAGGAGAGAGGGAACAAGTACTGGGCAGCCGATGTGGAGAGGTGGTGTAGGCTGTATGGAGAGGGTTGGAAGATACTGGAACACATGCTGAGAGGGTGTAGTGAGCTAAAGGAGGAGGCTATGGATAGGAAGCAGATTTTGGGTGGAAGGGGGTGAGGGGAAAAGATGAGGGAGGTGATTGGGGTGAGGAGATGAGGGTGTGGAGATTGGGCAGGAGGGTAGAGGATTTGGGTGTATGCATATATTGTACTGGAGAAATATTGTAAATTATAAACAATAAAACGCTTATTATTACTACAAATATGTGCATTAAAACTTATTGTTTTGCGCAATTTTCTTTTTATGTTGAAAGCATTATTAAACAACTTATAATCAGTTAAAAAAAATAAAAAGATTGCTTCACATTTTGTAATTAATAACAAATTAAAAGATAACAGAAATCATTGCATGTTAAATAACAACACTTATCTATTTTTTTTTATAAATTCCAGATAATTAACCCACTTACTGGTTATCCTTAATAGGATCCAATTTGTAAGTGACATTATATAAGATATTACTTTGAAATCCATCAAAACATCTCACCTGCAATATGACCCTAGCAGGCTTAAAAGCCACTTCAATTCCATCTTCTTTTGCTTGATTCTCTTCCCAATTTAAAATATTATTAACATCACCTTCTGTGACTTGAAAATTATCGCAGTTTCGAACAGCGGATTCTAATAAGACTCTAATCGAATACGGTAGCCGATCTAAATAAATTTAAGTGTAAATAAATTATGGTTTAACAATTAAACGTAACAATAATTACTAAATTTGTCTCCTAAAGCAGTTATATTGTAGTATTTATATTGTTTGTTGTCCAGTGAGAGGGATTTACACAAATTGGCATAAGGATTTGTTCCTAATACAAAAAATAAATTTATTAATAATAATTATTATTATTTAATAATAACACTTACCGGCCATTATTATTGTTGAGGCCGTCACGTAGCCCCCGAAACTTGAATGAAAAATACACAATCACCGTTCCGCACTGTACTTTTTATAAAGTAAAACGACGACTTTCGGTCGTACTTTGCCCCCTTCCCGCTACTTATACTTGCTAATTACAACAACAAATGCGCAATTTTATACGGATTCGATGTATAAATCGCGATAATTTCGATGTAACACCACCAAAAATGTTTATTTAGAAAGACACAGAGAGAATAAGGAATAGTAAAGTTTCAAACCCGTCGAAAATTTATTTCATCTGATAATTTGTTTGATTGACCGTTGATTATTGAGATAGTAGTGCGACGAGTTGGAGAAGGGGATGAGTGAAGTGTGATAAAAATGTTACAGGAAAACGAGAAAAACAAGGTTGAATATAATTAACCTCACTTTTTTTATAGTTAGTTGTCAAAGTATTCAATTTTTATGATATAGATGGCGCAATTATTTTATTTAATTTTTTATCATTATTTAATAATTACAAATTAATTTAATAAAGTTGATTGAAATTAATTAGTTAAATTTTAATTAGAATTAATTCAAAATTTATTTCAAAAAATAAGAATTAAATGATTGATTCGTCGAATAAACTTAGATTCGTTATGTATAGATGGCGCTCATAAACGCAAATTAAATTGTTTAAATTAAATAAAAATAAATAGAATTAACTTATTATTAATTAAATGTAAACTTAAAAATCCTTTAACCTTAATTTCATTTGGCTTAACGCTTCCTTTAAGACTTTAAATTGTTTTTCTTTCTCTTGTAACAAAGTGTTATTTGTTAAAAGATTGTTTCGGTTGATTTTTAAGTTCTCATAATTAGGAATTTCGATTTGGATTTGCTCCAAATATTGAGCATCATCATCTAAACGCTTTAATTGGGAATCTATAGCTGTTTTTATTTCATTTTCGGTGGAGCATTCGAATAGTTCCTGATTTAGGTTTTCTAAACTCTATAAAAGGGTTCTAAATTTATATAGAAAGTTTATGTTGAAAACTTACAAATTGATCATCAAGGGATTGTAATCTTTCCTCGAAACCACTTACAAGTTGATCAAATTTATCACTAAATAAGAAAAAGTTGTGTAAAAAAAATGTTTTAAGGTTAATTCTTCAAAATAATTAAACAAACATTAATAAATCCCTTTTTTCCTCTTCTTGGGCGATTTTTTGTAAAATATCTTCAATATCCATCGTTTTACTTAAAAAAGTTTTTAAAACTTCTCTTGTAATGTTATCATTAACGGCATGTTCCACCAACTTATTGCCTTTTGCCAATTGTATATCAATCGAAGCTTCAATATTAGATGCATTTCGTGAATGTTGTTGCTTAAAGTGCATTAAAACTGTTTTTGTGTAATCATCCAATTCTTCCAAGAGTAATCCTTGTCCGACCAACTCTTTAAAGAGCATGTTGTATTTAAAATTCTTCAAAGCCATTTGAATTGATCTAAAAAAAAGTTTTAAGTCTTTAAGATAGCGATTATTAATCAAATAAGATAAGATATACTATAAAATCTATATATTTGTGAGAAAAATATATTGTTTTGGTGTCTTAAGTTACTTTTAGATGGATAATAACCTAAAAATAATTAAAATCGCTGTAATCGGTGATGGAACTGTAGGAAAAACTAATTTGTTAAATAGATATACATTAAATGAACCCATAACGGATTACGAACCAACAGTTTTCGATAATTATTCTACAGAAATTCATTTAGGTGGTAAATCATATCTATTACAACTATTTGATACATCAGGACAAGAAGAATACGATCGATTAAGAAAACTTTCTTACGTAGAGGTAAATTTAACTAAATTTTATTCAAATTTTTAAAATTTATTTTTCAGCGAGATTGTATAATAATTTGTTTCGCCGTTAATAACAAAAATTCTTATCAACACGTTAAAGAGAAATGGATTAGTGATGTAAGGCAATCCAATAAAACAGCAAAAATACTTCTTGTGGGTTAGAAATGAAAATAAGGTAAAAAATTTTAAATTTGATGTAAAAGATTTTTAGGTACAAAATCGGATTTAAGGGACGATCCTAATGAAGATTTAGTAGATCCCGAGCAAGGGGTTAAAATGATGAAAATAATCAAAGCTAAGGGATACATGGAATGCTCATCTTTACGAAACGATGGGGTTCAAAACGTTTTTAGCGAAGCGATACGCATCGTTTTATGTGAATGGCAAAAACGAAAGCGAAAGTGCGAAATTTTGTGATTATCTCGAATTAAAAGAATTAAATAAATACGTACCAGTTTTCTTTTAATTTGAAATCAAATTAATCAACGTTAAGCTGTCAAAATTAGTTATCGGAAACTGTCTGAAGAGTGCCATCTTGTGATTTTTTTAAATATTACATAGAGCGGTTAATTTGAATTTGTACAATTTTAAAGTATTTTTTTTGTGAAAAATCAATTTCAAATAATATTTATTACTTTATTTCATAATAAATGTTAATGTTTTTATTTAGTTTTTTAATTTTTTGTATTAATCCTTGAATGATTTTAATTTTAAGGTTTTTTTGAGCTTTTAAGTTTAGGTTTGCTTCTGGTACTTTAATTGGTTTATTTTTGTTTACAAAATTTCCTATGATCTTATGTGGATAAATAATCTGTTAATCAATGGACCAACACTCAGATATGAGATACAATAGACCCAGAAAGGAGATTATCGAATGAAATAGCTGCACATGACAATTAAAAAGGAAGAATTGTTATGAAATGAGTTCTATGTTCGAAGTTGTGTTCTTATTTCTTTAACAACCTCAGTCTACACTTTGATGATTTAGGTTGCCTTTCATCTCTCCTAATATGTTACTCTTACAATATACAGAAGTGTACATTCTTAGTATAAAGACTGGTTCTAGTAACAAATATACCATTTTTAGTGCTTTATTCTGCGCAGTTTGCTTTATCAGACACTTGTTCGTGTGCATCTTCTAGTTCCATGCTTCCAACTATCCTCATAGTGGCCAAAATATCCAGAAAAGGTAACTGCAAAGATATAACTCCGTGTAAAGTTTATTACCAGATTTCTTTCTGTGCCAAATAGGTGCTCTGAATGAATTGAAAGTTAGATTCAAAAACAACATTTTCAAAGGAATTTAGATATACAATTTTAGACTAATGGGATGCAACTCATTATCTTTTACTCTGTATAAAATTTCTTACAGAGCTACGAAAATAATTAACTTTGTAATAAATTAAATTTTAATGATAAAAATAATAATAATATATATTATAAATAAAAATCAATCAGCCTTCGATTTTGTTCGATGTAATAATCAATCAAGGAAGACGTACGTAATGGATAAGGAACGGCATCGATACCCATTTACAGAGAAAGTTCATTCAAGAATACTAATTGTTTAATTATCATTAACTTATGAAGGAACGAATTGTATGCGATATTTTGGGTAGTTTTTAGTTAGCAGTCGATTGAGTTACTTCATAATAGTTAGGTTTATAATAAAGGTAATTATTTTTTATGTATTTTTTTCCTTAACATTATTTTTTAAATTGTTCTTCTTAATTCCACTAAAATTGTGTCGCCCCTAATTGAGTAATTAACGCGGACTCTGGACAATAATTGTCCTCCTCCTCCAGTTAATAAATAGTTTAGTTTAGTCATTGAGGAAGTCCTGCGGAATTTCAACATATATTCGTCATAATATTCGAAAAGCGAACAAATGAGTATTTCCAACTCGCGCATAGTGCGGTTGACAGAGAACGCGCGTTTGATAAGATAAAAGTCGTTTCCGTTTTTCGCATATGATTCTGTGCAGTTACACCTTTGGTGTCAACGAGAATCTTAGACGATTATCAAAATGACTGTTTAATCTCGATACTTTTTTTAGTCGGATTAGGTGAGTTTTGAAAATATTTTTTCTAAATTTGCGTTTACTCCATAAATGTAAGTGTGAGATAAAAAAGCGGAAAAGATGGAAACGCCCAGAGATTTCAAATGAAATGACACAGTTTTCTTTATTTGCAAATTTTTTTGTTTAAAAACAAAACGGTCTTTAAGTATTTGGAGAATTTTGTATTATTTAAGCGGACTTCAATTTGAGTTTAAATGGAGTACTAACATTTCTTTCTCGCCAATTATTTAAATTCGATTCACGTAATCATTTTTAGTTAACACACGATTTCGTGCTCTGATTATTGTCGCAATCGGTAATAGATAAGAAATACGGTCGGATAAGTTGTTGACTTTACCGTTAAACCTAACCAATATCATTATGGTTTATTTTTTCTTTTCTAGTATTAAAATGGTTGAAGGAAAACACAAAGCGAAAATTACTGTGGTTGGAGATGGTTTTGTTGGAAAGACGTGTATGTTGGTTGCTTATACGAGAAAAGAGTTTCCTGAAGAAGAGTACATACCAACAGTGTAAGAAACAAACAATTTTAAAAATTTATAAATTTCAAGAATTTTTAATGAATACAATTTTTTGAATTTATGTTCGTAATTGTGACTCAAGTTGACTTTTAATATTAGCATTGTGCACATAGCTATGACACATTATTCTTGACCACTTAAAACACTTTCACGAAGGTTTAAATAGTATGTTGTGAGATGATATGTCACATTATATTGTTTGGCTTCAAAGATAAGTTGGCCTCCAAGGCTACGATGAGGCCTAACCACTTTGAACAACATCAAAAAGATAAGCAGTTAAAAATGTAAACGCAACATCAACTAAATATTATATATATATACTATATATTACCCCATTGCAGGAAAATAAATGTACTTTGTGAGAAATCCTTTAAAATGAGCCCAAACACGACATATTTTGCTATTAAATTTTCAGAGATACTTTGATTTATATATTTTTATGAAATTCAAGATGGCCGAAAACAAATGATTTGTAAATATTGTACTAGATAATTAAAAAACCTTTAAAATGAGCCCAAACTCGATATATCTAGGTATTATAACACCGAAGATATCCGCATTTTTATAAATTCAAGATGGCCGAAAACAAAACACTAATAAGTGTCATCGATATTATTTAAAATTAATTTTTTGGTAGATATAGGGTGTGATACACCAAATTAGGTTAGAATTTTCCGATCTTTTCAAAAATCTTAAGTAATTGGATCTCAAAAGTAACTGAAAATGGCCACTTCCGGTTATAAATTTCTTCTTTACATTTCAAAGAGAAAATTTTCATGATACATTCTTTAAAATGGATCTAAACTCGATATATTTTGCTAATAAATTTTCAAATACATTTTGACTTTTTATAAAATCCAAGATGGCCGAAAAAGTGATTTGTAAATATTGTATTAGATAATTAAAAAACGTATAAAATGAGTCCAAACTCGACGTATCTAGGTATTATAACATCCAAGATATCTTCATTTTTATAAATTCAAGATGGCTGAAAACAAAACACTAATAAGTGTCATCGATACTATTTAAAATTAATTTTTTGGTGGATATAGGGTGTGATACACCAAATTAGGTTAGAATTTTCTGATCTTTTCGAAAATCTTAAGTAACTGGATCTCAAAAGTAATTGAAAATGGCCACTTCCGGTTATAAATTTCATCTTTACCTTTCAAAAATTCTTAATTTTCGTGATAAATTCTTTAAAATGAATCTAAACTCGATATATTTTACTAATCAATTTTCAGATATATTTTGACTTTAGTATTTTTTTAAAATCCAAGATGGTGGAAAAAGTGATTTATAAATATTGTATTAGATAATTAAAAAACATGTAAAATGAGCCCAACCTCGACATATCTAGGTATTATAACACCCAACATATTCGCATTTTTATAAATTCAAGATGGCCGAAAACAAAACACCAATAAGTGTCATTATTTTATCTATTTAAAATGAATTTTTTGGTAGATATAGGGTGTGATACATCAAATTAGGTTAGAATTTTCTGATCTTTTCGAAAATCTTAAGTAACTGGAAAAGTAACTAAAAAGGCCACTTCCGGTCATAAATTTCATCTTTACCTTTAAAAAATTCTTAATTTTTATGATAAATTCTTTAAAATGAATCTAAATTCGATATGTTTTGCTAATAAATAAGTGTTTTTGTATCATTTTTATAAATTCAAGATGGCCGAAAACAAAACACCAATAAGTGTCATCACATGCTTTTAAAAATGAATTTTATGTAACATATAGAGTGCGATACATCAAATTAGGTTAGAATTTTCTGATCTCTTCAAAAATTTGATTATTTTTAATGTATTTGAAAAAAAAATTGTTTACATATCTTTTTAAGAATTAAAACATTATTCTATTAAATAAAATCTTTTGTGCAGATTTGAAAATTATGCTGAAGAATTGCAAATAGATGGCGTGAATTACGATCTTAGTTTATGGGACACTGCCGGACAAGAAGATTATGAAAGACTCAGGCCTTTATCTTACCCAAATGTAAGTCTAATTGAACCAAAAAAACTTGTTTTCCAAATTTTTTATTAATTTTTTGTAGACAACCTGTTTCCTCTTGTGTTTTTCGATCAACACCAAAGATTCTTACGACAACATCAAAACAAAATGGGCACCGGAAGTAAGACATCACATGCCTCACACTCCAATTATCCTCGTAGGTAAGCTAAAATATTTTGATTTATTAATAAATAAATTTTATTTAATCCTTTCTTTATCTTATAGGAACTAAAAATGATTTACGACACGTTGACGATCCAAATCTTCAATTGGTTTCAATAAAAGATGGTAAAAAATTGGCGAAACTAATCAAAGCTGAGTGTTATTTAGAATGTTCCGCGCAAAGATTGCTGGGATTAGATGAAATTATCCAGGCGGCTGTTAGGGCGAGCATGAAAAAGAAGAAACCACGAAAAACCAACGATTCTTGCGATCTTTTGTAGCTTACTTTTTAGATGAAGAACGAAAATTTTGTTAATTTAAATAATTTCAAACCATTAATCTTAATGTTTTTCTTGTGTACATAATTTTTTATCTACCGATAGCGTTATGATAGTTCTATTTGAATTTACTGTCTATTTAGAAATTAAGGAACGTGTACGCGACACACAAAAGGTAAAGAGAGACCGAAAATTTGTAAGCGAGAAATACTCTTTTTTTTTAATAGAAAATAAGATTTATTTTATTTTATTTTTTTTTTGATTATGATTATAATAAAGTTTTATTAAAATTTATTAAATTTGTCTTCTCTAATAATGTTTCTGCACCACAATATTCTGTCATGATCGGTTTTGGTCATGCTGGTCCACCAAGTATAGAAGGGGATTTACCTTTTTTTTCATTTCATCACCATTTCTGCCAGGCCACGTCGACTCTATCTATTCCAGATCGGCTTCCACATCGTTATTAGAGATCACAGATTCAAGATTCCAAGTTTTTTTCAGTCTTTGTCACTTTTTAAAGTATTGTGTCATAAAGGAGTGATGAACATAGCTTGGATGAAGTTAATTTTTGATAACCTCCCTCTATTTTTGTAGGTGACCAGATGTTCACTCTTTTGCAAGTTGGTGTTTATCAAACTCCAGTCATCATAAGGAAAATTCCAGGATACTTTTTCTTTCTTTATTTTTAACTCCAACCACAGCTGTTGCTGTTTTTGCCAACATGGTCGTTCAGATCATCTAAGACGAATTTAGTCTCCCCAAATAGTATGTGAGTTATGACGTCATCTAGGTCTTGACTTGGTCTTGTCCTGCATGTAGTATATATTTATGTTTCTTCTTTTCAGGATTTCAGTAAGTTCTTGGCTGCGCCTCACCTTCATGCAATTATGCCCAAATTTATTATTAGCCGTGTACTTCATTTTAGGAGAATGTTGTAATCCTCGTGGAGAGTTTGGGCCGTTGACTCTAACAATAAGATTCGTCTGAGAGAACATTACTATACTGAGGATATTCCGTGGCACAATATATTAATTTATTTATTTTGGAATTTTCGTCGCGTGTTATTTATTTATTGTGTCACAAACGAAAACAATTATAATAGCCCACACGGGGCTTCTTATTTACTTTTTTGGATTGCGTTTAATCTTATCGTCGCAAATAAAATTGTGAAAAGCATTAAACACGTTTATAATATTTTAGTGTTGTGCTTACAACTGCTATTAGTTGAAAATGAACAAAAACATAAAAATTACCATCGTCGGAGATGGTTCTGTGGGAAAAACGTGCTTGTTAATTTGTTATACGACAAAAAAACCGTGTATGTTAGAGTATATTCCAACTGTGTAAGTAAAAATTTTTACTTAATTTTATGTTGTTTACGAATTAATTCTTTCAGTTTCGATAATTACGATCAAGATTATATTTTGGATGGAAATGAGTATAAAATTAGTTTGTGGGATACCGCAGGACAAGAAGGTTACGATCGATTAAGAGTTTTCTCTTACCCGAATGTAAAAAAAATGTTTTATTTCTTTCCTTAACATCTTGTTTTAAATTCTTGGTTTATTTATAGACTGATTGTTTTGTCCTTTGTTATGCCATCAACGGTTTGGCATCGTTAGTGAATATTAAAGAAATTTGGGTTCCTGAATTGAAAAGACATCGACCTTTCACTCCTATTGTTTTAGTGGGTACGTAAACGTTTTAATATTAAACACAAATTCATTAAATTCCTTTCCAGCGACTAAATGCGATTTACGAAACGTTGACGATCCGAATTTACGACTAATATCAACGGAGAAAGGGTTACAGTTAGCAAAAGATATTAAAGCAGTGCAATATTTGGAGTGTTCCGCTCACGATATGATTGGAGTTGAACAAGTTATTGAATGTGCGGTTCGAGCTACTTTAAAACCTTTACCAACGTCGAAAAAAAGAAGATGTTTGATTTTGTAAATTTCGTCGAAATGGATTAATATTATAATCTCATGTAATTTTTTTATATTACTTTTGTTATGGACAGATTTTATAAATCTATATCGCTTTTTAATAATAATATTTAAAAAAAGTTATTTGATGATTCCAAACTTGTCAAAATGACGTATAATTCAAGTTGGTAACAATTTTTTTTGACGTTTAACAATTTATTCTTCAAAAACTAAACATAATTTTGAGAAACGGTTTCTATCACTAAAAAGTAGACACTTTTCTTTATTATATTCGTAAAATCGAAGTCAATTATCCAAGAAATAGATTTTTAATGAATTTTTAAAGTTAAATCTAAATCCAACGAAACTATTAAAAAATTGAGCAACTTTGACAATTTTTTTCTCAAAAACTAAACATAATTTTGAAAAACGGTTTCTTTCACTAAAATGAAGACACTTTTCTTTATTATACTTAGAAGTTTCAGATAATTTTTCCAAGAAATAGATTTTTGATGAATTTTTAAAGTTAACTCAAAAACCAACGAAACTATTAAAAAATTGAGTAACTTTGACAATCTATTCCTCAAAAACTAAACATAATTTTATGAAACGGTTTCTTTCACTAAAAAGAAGACACTTTTCTTTATTATATTTAGAAACTTCAGATAATTTTTCCAAGAAATAGATTTTACATGAATTTTTAAAGTTAACTCCACAACCAATTAAAAACTTAATCAACTTTCACAATTTATTCCTCAAAAACTAAACATAATTTTATGAAACGGTTTCTTTCACTAAAAAGTAGACACTTTTCTTTATTATATTTATAAATTTCAGATAATTTTTCCAAGAAATACATTTTTCATGAATTTTTCAAGTTAACTCTAAAACCAATTAAAAAATTAATCAAATTTGACAATTTATTCCTCAAAAACTAAACATAATTTTGAAAAACGGTTTCTTTCACTAAAAAGAAGACACTTTTCTTTATTATATTTATAAATTTCAGATAATTTTTCCAAGAAATACATTTTTTAGGAATTTTTCAAGTTAACTCTAAAACCAATTAAAAAATTAATCAAATTTGACAATTTATTCCTCAAAAACTAAACATAATTTTGAAAAACGGCTTCTTTCACTAAAAAGTAGACACTTTTCTTTATTATATTTATAAATTTCAGATAATTTTTCCAAGAAATAGATTTTTCATGAATTTTTAAAGTTAACTACAAAACCAATTAAAAAATTAATCAACTTTGACAATTTATTTCTCAAAAACTAAACATAATTTTGAGAAACGGTTTCTTTCACTAAAAAGTACACACTTTTCTTTATTATATCTGGAAATTCATAAATTTTTCATAAATTTTTAATCACTATTAACAGAGAATTATTAAGACTTGTAGAATCACATAGAAACGTTTTAAACCATAACCAAATTTTTGCATTCCCTTACCATATTATTATCAACTACTAATATTTAAAACTAACATTAACCTTATTCACTCGTCGTATTTACTTTTCAACTCTATATAATCTTATCATTAAGTAAAAATGTTTAAGCGGTTCCGTACTTCAGTATAGGTATTTGAACCTTCACATTATAATTCCTTAAGAAATGAGGAATCAAAATATCAAAATTACGATCGTTGGCGATGGATACGTAGGAAAAACATGTCTCTTAGTTTGTTACACGACAAAGCAAAGACCCACATCGCAGTATATACCAACTGTGTAAGTAGAAACGTTTTTGTAATTAAACTATAACAGGAAATAAAATCTTAGTTTCGATAATTATGACGAAGATTACACTTTGGATGAAAAAACCCATCGAATAACGATATGGGATACGGCGGGGCAAGAAGATTACGATAGACTCCGAGTTATATCTTACCCAAATGTAAGAATTTTCTTTAACAATTAACTTAATTTATCTTATAATTTATAGACTGCTTGTTTCGTACTTTGTTATGCCATTAACAATTGGAATTCGTTTCTCAATATTAAGGCAAAATGGGTTCCGGAATTAAAACAACACGAACCTTTCACTCCTATTATTCTTGTAGGTATGACAAAAAAAAAAGAATTTTCTTTGAATGTTTAAATTTAAATAAATAATTTTGTATTTTGCAGCAACCAAATGTGATTTACGTAAAGTTGACGACCCAAATTGGGATTTAGTGCCTCTCGAAAAAGGATTAGAAGCGGCTAAAGAGATAAAAGCTGCGCAATATTTGGAGTGTTCCGCTTATGATATCACCGGAATTGAAGAAGTTATTGAAAATGCAGTTCGAGTTTCTTTACAACCTCCTCCAATGCCTAAAAAAAGAACTTGTGTTATTTTATAATAAGTAGCCGAGGCAGCTAAGTTGCCGAGGCAGTAGCTCATAAGTGCATGTAAAAAGAAAAGTCATTATCAAGCTGGATAACACCGAAATCAAAAAGATAAAAAAGTGTTATCTAATAAATAAATTAAATTTTTTCAAAAAATAAATTTTATTATAATATATTTTTTGTTAATAGATTAGTATTTTTTTGTTCAACAAAAAAAAACATCCTGAGTAATAAATTACTTAAACTATAACTTGGTTACAAAATCAATATAATTTATTTTCATTGATGATCCCCATATAACAACTTTTTAAAAGATTCTTCATTAATTGTATCCAAACTATTTCCCTTTTTCTCTGATTGATCTTCAGGACTGGATAAATAAAGAGTTTGGACATCAGGAAGTCCGGGAGATAAAACCATCGAAAAAAAATCCGTATTCTCACCACCTCCATAAGAGTTATCCACCGTTTGATTGTTATTATTCTCATTGTTGTTATTATTTGGGGGTACTCTTATAATGTTTTGCCCATCATAAGCAAAATTTTGACCGATAATCTCTCCTTGAGCATTAAAAACGATCGAATTAACACTCTCACTCGAACTCTTTTCGTTATTATTTACTTTATTAGCTTTTTGGATAATTTTATCGACTAAAATCGGTGCTCTAATAACGGATCCTGGGGGATTTGCGAGACATTTATGAGATTTTTGACTAACTTTGTATCGAAAACTTTTGTCGCAAGCTGTACATTTATATGGCATAACTCCTGTATGTATTCTGCGATGAACCAAATAAGAAACTCTTTGTCTAAAACATTTTCCGCATGTTTCGCAAGCAAAGGGACGTTCTCCTGAATGAATTCGTTCGTGGTTATGAAGCGTGGATAATTCTTTAAAAGCTCGACCACATTCTCCGCAAACATGTGGCTTTTCGGATGAATGATACAACATATGTTTATGATATGATTGTTGAAACGTAAATGATTTATTACATTGCGTACAAAAATACGGCATCTCACCAGTATGCAATCTTTTGTGTTTCTTTAAAAAATATTTAGTTGTAAATAATTTGAAGCAAACATCGCATGCCCATTGTTTATTCTCAGATTTTTCAATCTTTTCCGAATTTACATCTTTCTCGTCTTTTTCCTGAATTTTTGGTTGTTGAATCAATTTATTTTCGATTTCAACACTTTTATTAATAACCGCGGTTTCTTGTTGATTCGTAAAACCGAAATGAGCCACCCTCAAATGCACCATCAGACTTCCTCTCATCTTAAACTTTTTACTACACAAATGACAATGATAACTATACTTCCCGGTTTGCAAATCCGCTTGCGTTTGATGTAAAAGTTTTTGGTGCATCTCCAAAATGTTTTCATCGGAAAATGAAAAATTACAAATATCACAACGAATCAATTTCGTTTTTGAAATTTTATCTGTTTCGCTTTGCGATTCTGTATGAAGGATGTTGAGTTGATTCGAAGAAAAAAAATCCGGGGTATGATCAGAATGAACTATGGAAGGAATCGTTTGAATCGTGGTTGCTTTTATGAAATTTTCTTGGATGTGGCTAAATAGATGGATTGTTAATTTGTCTAATCCCATTAAAAGCTCGTTGCATACTGGGCATGATATTGGAGATGTTGCTGCTGTTATTAAACTACTTCTTAATGAATCCACCCCTTCGAAGTGTGGTTTAAGGCATAATGGACATGATAAGAGCTTAATTTCCATTTCGTTTTAATCTGAAAATATAAAAAATAACATTAATATTTATTTTGCAATCCAAACAGCTGTATAATGAGGCAATGGAGTGTATTTGATTGTAAAAGAAACCACCAGAGGCTTTTTAAATACAAATGTGTTGGTTTTAAACCGAGGAAGCGAAGCTGCCGAGGCAGTAGTTCATAAACTACAGCAAAAATAAAAGTCGTTATTTCGATATTAATATGTCATATCGTAGCCGAGGCAGCGAAGCTGCCGAGGCAGTAACTCCTAAACTACAGCGAAAATAAAAGTTGTTATTTCGATATTAACATGCTATATCGTAGCCGAGGCAGCGAAGCTGCTGAGGCAGTAGAGACTACTTGATTGTAAAAAAAGGCATCAAAGCCTTTTTTTAACATAAATAATATGTTAGTTTTAAGCCGAAGCAGCGAAGCTGCCGAGGCGGTAGTTCATAAACTACAGCAAAAATAAAAGTCGTTATTTCTATATTAATATGTCATATCGTAGCCGAGGCAGCTGCGCTGCTGAGGCAGTAGAGAGTACTTGATTGTAAAAGAAGGCATCAGAGTCTTTTTTTAACATAAATCATATGTTAGTTTTAAGCCGAAACAGCGAAGCTGCCGAGGCAGCAGTTCATAAACTACAGAAAAAATAAAAGTCGTTATTTCGATATTAATATGTCATATCGTAGACGAGGCAGCTACGCTGCTGAGGCAGTAGAGAGTACTTGATTGTAAAAGAAGGCCTCAGAGCCCTTTTTTAACACAAATAATATGTTAGTTTTAAGCCGAAGCAGCGAAGCTGCCGAGGCAGTAGCTCCTAAACTACAGCGAAAATAAAAATCGTTATTTCAATATTAACATGTTATATCGCAGCCGAGGCAGCGAAGCTGGTGAGGCAGTAGAGAGTACTTGATTGTAAAAGAAGGCCTCAGAGCCCTTTTTTAACACAAATAATATGTTAGTTTTAAGTCGAAGCAGCGAAGCTGCCGAGGCAGTAGCTCCTAAACTACAGCGAAAATAAAAATCGTTATTTCGATATTAACATGTTATATCGCAGCCGAGACAGCTGTGCTGTTGAGGCAGTAGAGTATACTCAATTGTAAAAGAGGGCATCAGAGCCTTCTTTTAACAAAAATATGTTAGTCTCAATCCGAAGCAGCAAAACTGCCGAGGCAGTAGCTCGTAAATTACACCCAAAATAAAAGTAGTTCTTTCGATATTAATATGTTATATCGCAGCCCAAACAGCGAAGCTGCCGAGGCAGTTGTTCATAAACTACAGCAAAAATAAAAGTCGTTATTTCGATATTAATATGTCATATCGTAGCCGAGGCAGCTGCGTTGCTGAGGCAGTAGAGAGTATTTGATTGTAAAAGAAGGCATCAGAGCCTTTTTTTAATACAAATAATATGTTAGCTTTAAGCCGAACCAGCGAAGCTGCCGAGGCAGTAGAGAGAACTTAATTTTTTAACATAAATGTGTTAGATTTAAGCCGAAGCAGCGAAGCTGCCGAGGCGGTAACTCGTAAACTACAGCTGAAAATAAAAGTCGCTATCCCCGATTTTTATCGAAGTGATTCCATACTTTATGTACACAGTGTATAAAAAGTGACAAGCTGCTTATGCAACCCTGCTAACAAACATGTTAAGTATTTCTCAATTAGTAAGTTAATTTCTTCCAGATTTTCTTTTCTTCCATTAGGGTTAAAAATAGAACATAAAAGCAAACAGATTATCCAGGATATCCAGCAGAAAAAAATTCCTTGTGATTTTATAGAATGTTGAAGTTTTCTAATCATTACAAACACCAACCACAGCTAATACAAAGTTAATGTTTCATTTAACTACTACATTATTACAGGATATTCTACGAATATTTCGTTTCTAAAAACTTTCAAATAAGTTTTATAATTATGCTTTAATTACCTTTAAATTTTTTATGTTACTATATATAATCAAGAAACTTACCTGAAGGTTAATTCACTGATGTTGAAATAAACAATAGTGACTTATTTTTAGAATAAAGCTCGTAGCAATGTGTTCTTATAAATTTCCACTACTTAAAAAGACAAAATCACCACAAAAAATGATGGTGATATCCCTCAATTAGGTGTAAATAAAAGCGAATTTTCAATCACACATGGATGGCATACGAAACGAACTCAAGACCATGAGAGAAAACCTAAATTTAAACTCCAAACTGTTGCGTATATCCACACAGTCAGAGTTTTCTAAAAATATAAGGAAGCCGTTATGGCAACCAAACATTTTATTAACATATAATGTCAATTTTAAACGTATAATTATTTTTTGTTGTACGTGTTTTAAGGAAGGGTTGCGTTTAATTAATGGGGATGGTTTTTTGTTTACACAACCATTTTAATTAATTTGTAATCATTTTTTTGTACGCGTTTTTTAATTAATTGTCCGGTTAAAAATGGCTTTAAATATGGATGAGGTTTTAAACGAAATCGGCTGGAACAAAGGTTTTAATATTCCCATAGCTAATAAAGAAAATCAAGGATTGATGTTGGAATTTCAAAAGTTGCTGAATCAAAGAGAAGCGTTTAAAAAGAAATTTGAGAATGAAACAAATAAATTTAAAGCTTATGAGAAACATTTAAAATTCATTAAAGAGGAATCTGAGCAAAATGAGAAACTTTTAATGGATTATGATCGCCAAATTAAAACGGAAAAACATAAATATTTAAAATTAAAGTGTGAAAATGAGAAAACTGACCAGGATATAAAAGGGGTGAGAAAACATATTGAGGAAATCGGGGCAAGAAATGATGAGAAAAGGAATGAGTTGAGTAAAGTTATGAATAGAATCGAGAAAGCTAAGGTTGTCTTTAATTGGGATCTTGAAGCTAATAAATCCACGGAGGAGTGTGTCGAAGAACAACTTAATGATGAGAATGTTCTAAAAAAATATTCCGAATTAGATGCGCGCAAATTAAAAACTTTGGAAGCTCGAAGACAAAAATTGCAATCATGTTTAACAGAAAAATTGGAAAAAGCTGAGAAAATCAATGCAGCAATCGCAAATTATCTCAGCATGCAACATAAAACCAATGTAATACTTTGCGAGCAAGAAAACGAAAAAAAATTATTAATTAAGCGTTGGCAAAATGCTGTTAAAAATTTGAGAAAACGGGACCAAGAAATTTCTAGATTTAAATGTGATATAAAACAAATCGAGGAATGCATAAGAGAACGCGAACAAATGTTAAATGAAGAAGAATCGTTTTTTCACCAACAAGAATACCACAACAAAGAGATGGAGAATGAAATTGCCGAATTAAACGTTTTAAATTCGCGCGCAAGAAAAGAATTACAAGATAGTACTAAATTTACTTTAGAAGTAAACGTGAATTTTACCACAACAAAAACAACTTTGTTAATCGTTTCAACTAAATTGGAACGTGCAAGAAAAGAAAACAAAAATTATAAAAACCAAATGAATAAAATTAATGAATCAATTCAAAAATCATTAACTACCATCAGAGAGTTAGAGATAAAACTGTTAAAAGTTAAATCAATTTCAACAACAGCAACAGATAAAGCAAAACATTTCCACGATTTAATTAAAAACGAAGAAATGCTTTATAAAATATTAACCAAAGATATTAATAAATCTCAAGACGTCTCTCTCAAGAACCGAAATGGTTTGAAAGAAATCAATGATGAAACGACAAAAATAAAATTACAAATTCCTAAAACTTTATTAACGATTCGAAATGCTCATAACAAGGTTAACCATGTAATGAAAACCGTTTACTTACAAACCGAAATGAGTTATCGCTTAGCTTACTATAAATACCAACTGAAATTGAAAATATCAGATCTTGAAGGTACCTCGGAGAAAAAGGAAGACAAAGAAGTAATGGATGAGAAAATAGAAGAATTTGAAAAAAGATTGGGGTTTCACAGAGAGAAAAGAATCTTTTTAAAGAATCAAGTTTTAAAAGTTGAAGAGGAAATGAGAAGACTGACCATGCATAAAATAGAGGATGCCAAAAAATTAGATCGCCTAAAAAGTAAGCTACAAGACGAGAAAATGCTTTTTGAAGGGGGCGTCAAACAAACGGCTATTATGAAAATGAAAATTCAAAAAATGCATGTTGACATGAATATGTTGCGATTAAAACTTTCCCAATTAGAAAAAGCTTTAACCAAAGAAGTCGATAACATCTACGATTTACAACGATTCAAATTATTCTTAGAAACCGTATTAATTCACCTAACTTAACCAAACAACATAATAAAAATCCTTTTTTCTAGACACTAAAAGAACGCGAAATTGAAATTAACACCCACTGTCAAATCTTAGAAGCATCCAAAAAGAATTTAGAGGAAACTCGAAGTCGATTAAAAGCTGACATCAATTCCAAAAAACTTCGAGTTACTCAATTTCAACAGAAGCATCACATAGCACTTGCGGTGCTGGGTTCTTGCGAAGACGGGGAACCTTTATCGATGGAAGAATATAGAACGAAAGAAGAGGAACAACGGGTATTGTTAAAGGATGAGCACGAAGATTTAAAACGAAAAATTGAGATAACCGAAAAAGAACTTCAAGCTATGGAAAATACTCTTCATGTTGTTAATAAAACGAACGATGTGTTTTTAAGGACGTTAATGCCCAAACATGAGGAAATCGATCGGAATGAATCGGATATTATGAAAATGGAAGATGAAACTATTAAAAAATTTGATGTGTTTAAGGAACGAAAGAGGGTGTTTAAGGGGATGCAAAAAAAATTAAATGGTATGATTTCACATCTTATTCTGCTTCTTTTAGCGCTAGTGGATTTCTCCATTATCGTCTCCAATCCATCCGGTTTTCAGCGACCCATCATTATTCATTCTATCTTTCCATCTCGTATGGGGCCTGCCTCTACTTCTTCTATCTGCCATGATTGATCTAAAAGCTATGCTTGCAGCTTTTTCTGATAATGTGTCCAGCCAGTATCTGCTTCTATAAGTGGTTCAAATGTTCGCTTCCGTCAGATTGCGCTTCGTAAGTTAAAACTGATCTGACCAAGATCTTATACATCCTCACCTAGATATGTTCTTTGATTACTGCACATGGTAACATCTGCTTGCAGCTTGTATTAAGTCTTCTATTCTTGTACTCGTATAAAGATTACACCTAGATACTTGAATGCATGAAAATTCTCGAAAGTATATTCGCCTACTGTTATAGTTTCAGGTCTTAACCTCTGTTCACTTCAGGTTATCTTCATAGCTTCTCATAATTTATGGCCATTATCAATACATCATACGCATATTTGAAATGACTTTATCATTATGCTGTCTCTGTTTTCGAAGTCACCAATGGCACAGTGTAAGTCAATTAAACATTAACATTAGCGCCGACAGTGCACCTCCCTATCTCACACCATTCCATATCTCAAAACCATCGGATATTGTATGATGACAATGGTCATCACTGCTACCTGCGTTAGTTTTTGGCGGATTCCTATTTGTCTGATATCATATAAAGTTCCATTTATACTTTTGATATGTTAGTGTTTCAGATGAAACTTGATTTATCTTGATTCCATTCCAATTGAGTATCCTAAAACAATGAAGCAGTATTAATTTGTTTGTAAAAATCATTATTTCAACATGGAACATAATTTTCAACATGAATTATTTATTATCACCAAAATATTTTAAAATAGATACGCAAAACAAACTGGACAAGAAACGCGAAGAATTTCAAGTGGAACTTAAACATCGTGAAGAATTAGAAAGTATATATCTCAACGTAAAACGTGAATTACTCGAATATAATGAAAAATTTGCCAAAATTTTACACAATGTAAAAACGTATAAAAAGAAAATAATATCAAATCAACATTCAGAGAGGACTTTGGTATAATATAAAATTATTTTTAATATGGCTTAATTAAAACGCCTTTATTTTAATTAGAGAAATTTGGAAATCAAGCAATTCGATGGTGCGAATAAACAAACTCTTCATCAAATTGCCGTTTTAGCAAACGAAAATGAAGCTCAATCTCCAACGATTGAAAATTTGTTTTTAGAAAATAATTTGAGTTTACCTTCGTTGGGAAGTAAATCGTTATCTGTTAGTAGCAGTAGCTGTCTTTCGTTGCCGATTAAGGGCGATATAAATTTTTCAGGAAGGACATCTACGTCAGCACTAACACAAATAGTTTTAAAATTTGATGATATTAATAAATAATTTAGCTTCAATCTCTGTTAATTCTTTAATTTTATCCTTAATTACTAGGTCTAGTGGTAGTTCTAGTTTTACACTATTACTAGAACTAACACAAGACCTAGAACTAGAATCATTCGGGTTTAGCCGTCTTGAGAGACGTGCGGCTAAATCCGAATGCTTCTAGTTTTCGGTCTGTTTACAAGTTACAGTGAAAGTGTAAAACTAGAACTAACACTACACCTAGAATCATTCGGATTTAGCCGTTTTTAGAGACGTGCGGCTAAATCTAGTTTTGCAGTTTGTTAATTATCATACCCGATGTCATCGTTGCAAGTATGCAACCAATATCACAGTATTGCACGCAAATCACGTATACTGTGATGTTGGTTGCATACTCGTAATGATGACGCCAAGTAGGGTAATTAATTAATACATTGCACATAATAGGAGTGCTAATATAAAACTAGAACTAACACTACACCTAAAACTAATGAACAAATATTAATTAATGAATCGAGTAACTTTATTTAATAGTAAATTTATAATTTTTACTTATAATAAATGAAACTTAAATTATAGTTATTTCCTTTTGTATTTTGGACCATCTCCACCGAAATGACCCTTTCTTTTCCGCCCTTTTTGTTTTTGTCTAATATCTAAAACTGAAGCAACAGTTTTCTTTAAATATTCCTCTTCTTCTTCACCTTGTAAAACGCGTAATTCCAACTTGATTTCACCAATGTCTAATTTACCCTCCAATTTTTCACAAACAATTACCCCATCGTTTTCATTCTTCATTCTAATGTGTCCTTCAACATCCCCTTTACTAAATTCGAGAAATTTAGCCTCCATCTCTGTTAATTCTTTAATTTTATCCTTAATTTCTTCTCTAGTTAATGTCTCCCCTTCTTTAATTCCTTTGAAATGTACAACAGCTCCTTTTGGAAACTCCAACGTTTTTTGGAACTTTTTATTGTCATTTTTGTCTTCATCTTGATTATTTTGATCTTTCTTTTTTGATTTTCTATTTTTACGTTCTTCAGTTTCTTTGCGTTTTTCTTCAATGTAATCTTGTTGCATCTTTCTTAATAAATCTTTCTCTTTATATTTTATGCCTTCAGATTCAACAAATTTTTTACATTCATCAATATCTTTAAAAATAATAAAACAAGATCCTTTAAATTTGTGTTCTGAAGTTTTTGGGTCTTTATAAGTACGCATTTGCACCGATTCAACATCGCCTTGATCTTTCATAAATTCATTGATGTTATCTAAGATTTCATCGAACGGGAAACCTTTTGCATATGCTAAAACAAAAATTGATATTATTAAATTGATTCCTAAAAGATTAACGTTATTAAACAAACCTGTACGAGTCATTAACTCTTTACGCCGCTCTTCGTTTAATTCTGGAAGCGGTATTTCGGGGTTTCTTCTTAATTTTTTTAAGTCTTCACTTACCTCGATTAATTTGCTCTCACTTTCTTTAATAACGTTCGCGATCTTTTCGGCGTCAGTTGTTAAACTTGCTAATCGTTTAAACGTAAGAAGCACGTCTAAACCGACCCAACCCTCATCTTCTTTAATTTTTTCTTGCATAAATTTATCGCGGGGCAAATTGATGTCGCCGAAATAATATTCGATTTGCCTGAGGATTTTTTTATCTAAATCGATCGCCATTATAACAGAATTATCGAAAAAAACGTGGTAAAAATGCCGCTAAACGTATTTTTACACACGTGGTTTGCTTAAAGTTATTTTGACAAGTATAATTAATGTGAAGTTAGTTACTATCTATGGATTGTTGGTGGGGCAGATGTAACAACATTACAAAAAAAAAAAATTTTGTTGATATAGATAAAAAATTAAATAAAATGTTTGCGACTTATTAATTATAAATAATATTAAATTTTAATAAAATCTAAGAGAACTACCACATCCCGCTAAACAGTCTGTTAACTAACGCCATTTTATGGATAACAGATTTTTGTTAAAATGGTTGCCTACTAAATCAACCCTATATATTTTACTTTTTTAAAAATTAAATTCTAAACAACAAAGAATAATTTAATTAGATTTAATTATTACCCCTAATCAAATTCTTATTTATTCGAATTAGTTCATATTTGATTATTATTTTTTTTAAATATTCTTATTTACTATAAATTTTTAAATTAAATTAACACATTAACAACAACAACTTAATTATAATTCAAATAATACATGAAAATCGTTTGACTTGATATGTTTTAAAACAACCTTGGCTTTAAGATCGGGTTAAAACGGTCTTTTGCAAGACGTTTTAAGAGAAAGTGCATTAAACAAGTAAAAGCCAATAGAGCTCTTCGTTGATTCATTTTCTGGCTTAGAAATGCTGGGAGATGTTCTCAGCAAGTTTAGAATTATCTTTAAAAAGTGTAAAATTATTTAGGAAAAAATTCAATTACACGCGACTAAAAACTGACGAGGATAATTGTTATTCAGAGTGTTTTGAAGAAAACAATGAGTACATTGAGGTAAGTGAAATTCACTTCGTGATTTGAATTATTTATTTAAATAAATTTCTTTGTTAACTTTCTATAATGTGTTAAGATTGCTTTTTTTAATCGAACTCTACAAGGAATTAAAAATTTATAATCATAATTTTTATACTATATAAATTATGATAAAAAGATTTTTGGTGTTGTACGAAGAGTTACATTTAACTTTCTGAAGTAGAATTAACAGGTTGTAAAGTGAACGTGGCCCCACCTTCCTCTCTGCGCACACCAACAATACAAAAACGACATTGAGATATTCAACAAGATCCAATACAGTGTTCGCTTGAAACCCGAACGAGTAAGAAACCGCGCTCGTTTAAAACGGTTCGAAATAGTTTTAAATAGCCATAGGTTGTGAATTTGATTGGTCTCTAAATATGAAGTAATAAAAACAATAAATTAAAATTTATATTAAGTTTAATTCAAATTAATGAAAAATAATTAGTAATTTTTTAAATTGATGTTTTTAAATTTTTGTGATTTAAAGTTTTTTTTTTAATTTTGTTGTGGGGTGATTATTTTTTAATAAAGAATGCCTTCACGTCATTCAAATGGAACATCGAATATGGAGATAGCTCATAGCAGTCAGGTATAAAATAATTTTTCTTTTCTAGTTGTTGTAAGATGATATCTTATTTTATGAAGAAGAGAAAGCAAAGAAAATGGGAAAGTTTGGTAAAAAGCGTAAATCTTAAAATAAACCGTATCGGTTTTTATTGCACTAGAAAGTCGAATTTTATTGTGCCATTTGAACTGGTACTTCCCAAAAAAAAATTCCAATAATGTTAAATACCAAGAAATCCAAACTGGATTTTTTTAAATTCGTTTTAAATTTAAATTTATCAAGTATATATCACGTTTTAGCAATTTAACACAACTATTTTTTGATATTTACTTATGGAAAGTAGAAAATAAGTGTATATAGATATCAGTAACCTTGAGGTATCTAACATTTAAAAAATAATTGACGTTACGTGCATAACAAGTGCTCAATGAGTTACAAGTTTTAATCCTGGGATGGATTCCAATAAAAAAAACAACAACAAATTTATTAGTATTTAGATCCTTTCTCTTTTAACTTTAAAAGGTTTACACTGTATCAATAAGATACTTGCATACCAAGAATGGTTTCAAGTCGCAATTGAAAGGCTGAAAGTTGTTCAATATCTATGTTTATTGTTTTTTAAAATGCAATTGCGTTATTTAATATCTTAAGAATACTTTAACTTGTTTAATCACCTTCACTATTTAATATTAACATATAAAGATACTGACCTTGTTAAATTTATTTATCTATTCTTTCCTCCTTGATGTCTTTATTTGCTAATCATCTTGACTCTTTTGTGCTTTATCATGAAATACTTTGTAGTGTCCTTACTGCAATGTTCTGGATGTTATCCTTCTTGTCATAACATTCAAGATCCATAACTTCTTCTTGGTAATAACAACCATGTGATTGATATAATCTGTTAATTAAAGAAACACCTTTTTTATTGAAAGATAATTATAAAATCGAAGTAGAAATATTTCAATTAAAAATCAAGGATTTTGATGCCAAATTGCTCCTCCACGAAGTAATGAAGGTCGATGGTATCTCACACGATTAAACTTTTCCCATGGACCATCTAGTTTGTAAGAAGCGTGTAACATTTAAAAAATCATTGAATACATTATTCCTTAAAACATAAATGCTTTTGAATGGTACGAGGCGAAATTCAATGCATATTACTTCATTTAGGTTTTCTAAGTTGTTAGGAGAATGTTTATCAACCTAAGTTTTGAGAAAAAAAAATTAGCTGCTCAACCACACATTCTCTAAATTACATTACTGATGTAATACATGACTTGCAATATGCCATTAATAGCATTAAAATACTCAAATTACTTAAATTTATGAATGTGAAAAGTGGTAGAAGTATACAGCTACTACAAGGAGCCAATGCTCTCAGAGTACACCAAGATCCAAAGATTGCAATAGGCAGGACATTTGGACAAGGTGAAGGAGGGAAGAATACCGAAGCAACTGCTTCACAGGATATACTTGGGTTCAGAAATGAATGAGGGAGGCTAAGGATCGATAGAGTTATTGAAGGTAGAGAGAGAAGATATCTAAAATTCTTGTTGTTCAGTGTTTCAAATGCCAAAACCAATAATTCTTGGTATATCAAGAGTCAGAAGACCCCAAAAACTCCTATTTTGGATAAATCAAATTTTGAAAAGTGTCAAAAACTCTTATTATTGATACATGAAGTTTCAAAGGATGCAATAACTCTCGGTTTTGACATGTCAAAAGTTCAGGGATGTCTAAAATTCTCCTTCTCAGTATATGAAATGTCAAAAACACAACTTCGTGATATTTTATTGATACAAAGTGCTAGTAACACCTGAGTATGATTTGTTATTTCTCAAAAATAATAGTTATTGGTTATTCAACTGTTAGTAGACTTCGGAAGTTCTTGTTCCTGATGCATCAAGTGTCGAAGAATGTCAAAAACTTTTATTATTGATATGTGAAGTGTTAAATAATGCAATAACTCCCGTTTTTGATATGTCAAGCTTTGAGAGACGTCTAAAATTCTTGTTCTCAGTCATATCAAGTGTCAGAAGACCTCAAAAGCTCTTGTTCCGGATAAATAAAATTTTGCAGAATGTCAACAACTCTTATTACCGGTATGGAAAATATCAAAGGTTGCAATAACTCTCATTCTTGATGTGTCAATCGTCGAGGAATGTCTAAACTACTTATTCTCAATATATCAAATGTCAAAAACAGTAATTCTTGATGTATCAAGTATCAGAATACATCAAAAGCTGTTGTTTTGGATATATCAGGTGTTGAAGAACGTCAACGCAACCACAATGTGACGTAACTCCAAACCTTTGAGAATTTAACGCAACCCTAAAAAGGAATCGAGCTAATTGCAAAGCAAAATAACCTAACCTCAAAGAAAAGCAAACGAATTCAACTCTAAACCAATACAAACTAACTCCAAAACAAGTGAATCTAACTCAAAAACAACTGAATCCAACTCCAAACCAACTTCAAATGATCCGAAACGCAAAGTAATACTCCGGATCTTATTACAAAAATCTTTTGTTGATGCATTTGCAACCTTTATACCATCACGCCTTTTCTATACATAAACAATTCAATCTGGCACACGGTGATGAAGTTCTTGATTAAAATTAGAGGTGAGTCACGTGAAGGAATATGTATTTTAATCACAGCTTCGGTATGGAGGATAAGAAACTTTTTTAATTATTAAGCTGTTTGGGTTGATGGTGTTAATTAAAAATGTCAACCTTTATACCACTAACTTTGTTTAACTTAGTTGTTAATTTTATAAATTATTATGTTAAAACAATTTCGTTCTTAATTAGAAACATCGATGGAATTTTCGATGAATATTCAATCTTCCGGTTCAGTCAAGCAAGTCGACGTTAAAGCTGCATTATGAATAATTCAAAATTCCCCTATAATAGCATAAACAGACCGCTCGGACACTCGAACAATACCTAGAATTCTGCGATATTGAGCTCTCGAGTTATAAAGGAGTTAAATGTACATCCGTTGAATACTAAATAAATATTTAAATTGTGTGTTATGAACGAGATCTATTTGCATACGCTTCAACTGTACATTTCTTTGTTATTTAACAATAATATCATAAAAAATCAATTTAATTGTTTTCATTTTATACCTTAATTGGATTTTTTATGGTCGTTGAATTTTAATTCTTCCAATTTACGAGTTGCGGGTCATTTTTTTCTAAAAATTGTTTACTGCAGCTTGTTATACCGTTAAGTTATTTTTAACCCAACAAAAACAAATCCATCCTTTTATTTAAGTTAAGTTATATAGGGGATTTATAAAATCGTGTATTCAATTAATTTAATTTAGTGTTAAATTCCTTTGGATTTGTATGGGTAACGCGAAGGGGTAAACGAGAAAATAATAACATGTTACCTCTTAGAATAAATAATACGGATGCGATCGCATGTTATGTTAATGTTCGATTTGTTCGTAACTTAATTTACATACCAACACGTTGGTTGCGGTTTCTTGGGCTAAACATAGTCCTGCAGCTTTTCTTTAACAAACTCCGATTTATTACATAATTAAATGATAAAACAAATTACTTAGATGTATATTTTTTAAAACACCTCTCTATTCAAATTACTAATTACACCCACTTAATTCAAAAGCAGTATCACGAACGTTAAAAATAATTTATTATCTCCAACGGTTGTCGTTATCTCGGTAATAAATCTCTGAGGGAAATCGCGGAAGCTTTAAATTCAACACTTTGCATGCGAAACAATTTTAAATTTTTCTTAAAAAAAAAGCTTAAAATTCTAAAAATGAGATAAAAAATGAGAAATGGGAAGTTTAATTCGACTCGCATTAAATTAAAATCTAGGTCAGTAAACCACATCAACAGTGACAAAAAAATTGTTATACCAACGAGAAAAGGTGTTGTAACATTAGGCAAGGTCGTCACCTTGTTACGGATCCTAGGATAATGTGTTCTGTGTTAAATTACTAAATGAAAGGTTGCCAAAGAGAGATGAATAATAAAAATAAAGGAAATTTCTTTTGTGTAAAATAGTAGAAAAGAAATTGATTTTTGTTGCGTGTAAAGAATAAAAAGGTAGTTAAAAAGGAGGACGAAATAAAGTTAAAAATACCCAATAGGGGGTATGTTAATGAGAGAGTGAACTTAATGAATAATAACGACCATTTTATTGTAATTTACGCTTTTATTGTTTTTCTATTTGATAAAGAACTATTTTTTCTTAAGGATCAAATTAATCAAAAACTTATCAAAGATTAATCCTAGATTATCCAATAAACATATATCATAATCAATTCAAAGACTATAAAATAATCAATGATAAGAACGATTGTGTTATCGGCTTAAAATATTTTATAAGGTTGTTGATTACTTTTTTATTACCAGTCGTTATTTAACCACTTTTATTATAAGATAAAAGATGGTTGTTGAAAATAACACAGTAAGAACAATAATGAATTAAAATTTCTTAAAATTATCTTAATTTAACCCAACAGGATTTAATCATATCAAAAGGAAGAAGAAAGAAACGATTATGGATAGCAGGATCAATAATTGCCGTGGTTGTTATAGCCGCGATAATCGCTGTAGTTGTTGTACTTACAACTGCAGATGATGATAACACAAATGGAGGAGATGAAACCACTAACATCTCATTAGAGGACATTTTAGAAAATAAATTAAGTGCGAGAAGTTTTAACGCAACTTGGATATCAGGTGAGTTTTTAATTTTGACTCAAACACAATAACAGAATTATTTTTAGATTCAAAGTTACTCTATAGAGACTCACCGGGGAATTTAATGACTTATAATTTGGAAAATAATGAAAAAAAGGAGATTTTTCCTTCAAATCCAGTAAAAAAAATTAAAAAAATTAATTACATAAACTTTAGACATTTTTTAAATTTTAGTTATTAATCAACTCAATTATCTCAGAACTTTCCCCAGACGGAAAATTTATTTTATTCGGATTTGAGTATCAAAAATTATATAGGCACTCATTTTACGCCAAATACACCGTAATTGACCTCGATACTAAAGAAGAAACTGAAATTACAATCCCAAATCAAAGAAGTACCGATCAATTAGCTTTGCAATATTGCGGTTGGTCCACTCAAGGAAACGCGTTAGTTTTTGTTTATTTAAATAATATTTATTATAAATCATCGGTGAATGATGACGCTAAACAATTAACGACTGATGGGAGAGATGGTTATCTTTACAACGGAATTCCTGATTGGGTCTATGAAGGTAAAAATAATTTATTCGTGAAACAAATTATTATAATATGTTTTTAGAGGAAATTGTCGCTTCAAATAAAGCGTTGTGGTTCTCGGATGATGGAAAAAAATTAGCGTACGCGAAATACAATGATCAAAATGTTCCTATAATGACAATACCGTTTTATGGGATACCGGGAAGTTTACCGTATCAATATACAAGAGCTGTACAAATTAGATATCCAAAGGTAAATAATCAATAATATCATTAAGATTGCCAAAAAGATTAGAAAACCATAAACTTGTTAAAACAGTGTTAATAGAAACACTTTAAGACATGTTATAAACGTGTGAAACATTGCGGAAATGAAATGCTATTAAAATTCAAACATTTTAGAGTTGCACGCAAATGTTAGAAGCGAAGTTTTAACTTCGTTTTAAAGTCGATCTATTAATAACGTAGATGTTTATTTACTAATCAAGTAAAATAAACTCATTCTATTTTCTGGTACAAGTTATAAATTTAAATTACGCAAATCCGTTTTGCTGAATGCTGTCTTAAAATGTTTTTCTTTTATACTTTCTGATATCATTGCCCTGATAACGTTTTTCAATAACAGAAATGTCTTGATAAAATCTCTCACCGTGTTCATCACTGACGTCGCCGAGATTCGGGGGAAAGAAATCCAGGTTCTAGTGTAAAAAATGTATTTTAAGGCTCACGTTACAGCCCAGTTCATGATAATTTCTAAGAAGTTCATTACTAATTGCTATGTAATTGTCAGATTTTGTTTCCTAGAAAATTTTGGGTCACACTCTTAAAAGCATTCCAAGCTATTTAAAGTCCCTTCAAATTGTGCATCTTGTTATAGACATTTAATTTGGAGGTCTTTCAAATTTGGAAAACGTCATGGTATAATTAATGTTTGTAAATAAAACTAACCTACTCAACATTCCATTCCAAATATAGTGTTTACCCATTGGCTAAAAAGGTAACGGGTTCCAAGCTGTCTTTATTGACTTGGATGACTGTTGTTTATCTTTGCCTTATCTATCTCGGTAGCGATTTAGCAAACCTAAAGAGAGATTCAAAACATTGGCTTCTTTAACATTAATGGCTGGCCCACCATATGTTATAAAATGCGTTTGAAATGTTTATGATAGCACTTTTATGGCCTTGTGATATCTTCTATGGAGCAACAATTTCGTCACGACTATTACTTGTGATGTAAATATCCAAAATTTTTTGTGTATTCCAATAACCATAAAACAATTTTTCAAACAGCTGATCTAATGCGATGCGAGAAGAGTTAAGAATCTAGAAAACATATAGAATACTTTCAAAAGCGTTAGAAATACGTAGATATCTTTGGCAATCGTAATAAATTCTCCTAGAAGCCTTAGCATTCTATGTAAATCTTTTAAAAAGCATTTAGAAACTTCAAGATCATTTTAGCAATATTCACAACCACTTTGCAAAGTTTCTGATACTTCTAATCTTTTTGACAAAACTCCTGAAGATGATTTTGTTACCAAAACCAATAAAATATAAAATATTTTGTTTTAGCCAAATAGACCTAATCCTATAGTAAGTCTCCACGTAATTGATTTAACAAAATTAGAATCAACAACTATAAATTTAGAGAAACCAGGTAATTTAAACGATGATGCGATTTTATCGGCAGTTACTTGGGCCACAAGTGAAGATCTTTGCGCGATTTGGATGAATAGGGTACAAAATAAAGCGTACATTGTTTCTTACGAAACATCAGAAAACACCTACAAAACTGTAAGAAATTTTTTGATTCATATTATTTAATTTTAACTTGACATCACTTCAGATTAAGTATTTGGAAGAAAACAAAGGTTGGTTGGATCTTTATTCCCCACCAACTTTTTCTTTGGATGGTTCCCAATTAATACTGATTTTATCTCAAGATCAAGGAAATAACGCCGGGGGTTATAGGCACATTGTGAAATTAAATCGCCAAGAAAATTCCGAATTAGAAGCTTTAACTCACGGAAAATTTGTGGTTACTGAAATATTGAAATGGAAAAATAACTTTATGTAAATAAATCATTTTTGATTTTTTTTTAATTATATAATAATTCTTTTTTAAGATATTATGAAGCAAATACAGAAGAAGATCCAGGTGTAAAACACGTTTATTCGTACCAAATCAACACAAAAACCATAAAATGTTTATCGTGTGACTTAAAAAATGCCAACAATGAATCGTGTTTATATAATTCGGCCAAATTTAGCGAGGCAGCCGGTTTGTACGTTTTAAATTGTGCAGGACCCGGGGTGCCCTCAATTACAATACATAATTCAGAAGGGCATAAGATTTTTGATTGGGAAGAAAATCAATCTTTATTAGAAAAAACGAATTCGCTGAAATTACCCCAAATAAAAACGTTTACTTTTGAAACGGAAGGTGGGTTTAAAGCACAAGTTATGCTAAAATTACCTGCGGATGCTGATTTAAGTGGGGATACTAAGTATCCTATGTTAGTTAAAGTGTGAGTACAAAAAATTATTTAAGCAAAAAATTATTTTAAATAATTTCTTTTAGTTATGGAGGCCCCGATTCATATCAAGTCGATCATAAATATCTTCATGATTGGGGTACTTATTTAGCGGTGAATAAAAGTATTATTTACGCTACGATTGATGGTAGAGGATCAGGTTTAAAAGGTGATAAAATGATGTTTACTATGTATAAGAAAATGGGTACGGTGGAAGTTGAAGATCAAATAAAAGTTACCAAGTAAGATTTGCTTATTAAATGTTGTGTTTTTGTTGATTTTAATTTGTTGGTTTTAATTTATAGATTAATTCAAGAAACCTTACCTTACGTGGATTCAAGTAGAACGGCGATTTGGGGTTGGAGTTATGGAGGTTATGCTTCTGGAATGGCTTTGGCGATGGATAAAGAGGATGTGTTTAAATGTGGGATGTCAGTAGCCCCTGTAACAGATTGGACATTATACGGTAAATTATTTTGATAATAAATTAATTTTGCATTCTCAATTTTTTCCTTTTTGTAGATTCGATATACACAGAAAGATTTATGGGATTACCAACTGATTTAGATAATTCGTTAGGTTATGAAAATGCAAAACTTTTAAATAAATACGAAGGATTAAGAGATAAATTATACTTTTTAATTCATGGTACTTTTGATGATAACGTCCATTATCAACAATCGATGCTTTGGTCGAAAGTTTTGGAGCATCAAGATATATTATTTAGGCAGCAGGTTTGTTTCAAAAAAAAATCTAAAAATTAATTATTAAATACTCGTAATTAATTAATTTTTAGAGTTATCCAGATGAAGATCATGGTTTGGCAGCTGTAAGACCACATTTATATCATTCCTTAGAACACTTTTTGGACGAATGTTTTATTGATAATGTGGATTGAGGAAAATTTTTTGTGTAACTAAAAAAAACTAGTCATTGAATTGGATTATAAAAAAGAAATGTTATTATTTCATCATTTTATTTGTTGATGAAAATATGTTTTATACACATAATTTTCATGTTAAAATGTATATAAATACTTACCAATGTCATAATAAAGATATATTAATTTTAATTAACTTTTTCAAAAACAAATGCACCAACATACGGATTTATTTTGATAACATTTCTTCTAAAATTGACATTAAAGCAGTCTTAATAGTTAAACATTATCCATATAATTTGATTAAAATACGTGAATCACTGAGAATTTTAATTCAAAAAAGACTTTTATCAACGTTTTCAGTTTTAACAATTCAAGAAACTTTCTTCTAATGAAGAATAAACCTTCAAATCCAAATTTAATCTAAAAAAAATGAATTAATTAATTTAAAATCTTTTTAGCCCATATAATTATTATTCAGTGCTAGATTGTTGTATATTTTTATTAAACTACAACTAATACGAGACCTAGTAATACCCATTCGTCTTTCAAGACGGATAAACCCGAATGTTTCTAGGTCTAGGTGTAATGTTAGTTCTAGTGATAGTGGTAGGTAGCGCTACTTAGTATAAGATAGCAATATTATGCTAGATATGCATACCTATTTAGCATATTTTTATTGCACTAAAACTAGAACCAACACTAGACATAGAACTAGAAAGTATCGGGTTTAGCCGCACGTCTCTCAAGGCGCCAAATGATAGTGTTAATTCTAACTTTAGTTGTTATTCGGTTATACAGTGTGTCCGTAAAGTAACGGATATAGGCGATAAAGTCATTAATTTCATTATAAACGGTTTAGGGAAAAATCCCTGGAACGGGTCTAGATTTTAAATTTTTTTGTCATTTTTAAACGAGTTATGACGTCATCGATGATTTTTTCAAATGGCAGTCACCCATTTCTATTACGGAATATGAGAGGATTTTTTTCTGAATCTAGTACAGTCAATATTAATATTGATTCCATAAGAAAATTTTCGAGAAAAGTTACTTTAAAGTTTTACTATTTCAAATTTATTGACATGATAAAAATAGCAGTAACTATGAGTAATCATAACATGTCAAAAACTCATTTAGTAAATACTTGAACTCTTTACCCAAAGTATGGTGCGCCTAGCTGTGACTAAATTTAAAAAGCATGTTCATCTCTGGAAGCATTTCTCGAAGTCTGACCTACCAAATGTTTTAGGGGAGGTTTAACAAAACGTGGTTTTGGCTGGGCAAAAAAATCCTCATGTTACTGTAAGGGGTATTGGGTCTAATTTGCACATTAGTAAATCAACTGTTCACAAAATTTTAAAACTCGTAAAATATCATTGATGAATCGTACTTTTTGCAACAACAATTTTGCAACGATGACGAAGACTTCGTCAAAAACATAATTTTTTCCGACCAGGGAACATTTACATTGAGTGGACAAGTAAATAGATAAAATTGTCGCTATTGGACTACTCATAAACCCAAATTAGCCAAGAAAGTCGCACACCCAATATCAGCAAAAGATTTGAGGCAACCTTAACTGGAAAAAGATGTTTAAATTTTTTCAAAAGCAGTTATTCCAACAAGATGGCGCGCCACCATACTTCAAAAAGCTTTACTAAATCAGCTTTTAACACTCAGGGAATTGTTTAAAATAATTGGTTACCATAGTTACTCATGGCTAGACCCATTTCTGGTATTTTCTATAAATCGTTTATAATGATTTTATCGCCTACATCCGCTACTTTACGGACATACTGTATATAGGCCAAGAAAAATTTACCAACATACTTTTTAAATCCAGCTTGAATTTCCTCTGCTTTAGCAGGATCACAAACCACCGCAGTTTTAGTTTTTGATTCATCAAAAAGTAACGAAACATATTTATCGCCAACACGATTCAAATCTTCAATAGTCACAGTTTCCAATAAGGCCAATAAATTTCTGTTGTGTTTATAATCAACACCATGAAAATAAGAGTTTAACGACAAACAAACGACGTTTCCAATCGTTTTTTCTTCTTCGATAATCTCGAATAAAAGGGAACTTTTCGCCGATTCTAATTGGGTCGTATCCCAAGTTTTTTCTTTTAATTGTTTTGTGATAATTTCGTAGGTTTCTTTGTAAGCCCCGACGACGTTTGTTGCTTTAGAAAAAATTAAACATAATAAGCCTTCGTTAATTTTTTGGGTAATTGTGTATCCATAAGAAAGACCTTTTCCACGAATTTGTCTCCACATAGGACCCTACACAAATTAAATTAATTAAATAGAATCATTTAGGTTAATTTTAAAATTACTTCAGCTTGTATTAAATATTGTAGGTAAAGCATCAAAGCTGGTAAATCATCATCTTTGTATGAATTAAGACCAGGTGCTGTGTGATAGAAAAATGCAGATTCTAAACATCCCATGCCAACTATACAGCTGGATACTCCTTCATTATTCATATGATTTAATAATTTGTAATCGGGAGTTACATTCAAACTAAAAAATAAATTGGGTTGAAAGAATTTATAAAATTCTTTAAATAAAGAAAACCTTTTTGAGCGTTGTGCTTTAATATTATCCGGAACAAATTTGATTAAAGGCCCCACTGGGTCCTCAATCTGATCGATTTTTCCAGCTAAATACAAAACAACATTTTCTGGACTTGTTATTATATCTCTTACTTTAGTTATTTCATTAATTACTTGATTAGATTGATCAGAATCGAGTAATTTTAGAAGATTTGATAGGAATTTGTGTTGCCTCAAAATTCCAGTTGCTTGTTGGTTACTATCTATAAAAAAAAATACAATCTCTAAAATCTATATAATTAAATTATTACAATTTTCACCTTGTACATAACATAATCCCCTCATAATATAAGAAACAACATTTTTTCCGCTTCTTTTAGCTTGGGCAACATCATTAACAATTTTTGTGGCTATTATTTTTAATCTTTCAGAGGTAAAAACGGTTTTATATAATATCTCTTTTAACCATTCCATTCCTTTGGCATATTTCCCTTTTTCTACTTGTAACATAACCGTAGCAGTCGTCGAATACATTCCGCACCTAAACCGGCTTATGCCAGATGAAGTCAATCCGATGCTTCCGCTGGATGAGACAGTATCGCTGTTTAATTCAGTCACTACATCTTCGTAAGAAATTAATTTATTTTCTCTTTCAATAGGAGTTTCGAAGAAAGCTTCCAATAAAAGCGATAGATAAAGTTTTTGTTCGGGTTTTAGTTTTGAAGTATCCAATAAAGCAAAAATCTTAAAAATAATTATTATAAATAAAAATAAAGTTAGGATCGGTTATAACGTACATAAACAAAGTCTGTTTTTACATTATCAAAGTAAGTAAAAATATCTGTTTGGGTTAAATCGATTTCGGGCGATTTTTCATCAGAACTATACCGAACAATATCATGGAAAAATATGGAATTTATGGAAGGGACATTGACTTGTGTTAACATCGATTCAGGAGCGGGTTTTTCATTAAATGCGATCGCGTCGTTGAGTTCTTTTTCTTTTTCCTCTAATCCTTTTTCACCCAAATTTTTAATCTGTTCCTCAATTCTTGCTTTTTCTTGAGCAGCCATGGATGCTTGTTCACTTTGACTTGGATAACCTTGTATTGTAATAACATGGTTATCGATTAAATAACGTTTTAAAAGTGATAACCAATAAGATTTTGGTTCAGTTAACATTTTATCAAGGTCTTCTAATGGATTTAATCTTTGTTCAAGCTTAAAATAAAATACTACTTAATATACACTTAAAAGTTTTCAAAATGTACAGGTGTCCAAATTTCGATGGGTTTGCAGGGTATCTCAGTTATTATGAAAGATAGAAAGTTGCGGTTTTCGCGAACCTGAACGTCACTAACTGCGCATTTTGAGCGGGAGTTCCGTCCTGTTGAAAATAAATGTTATTTAATCGAATAAGAGGAATATCATTCAAAATATCTGGCAAAACCTCTTGCAAGATGGCCAAATAGCGATTAGCGCTTCATATATTTTATAAACAATTCGTGGCCCAATAATAAAACATGCCACGCAAAAACAAAATTTTTCTTGGCGCCCCCGCTCAATTACAATATGTTGGTTTTCTTGATGCATTGGCCTATTATTGTGACGATTATAGATTCCTGTGCTGGTAAAATATGCCTCATCAGACCATATAATAGAGGAACTAAATTCAATATTATTTTGTGCTTGGTACAAAAATCAGTTAAAGAATTTCAAACGTCGTTTGGTATCTTCCAGGTGTAAGTGGTAAACTATTTGTTTTTGTAGGGTTTATATTTATACTTTTTTTTTGATATCTGAAGTAAAACAATCTACTAATAAAATGTTATTGCTTATAAATATTGCATTCTACCTATTTATGTATAATTTAGCAGCTTGGTTTAAATTTTCATTCGCATACATTCATGCGTCAAGAAAAGTCAAGAATGTCAAGAAAAGGGTAATTAATAACTAGGGCACGGAACTTTTGTAACAAAACGATACGATTTCCCCCTCCACTCCTTCTCAGCAGAAAATTTCATACAAAAGTTGTTCTAAATTAAATTCTAAAACGATTTTCTCAATAAAAAAAATATATAGTATATAAATTTTTTTTTGAGATTATGTTCTTAATTATTGATCAAATCAAAAATTTTTATTAACAATATTTGTTTAGAATTACTTCAGGAACAGTGTTTGTTAATACAATTTTTTGCTAACTTGAAATTTTAATTTCCCTCTGAATAGTATGCTATCAAAATTAATTATCTCAACAATTATTGTTTTTATTAAAAAATGTTTTAAATAAAATTTGTTTCAATTTCGATTTTGAATCAATTATCTTAATAAAAATTTTTTACATCTCTATTAATTAAGCATCTAAATATAATTATGTATAAAAACGGAAAAATTATTATTTTGAGGTTATCTCCTTAATTATTGATTAAATCAAAAAAAAATGTTGACAAAGTTTGTTTAGAATTGTTTCAGGAACAATTTTCATTAACACAATTTTTTTTTAACTTGAAATATTAATTTCCCACTAAACAGCATGCTACAAAAATCAATATTTTTGAGGTTATATCCTTATTGTTGATTTAATCAAAAAATTTTGTTAACAAAATATGTTTAGAATTACTTCAGGAACAGTGTTTGTTAATACAATTTTTTGCTAACTTGAAATTTTAATTTCCCACTGAACAGTATGCTGTTCTTTTAATCAAGATTTTCTGAGAACGGGTTGAGGGGGGAAATCGTATCGTTTTGTTACAAAAGTTCCGTGCCCTGTTAATAACAATAGAATTTATTGATGTTTTAAAGCACTGCAAACCCATCGAAATTTGGACACCTGTACATATTTTTTTAACAATTAAAACCTACATCTTTCTTAGTATTTCCATAAAGCATTTGACCAATCACCATAAAAGCAATAGCATGATGAGGATTATTTTCCATGTTGCTTAAAGATTCCAACTTTTGCCTATTTATAATATTTTTCATTCGTTCCATATCAATATCGTCATTTTTATAGATATTGTTAAAAATTTCAACTAATTTTGGTTTTATATTTGGTAATTTATCGCAAGGAACGTTTTCAAAAATTAAATAAAGGCAAGTTTCAGAATTTTCAGTTAAACTGTAAACAACCTAAATAAAGTTTCATATTAAACCTAATTCTTTAATAAGTAATTTAATTAATACTTTGCTGGCATAAGGATCTGGAATTTCAACAAATTCTTTTTGTAATGTAGAAACAGCAAAGTCAGTCATGTATTTTAATAAGACAGATGATGCATTAAGAGTGTATTGTTCATTAACTGAAGATGGCCCTCTCCAAGCAGCGCTAAATATCCCATTACATTCATCATCTGAGGGATATTTTAATGTTATATCTTGGGATGATTCCAATGGGGGAACTGGAGTTTGCCAAGGACGAGTAAAAGAGCTTCTTTCGCCCTTAAATAAAACAATTAGCTTAAAAATCCTAATAAAAAAATTATTTACTTTAGAAAGAATTTTTTCTTCGAGTTTTTCTAAAGAATTAAAAACATCTTGAGCTTTAACTTTTCCTGTGATGATAATTCTAAGGTTTTCCGGTCGATAAAATTCTTTATGATAATTTCTAACTTTGGCATTATTACAACTTTCTCTTAAATTTTTTAAAATTCCACCAGTTTCTGATGAATATCCACATTTTCCTGGATAAATCGCCCGAGCCATCGCCAAATGCAAACGGCTTTCGGCCGAATTTTCTCGACCCTGCATTTCACAATAAACAACTCCTCCATCATCGCCTTCACCGGTTATGTGATGTACTTCTGTTATAAATCCTTCATCCTAAATTGAAATAATTTATTAATATAATAAACAAAAAAATACAAAATCACTAACAGATAATATTGGGTATAAAATATGGTCCAAAAATATCGGCATTAACATTAAAAATCCTTCACTTCCAGCCGTTTCCATAGTATAACATGTGTGATCTATATCAGTCCATGCATTTGTTCCAGAGGCTAAACAACGGTTTGCTAATAAATCTAATACACCCTTATATGGATAATCTTCACTGCCCAAAAATATTAAATGTTCCAAAGTATGTGGTAATCCATCATCATCGTGAGCTTCGGTCGCTTTAAAATTAAAAATCATTTATGAAAGATAACATAACCTCAAAAAAAAAATTACCTAAACAGAAAAATCCATTAACTACAGGTCCATCAACTTCAGATAGAACAATCGTAAGACCGGTCCTTTTTGATTTATACTCATAAACAGGAACTTTATTAAACGCTTGTAAGGAATAAACCAATTCGAAATTAGCGGTGTTTATATCAGGGGTGCTGTCCACAGGTGGCATTTTTAAATTTTCCCGACTTTTAGGATTAATTGTAACGGGAAATGTGTACGTAACACTTAATTTCTTCCTATTACGGCGTATAAATTAACAACCGATTGATTAATGGTGATGATTGAAATTTGTAAAAACACTGCCAAGAACTTGTTGACGTTTATAAATAGATTTTTTTTGACAGCTGACAAATTGAGCCGGTTGACACTGAAGTTAGTTTCTAATCAAATAAAGTTATTTCATTTGTAACAATTAGAATTAATTAAATTAAAATTAATTCATTATTATACAAATATTAATTACTTCTAAATTATTCCATTTATTTAAGTTAATTATAATATGTAAGTTTATTTGTATAGATGGCGCCAGTGTACAATATTTTAAGAAACTTTATTAAATGAATTTATTATATTTTTACTTTGCATTTATTTGTTATATCATTCCCATTTAGACCCATTTTGTATTGACTCAAATTCCCTTTATGTTTGGACACAACCTAAGCCTTTTTTGCTGTCTGTGACTTCCTTGAATATTTCTTCAGAGTAGAGGTTGAATTAAAGTGGAGAAAGAATGATAATTGCGATTTTCTGTATTAATCTTAATGATAGTTGACTAGTTCCTATAGGGCTTTCGTTTGATCCTAAGATCCTTTTTTTCCATCTCCATGTTCTCCGAAACCTCCACCATCTTTTCTTGTCCTACTTTGTCGAACGCCTTCTTACAGCCAACAAAGTTCATATCTCTGCATCGCTGGAATAACACTTGTAGGTAGAACTGACCATTCCTCGACCTATTTCTTCTTCACATCGACTGTATATTCTCTAATGGATGTTTTTAAGAAATAACTTTAGCTTACACTACATACTTTACTTCCATATTTCTTTGGCAGCAGTATAAACTCAGAGATGAGTCATTCATTTAGGATGTTTCCATTTATTAAATACGTTAGTCAAAAATTTAATGTATTTATCATCAAGAAGCTAGATTCTGAGTACATTTCGTGTAATCCCAGAGCTTTTCCTTGTTTTAAAGTGTGAATAGCGACTTTGATTTCATCTGTTATGATGAAGTACAGATTCAAATCAATTTAAACTCATTATCTCATAAATATTGTATGGGAATAAGATCTTGTGGTTGTGGAAGTGTGTAATTGATGAGAAACATAAAATATTGTACAAAGAGAGAGAACTAAAAAGAAAGGAAGAAAGATACTGGTTAAGCACGTTTAAAAAAAAATTATTATATATTTGAAGAGTGGAAGTAAATATCCGTGTTTTATGGCTTTAATGTGAAATAAAACTTGTAACTGTAAGTAGAAACGTAATTAAAACACAGAAAGACTATTAACATATTTAAATATTGATTAAATAATTACAATTTAATTGTAGGTATGTTATTAACATGGCGTTTTATCGTGATGTTTTGTCTTTTTATGCATTCTTCTATCCGTATACACACCTTACTATAGAGGTAATATTTCTTTTTGTGTTTTAAAAACGTAATTAATATTTTTTTTAGGAAACTTTATCTAAACATTACAAGTTTTTCAACCAACATAAATTTCTACTACAATTTGTATCTACAGCTCTTGCATACATAACAATCTCGTTTATGTTAATAATTAATATAATTCATTTAGTTAAAGATTGCGTAATAGTTCAACTTAATTCGTGTAATAAGATAAAATTAAATACATCTTTAAACAGAATTGGAACAAAAATGCTTTTATACAAAAACATTATCACTTGCACAAAAGTCTTTATTAAGGTAACAAAATTTGATTTAAAAAATTATTCTTTCAATTATTTTTTTCTTTTAGGAGATGTTAACTACTCACACGTTTTTAAAGGATCATAAACTTCTCCTTAATATATTATCAACAATTTTCGCTTGCTTGACACTATTCTTATTAGCTCCAATTATTTTAATTTGTTTAATTAAAAATAACTTAATCAAATTATTTTTGAAGCTTCGTTACGATGAAAAATATGGAAACGTTTCGGGCATGGATTCATATTTTGAATGCACAAAAAATCAAGCTTTTTTTGTGAACATAGTAGAACATTCTGGATCAATCGAAGAATTACAAATCATCATCAAAAAATCTACAACTCACTTATTACAATCACATTATAAATTTTCAAGCACGATTCATAATATTTTTGGAGTATATTATTATTTAAAAAATCAAGTTTTTTTAAATGATGTATTTTCCATAGAAAATATTGATGTTTCGAGTAAAGATCTACTTAAAAATTATATGGAAAAGCATTGTTTTTCCGATTTTGATGATAAATCGTTATGGAAAGTTATACTGTTTGAAACTGCGATAAAATGGAACGAAATGGATAACTCAAAAACTTATTATGCGATTTTAATCAGATTTAATCATTGTTTGGGTGATGCAATAGCATTATCGATGTACCTCCAACAATATTTCTACAACAACGTTAAAAGCAAATATTTGGAAAAATTAAGAAACAATACAGAAAGTAAAGATGTATTTAATAGAAGCAATTTAGGAAGTGTTTTATTTGCTGGTCCAAAATTAAATTACACCGAAATAAATTTATTCCCATCTCACCAAAAATTAGCTGTGTTTATGGAACATGAACCAAAATATATTCGTTTAATTAAATACATAAGTAAACAATTAAATTGTTCCTTTACGGATGTTATTATAATTTGTGCTATGTCGAGTATCACTAATTATTTAAATATGGTAATTAAAGAAACAAAATGATTTAGAAGAATAATTTATAATACTAATTTTAGGAAGGAGTTAAAACCACCAACTTCATAGTTTCAAACACATCAAGACCTCGCCTTGGAGATAATATCAATCTTATTTTGGAACAGAAAGAATTATCAAATAATTTCACAATGGAAGCTTTTAATTTACCACTAAAACACCAAAATATATTAATCAAATTTAAAGAAATTTTGCCTATTTTAAGGGATGGAAGAAATTCTGACACAGGACAAGTACCAAAATTATTTTAATTAATCAACACATTTTAATTTATAATTCCAGATTATTTATTGGATTATAAAGTTATTATCGAATTTACACCCAAAATTATTGAGAAAATTTGCTCGATTAAACTCAGAAGGGGCCACATTAGGAATAACAAATATTCCATTTGCTGATTATTGCAAAATTGGAACAAGTACAGTTCAAAATATGTTCACTATACCTAATAATTTCGAAAATACAAGTAAGTAATTGTTAAATCGGGTGAATTCACATCATTCGATACGTTTTTTTTAAGAATTCGTTATGGTGGTGGCCACGTTTCAAGATAAATTACAAACTGCTCTTATTACAAAAAAAAATTTAAAGGTATCTAGGGAAGAATTACAAGAAATATTAAATAATTGTTTTTTAAATATTGATCGTCTTTATGAGGAAGTAAAATTAAATGAAATTAAATAATTTGTATTTACCAAAATTTTGAAATAAATAATTATCATCTTATTTTTCTCTATAATTTACTAACATCTTTAATGCTTTGACATTGACACTATTGACAGCACATTGTAATGACAATGTTTACCGCTAGATGCCGCTAGAGAATTCAAGAACTACTTATAGCTGTCATATATACAACGGAGATGACTATATGAAGCATATAACAATATTATATTAAATTATACTGAATATTCGTAAGCGTTATCATAATAGTGTGTCCCAAGGTCCGTTGAGTAAACATACTGTATAAGGTTATCCAACTCCATATGAACGCTGTTATTATGAACGTATCCCCCCGCAAAAGCCTCTTGTGACGTCATTGGAAGAATTGATATTTCTATGTTTTTATTTATACAGTACATTTCACTTAAGCAATATACAAAAACATAAAAATAAAAGATATAAAATAAAATTAAAAAAATATTAAAATATAAAGTGAAATATTAACGGTTAAAATTTTATTATTTTTAGGTTATCCAACTTGACTCGGTTACCATGGTGATTAAGATCCAAATATTGCAGATGCTTGTTAAAATTCGTATTGAATTTAAGTTTTTTTAAGGAAAAAGTCTTATATAATAGGTTTAAAAAGCTGTATTTAACTCAAAATTGGTTTATCTAGGGAATTATAAACAAGGTAAGCGGATCTAAGATATTTTTAATTTATTTCTCTTAATAAAATTAGAGTCGATTTAAATTATTTACAATTAACGAATTTGTTATGAATGCGAGATAATCGTATGGAATTCGAAATGTTTTAAAATTAATAAAAATTAGGTTAGAATTGATAAAAAAATCGGAATAAAATTTTATTATTTTAAGGTTATCCAACTTGACTCGGTTACCATGGTGATTAAGATCCAAATATTGCAGTTGCTTGTCAAAATTGACGTTGAATTTCAATTTTTGTAATGAAAAACACATAATTAATTGGATTTAAAGCTTGTATTTAATTCAAAATGGGTAAATGGATGAAATTATAAGCAAGGTAAGTGGATTAAATGAAAAAAAAAAGATTTTTAGATCAATTAAAATGTATAAGAATTGAGGGTTAAATAACAATTAAAACTAGCTATATACTATATTCCATACATAATGGGCATTATGAATATTATATTATACTTTTTCTCCAATGACGTCACGTTTCCTACCTCACCCCGTCAACGTCAATTCGTTCGAGTTGTATAAACTTATAACCAATACCTACTCAACGCAAGGTTTATATATTAAAGGTTGTCTATATTATATACAAACCTTGTACTCAACGGACCTTGGTGTGTTCTATTAGTAATCAGGGTCGCCAACAAGTTCGCAATTAATGTTTTTTTATGGGTTTCTAACGTAATTATGTATAAAAAATAAGATATTTTTGTTCCATTAAATGAAATATGGTTAATTTTTGAAAAACATAAGATAATATTAAATTTAATTGAAGAAATCGTAGGTTGGTAGCGTTGATCTAACTTCGATGGGTAATTTCCCATAAAGTAGTTCTGTTATGAACGAATTATATTTGATAATAATAGTAAATAAACGTATATATTTTATATGTTTATCGATGTAATTGATTTCTTTGTAGATTTATTTGATTCGAAGTATCACTTTTATTCCTCCGAAAAACAGTTATATGTCAAATACAACAAATCCTGGTTGATTCGAAGATTTGAAACAGACCTACGATCTTTAAAGTGCATTCTCTACGTATTTTAATAAATCATGTTGTATAAAATATCCACAATACAAGTGTAATGGGGAATGTATAAAACGCAAAATGTTAAAATGCATTTGATGTTAAATATGCAGTTATTATGTTAACCGGTTTATTTGGTTGTCTGTTGTAGACAACCAAATAAACCAGAAATTAACGTTTATTTATATACCTTATCATTTATCAAAGGTTACAACGTTTTATTGTATTTTATCTACAACTATTGAATTATCTATTCGTTATACAATTGATTTTTGACGGGTAATGACACTCATTACCCATGACAGACAAAGTGTTGAATAATGAGGCCATTATTCCACACTTCTAACACTGCCTACTAATCAAAAAATAAAATATTAACAGAAATGACAGCTTTCTTATATTGAGGTTATGTCTGAAATGTCTATCAAGTTTATTTTTTTTTCGTTTTTTTGATTTTTTTTTCAAAATTAAATAGTTGTAGATAAAGTATAGTATTCAACTTGCGTATAATGGATGTTACCCACTCAGATTACAACACTCGCTCGCTTCGCTCGCTCGTGTTGCAACTTCTTCTTCATGGGTAACAGCCGCCATTATACGCTTGTTGAATAATATACTATAATTGCCTATATAAATGTTGTTATTGCGTTTATAACTTTATTGATCATACTGTTTTCAACATTTAATGTAATCAAACAAAAAATACTTAAATATGGTGTTCTATCACGGGGTTATTACGATTACTTTCTCCACGATAAAGGTAAATTTGTGACTTAAATAACCATTTGTTTCTAACTAATAATTATTAGGAATTTTTCTCCATCATTTTCAGCAGGCATGGAAAAAACTTTCTTGTAAATATTTTAACTGGAATTTCAACATTCTTCGTCCTTTTATTTCTTTTTGTACCGATTTTTTTATTTGAGAACTTTATAAAAATCTGCTTAAAACTTCGATACAAAGAAAACTTTGGAGGTTTTTTAGATTTTGATACTTTTTTCGAACGATTAAAATTAACAATAACCTACGTTTACTTCGTAGAATCAAAATCTTACACAGAAGTGTTTGAAAATGTAGAAACTCAAGTTCAAAAATTATATAAATCAAACTATAAATTTTCGAGTAACGTTAAAAAATGTTGTGGGTTGTATTTTTTCGTTAAGAATCAAGTGAAGAGTGAAAAAATTTTATTTACATTTGAAAATGATTTTTCAAGCAGAAACGAATTCGTTGATTTCTTAGAAACGAATCATTTCGGTGAATTTGAAAGTAATGAAAAGTTGTGGGAGGTGCAAGTTTTTAAAAATCCTATATTTTGGGATGAAGAAACTGTTTTTCCAGTTGTAATCAGGTATAATCATTGCGTAGGTGATGGAGTGACGTTAATGAGTTTCCAAAGAAAATACTTATTAAGTAATGTAAATGACGCAACGTTTAGAAACGCCATGAAAAAATCAAAACGACCAGAAATAATTTTAAATCGAATAAATTTACTAAAATACATAAATTCTATGAAAGTAAAAAGTAATTATTTGCAACCTCAATATGTTTCCAAACCAAATTTAGCAACTTTTATTGAAAATGAACCAAAATATTTAAATATTATTAAAAGATTAGCTCGAAATTTAGAGTGTAATTTCACAAGTATTGTGTTATCCGCATGTACTGCAAGTATATTAGACTTTTTAAAAAACAAACGTATTTATCCAAACAACCTACACCTGGCAAATACTTGTAGAGAGTTTTCTGAAAACATTAACGACGTTTTGGATGGAAAAATTCTCCAAAATCATGCGAGTTTCGATTATTATAACGTTCAGACTGTCGAGGGCAATTTTTATTTACAATTTAAAACGTGGTTAAAATGTTTTAAAACTGAACGGGATAGTGGTGATTTTCAAGTAAGTCCATTTTAATGAGGGGTTTTAAAACGAGTTTTTGATAATTAAAATTATTTAACTTTTTAGCTTTTATTTTTACTGATCAAGATTAGTAACTATATTCCTCTTTATTTTGTGAAACGCAGTTTGACGTCGTTGACAAGCAAAACATTACTGGGTGTAACTAATATTCCTGGTCTAGATTTTGGAAAATTTGGTAATTTACCTATAAAGAAGATGTTTTTCTTTGTTAATCATTTTGCTTATACTAGTAAGAAAAAGAAGTACCTATATACACAAATTATTTTTATTGTTTTATTAAAAATATACTTGGTATTAAAATTTGACAGTTGGAAATGTCAAGGAGATAATAATAATTAGTGATGGAACGGATAGTGATTTTACGACAAGTCGGATACCGGATATCCGGCCATTATGATTATAACTTCTGGTGCATTTCTGAAGTGATATTCTACATTGCCACATTATTGCGATATTTGAATAAAAATGAAATTAATAAGAAACTTTTTTGATGCTTATTTAACTCACGAAGCAACTCTAAAAAGAGGATACTTTAATTAATAATTGGCGATATTTCCACAACGATCCTTCACGAAATGAATTTCATAACGAATTTTGAAAGTTATCGATGAAAATTGCAACATCGAAAATTTTATCAAAACTTCAAATATTGTTTTCTCAAAAACTAAAAGTTTTATTTCAAAACGGGTTGGTTCATTGGAAAGAGGACACTCTTATTAACACTTTGAGAAATTTTCATACTCATATTCCAATAACTGGATTTTATACGAATTTTTAAAACTTAATCAGCGAAATTTAAAAATTGTCAATCATTTCAAAAATGTATTTCTCAAGAACTGAAAGTGATTTTTTAAAATAGTTTTTTGCATTAAAAAGAGGATACTTTAATTAATAATCGAAAGTGATAAAAGTGACAGTTCTGTTAGTAATGAATGTGATGATGAATTATAAGCCAAGAGAAGAAAACTAGACGAAACTGCAACAAGAGATTTTATACATATATCGTATTGGGATTGTTACAATGAGGTTGCTAATGAGAAACATGATATAAATAAAGTTGTATTCAATAAAAAAGTCCTTGGTAACTATCCGGTATCCGGCCGGATTTTAAAAAATGGCCGGATACCGGATAGTTGCCGAATTTCCGTTCCACCACTAATAATAATAATAATAATATTTGACTTATTTTCTGAAGATTCAAAAACAGTAGTCAAGTATATTTTTAATAAAAATGGTTAAAAAAAATTAATAATTAATTTTTTTAGAATTTATTTTGTTTGTATTATCTTATGGAGGAAAACTACAAGTATCACTTATGTCTGACGAAACCGTCGATATCAATAGAAAAGATCTACAAAGTATTTTAGAAAATACTTTCAAAAAAATCGATGATTTATGCGATCTCCATTAAAAGAATTCAATTAAGACATAATATTCTGTTAAGATACGATAATAAAATGGTAATTGTTCATATGAACAAGGCGAAACACTGGAAAAAATAGTTAAAATTCAATATATCTCGCGAGGAACTAAATAAGCAATTTGTATGATCGTCTCGTCTCGCGAGGAAAATTTAATATTAAGAAGAGAAGGGGGTACTAGCCCAAGTTATGAATTTATAATGAGTTACAGACAAGTACTCCTTAAATAGCTGTCAATTTAACTGTATAGTACTAAAATTAGAACTGTATTGTATGATGGAAAATAATTTCTTTGAATATGTTATCTTAAATTAAAAAAATTGTGGCGAAAAACAGGTTGTTTAGGTGAACGAACCCTTAACATCTACTTAAAAAGTAATTAGGGTTAAACTGAACCATCCTCATACGAATTTAATTAAGTAAATCCCTTAAGATTTTTGCGTCGCCAGATGGTACTTATTATCCTATTAACTTCTTTTTAGAATCCTCCGGGCTATTAATACGATTCATTCGTGCAATACGCGACTCACGTGCAGATAATGAGAGTGTCTGTTGGGGTTGTTTACACTCTGTCCCAAAGCAATTTTTAGCGGACCCAAAAAAACGGCACGCACATTCCATTATAAATGAACTACACTCTTGAAAATTTTCGCTTCCCAATTTCGCCTAATTTCCCGTCGCGTCGCTACGAAAATTGTGGGTGCTTGTTGACCGTCGCGACGCTGCCGGAATCCGTAATTGGGGTGAAGAAAACGAAGGGGGTCTTAGATACCCTCTATTGATGCGATTCCGCCACGACGACGTTCGTAAACATCACGGCGAATAAAACGGGGGTGGGTCGGTATGTTTTGTCACCACAACGATAGCAAAAGCAAAGACGTGGGCGAATTCAAAGATGAAAGAGAGGAGCTGGATGACGAATGGATGTGCTGGAGTAAAATTTATTTAAGAAACTCATTGTTTGAGTATGTCGAGATGAAATTTAATAGGCTTAAAATTTACGATAAACAAAGTGTGTCGGAATGAACACAAAATGCGGCGCCGATATGTATGTTTTGGTAACCGCTTTATACCTTTTTAGACTATAAATGGTGCGAAAATGAATCTTAAACCGGTTGTGGTTCGTGCGGTTCTTGTCGATCGCGGAGAAGATTAATCTGGGTGCCGAAAGTGAGTCACCACGTACACCTTTCGTCGTTGTACAATAAGTCATGCATAATTCAATCATGAAAAGTATATTTGTAGCGTTTACAACATCCCTTGGAATAATGAATTTGCCCCGGGATTTCGTGCAATACAAACTCGCCATACAGTTTAGCAAGTTCCTCTCTCGGGCAATGTTAATTCACCTGGTTGTTCATCACGTCGTTTCCGCTTTGCCATTTAATACACCGCTTCTGCAACGGCATCCGCTCACTTTTGTCTTAATTTCATCTCCAAGCAATTTTCGCGTTAATTTTATTAACATATTACAGGAAATATCCCCAACACGTTTCCTTTGTACTCAAAACAAAGCGATTATAAACGAAAAATCCTTTATTTTTAGATACATTTTACGTTCGAATTCTTTTTTTAGAGGAGGGTGTAGTTTGTAAAAATCACAATAGAAAGATTTATGATGAAAAAAAAATATTTTCTTTTTGGCTCGTGCTTAATATGGAAGCCGCGTATACTTTATCCCGACTCAAATTTACATAATAACCAAGATTAACGTTGCAAATTTCGTCCTCTCAGTTCGTTTGGTTTCGATGCATCGTTGTCGGCTAATCCTTGAGATGTTAATTGAATGGGTTACTCGGTATTCGATGTTATCGAGACTTTATCATTCGTTGGAATCGACTGAAAATTGTTTTCTTCTTCGCGAAACGAACATTTGCGCGCTATCGGTTTTATCTACCGTGAACATCCATTACAACCAGAGACAAGATAAACGGAATAAAAACAACTTTGTACCGAAGACGTGATCGAACTTGGAGTTCTCGTATCCGAGATGATTGTGGTGTCTATCACTTCGGAGTTGAGTTAACCGTGATGTTATCCAATAAATAAAATCAGCTTATGTAATCATTTTAAATAACTTTTTATGTATGCCACACTTTTAAAATTGATTTTACAGGTTGTTAGAAAACCACAACGATTTAATCGCATTAAACGTTCCAGTAATTAGAAATTCGGAGGTTGAAAAAAAAAACGATTTAGAGTGGTGGTGAGAGAGAAAATGGAATAAAATTTCGAACCGCCATCTGGCTCATTCGACATCATTAAGCCCTAAAGAACCTAACTGAAAATTTAAATTTAATTCGCCGAGTGGCGGTCGTTGACTTGGAAAAATAACAAAAAAAAGAAAATATAATGAAAAGAAAATTATTCCAACCACGGTATTTTCGTGATTTATCGTTAATATAATTTGGTACGTTATCGACATCACATTTCCATTTTAACGAACCAAATTTATACATGGTAGAGGTTCGGATTAAAACAAACCGAAACGGTATCGGATATTTCCTAGAATTAATACACCCCAAAAGCAAATTAAAGCTGCCGCATCCATTGTGATAGTTACATTTCAACCTGATTTACATTAAACTGAAATAGATGTGATGACGTGGTTCGTTACGGGATTTATTTATGATACGCGTAAATTTAACCCCTTCCTTGAGGCGTGGTTTTTAGAATTGGATTGTATAAGAGAAACGTTCCGATTTTGTACTTGCAAATTCTTCCAGTATGTTAAGAAAGTGGTATTGGTATTCACGAATGGCATAAATAAACATATAAATTGTTACATTTAAAACTTAATCAAATAAACCGCTTTGAAATGTAGACATGAAACTTGCTTGAATTTTTTGTACATAAAATTTAATTGGATTTTCATGAATCGAAAATTTAAATTAATTGGGGTTTTTTTTTTCTAATATAATTGGGTTAAGTTTATTTCTTTATTAAAATTAATTTGATTCATTAATTATCTTAATATCAAGGGTTATAACTTTGTTTATAGATTATTTGTAGAATCTATATACAAGGGTTACAGTTAATTAAATTAGTTGATGAGTTAGTAAACCGGGGAATCCCAGCTCTTTGTCATTTCAGTTGTGAAATGCGTTTATTTAGTTTAGTCCGTTTAGTCCTATTTAGGTTCCTATCAGGTTTAGTCGCTATTTGTAGTATGGGGAAGCATCATCGTTTGATAAAACTAAGTATCTTTTAACTAATTCCTCATAAATATGAGAAAAATAATTTGCAACTATAACTTAAAGAAGTGGATAAAATACAATGACACAAAAAGTTAGGTTAAACTTTGTTTTTTTGATTAATTAAATAAGGTAGGTAAATATTATTGTGTACTTATAACGTTCAAATCTATTTTCTATTTCATTTTTTAGAGGTTATCTAATTTTATTTATTGCATTCAACAAGAATTTGTTAGGAAAACAAGAAAATCAAATAGCCATGAAGAGTCAATATCGATAAATATCAATCTTGAAGATTTTTAGGAAAATAATGACGCTAATTTAATGATAATCTAGTTTGATTTTGTTAATAGGACATCAAATAATAGCTTGGAACATCTACGATTATGGATGATTTATTTAGAACTGAAATTAATTTATTATAAAGTTAGTTATTTATTAACACTAAAAGGTTATTTGATGTTTAACAGCACCAAAGAATAGTCAAATCTTTATGAAATGTATGAAATTCTTATCAATAAGGATAAAGTAAGTTATTTTAAAGGTTATGTTTCCTTATTTTATAGGTTATGTTAAAGTATTCTTCTGTCATTAAATTTTGTGGAGTATTGAAAAACTTTAATATGATCATTAATTTTGAAGACAACATTAACAACTCCTTCTGCTTTAGAATGAAAAAAACTTGGTACAACATTAAAATAACCTTTATAAAGGTAAAATAAGACTAGAAAGAGTATTTAACACCAGAGATGATTTCGTTTTGAGGCAGTACATCAAACCATAAATGTTATTCCATTAATTCAAAATTAAACATGCCATTAACGTTAACTAATTCAACAAGTAGTTTGATTTTGTTAATAAGACATCAAATAATAGCTTGGAAAGCTATGAAACATCTACGATTTTGGATGATTTATTTAAAACTGAAATTAATTTATCATAAAGTTAGTTATTTATTAACACAAAATTGTTATTTCATGTTTAATAGCACTGAAGAATATCCAAATATTTGAAATTCTTATCAATAAGGATGAAGTAAGTTATTTTAAGGTTATGTTTACTTGTTTTATAGGTTATGTTTATATAATTTATAGGTTATGTTCAAGTTTCTTCTGAGTTTTGAGGAGTATTGAAAAACTTTAATATGATCATGAATTTTGAAGACAACATTAGCAACTCTTTCTGCTTTAGAATGAAAAAAGCTTGGTACAACATTAAAATAATCTTTATAAAGGTAAAATAAGACCAAAAAGAGTATTTAACACCAGTGATGATTTCGTTTTGAGGAAGTACATCAAACCATAAATGTTATTCTTTTAATTCAAAATTAAACATTCCATTAACATTAACCAATTCAACAAGTAGGTTGATTTTGTTAATAAGACATCAAATAATAGCTTGGAAAGCTATGAAATATCTACGATTTTGGATGATTTATTTAAAACTGAAATTAATTTATCATAAAATTAATTATTTATTAACACAAAATTGTTATTTCATGTTTAATAGCACTGAAGAACACCCAAATATTTGAAATTCTTATCAATAAGAATGAAGTAAGTTATTTTAAGGTTATGTTTACTTGTTTTATAGGTTATGTTTTATTTTGTAGGTTATGTTAAAGTATTCTTCTGTCATTCTTTTAAATTTTGTGGAGTCTTGAAAAACTTTAATACAATCATGAATTTTGAAGACAACATTAGCAACATCATCTGCTTTTGAATGAAAAAACCTTGGTACAACATTAAAATAACCTTTATAAAGGTAAAATAAAACCAAAAAGAGTATTTAAGAGTTAACCTAACATTGTTTGCTGTACAATGATTCATACAAAGGAATATAAAATATCTTTTGATGTTCTCCCGCCCTTTAATAACTCTTTGTCAATGTTATCACTTTACTATTTGTCCACTTCACTTTTTTGGAAGTTTATTAATCTACTGGAGTAAAGTGCCTACCATTATCAATATTGTACAGCTTACACAATACATTTCAATACAATAAAATTAATTTTTATACTTTTTTTTTCTTTTTCAAGGAACCAAATGAATCCAAATAACGTTTGATACGAACAATATTTCAGAAATCACTTGGAGCAACTTTTCAGAGGGAGTTTCCGCGAAAATCTGGTGAGTACCTAATTGCATACTAATAATATCACGTCGAGGTAGCTTATAAAGACCTTTAATTTAAAGGATTTGTTTTCAATGCACTTTACAACCCGAGGCTATTAGATTACCGGGAATTGCTACAGCTTCGTTTAATTTCAACATTGGCATAAAGCTATTCATTCACGTGGAAATGAAACCCTCGAGCTATATTTACATTGCACATCAATTACGCTTTTTGATTGTTTAAATACCATATGATAGTTTTTTCTGTTTTCCTTTTTAATGTTGTTCTGATGTTAAGTGTTTTAAAAAGGCGTCGAGAACATTGCCTGGTCTTTGGCGGCGTCAAATATATCTTCATTTTCGTTCCTCAGCAGTCACTTGGCCACACATTAGTCGTCAGATCGGCGAGTGGCGAACCGCAGATTTAACACCACTCTTCGGGGGGCGGTGCCGAGTACAACAACTCGGAGATCGCGTGCCGTACGCTGCGGTCCGAATCGCGTAGTGTTCCTTTGACACCGCGCTGTTTCGAATGCGGGAGCGTCGCGACGCTGAGCGTCTATTAATTCGTGCTATCTATTCAAACTTTAACCTATAAAAAACTGAAATCGAGTGTTTGCTCACCTTTTTGTATACTTCAGAAGAAACTTTTCTTGGCAAACGGAGGTAAGTTTTTTCTTTTCTTACAAAAAAGTTTTTTAATGAAAATATAACAAAGTTGTTATATATTAAACATTGCAAAAAGTAATTGGTTTTTTATCGTTAAACTAGGACGTCTTCTTATCTTGTTATGCTTTAAAAAAATGTTAAGTGTAAGTTTGCATATCATTATCGGCTATAACGTAATATGTGGCCTAAATAAAAAAAGCAAACTTTTTTTTTCTTAATAAAAAATCGATAACTTTAATTTTATTATAACTGGTAAAATTAATTCAATACAAAACTAACCCAATTAAAATTTTTGAGGCAATGAAATTTATTATGTAGTAATATAATTTAAATTGATAGGGGCTTTTTAAGCACAAAATCATTTTCAAATACCAATTAGTGTTTGTTGGAGAACAAATAATTTTTTTTTATTTCGATCGAGGTAGCAATTTTCAGCATTGTTTTTGTATTTTGTAACTGCGTTGGAAATCGAATTTGTGAGGATTTTATCAAAGCTTATATTCAACAGCAGCTGCTATTTTATTTTATAGCCGGGTTATTTAGTTTTTTTGATAAATTGCCTTTTAATAAAAGCATGGATGAAGAGATAAAATTTAAAAATTATGTTTTACAAAAAATTTTAATTGAAATGGCATCATCTCTTTAATGCTCGCTTCTAGAACCATAAGATTTTTAGGATTCCACCAGGGATTGTATTTAATAATTGGTGTACCTGAGTTTTAGCCAGATTCATCTTGGTTGGCTTGCTTGTAACACATACTCTGGTTTAAATGAGCTACATTCTTCTCCCAGTATCTTCTCCATTACTTAATTATGTTGAAGTTATTTTCTATTAGCATTTGCGCAGGTTTTAGCCAATTCCAACGTGGAAACGGAGCACAGAATCAGTGTTAATCTTTCTATACTCTCTAACGAGACCATATTTTGATTGTGCAGATTGTGCCTGAAGTTGTCGATCTAAGTGTGAACACTGAGGAGCCCCATGTGGTGCCACTCAGCTTTGGCAGAAAGTTATTTCGAGTTCTGGGTTTTGCAATTGTCCTCGTAAGGTGTTCTTTAAAGCTCTTTATTGTAACTGAGAAGTCTGTCTTTACAGTAAATTTTAAGTTGGTAGTTGCCCAATCTTCTTTTGCAAAATTAATTAAAACTTTCGATTTGAAAATTATTATAATGAAAAAAAATACATTATTATAATTAAATTTTAAAAACTTCTAAAACCTATCATCATTATTCCTTATCTGTTGTTATTCGGGAAGCATCACGAAAGCTTCCGGTTGTCGATAAATCTACTACGCGAATAGGAAAATAAAATCAAAAAAAAAATTAACTACCGTATTCTTTCTAACGGAGCATACTATTTTTCGTTTCCCATAACCCGAGTCATACTGAAACGAACTTTACGGGCTATTAATCGCGAAAAATTTGAACCCGACCGATGGCCATTTCGTGAACGAACGAACTCGACCAGAAAAAAAAACTGTAAAAACTGCCGGAAGCGTAGTTAGAGTTTTTTTTTGTTGGTACGCCCGCGAGAACTTGAAGATAAGATTTATAGCACGCGATAACACTGGACCATTTATAAGTTGTGCAACGAGATCTGATAGTGTAGACGACGTCGAGACGATATCGTTTTACTCCTCCAAGCACGGAGAATAGGTCGAAACGGTTACTTTGGATGAAGAGAGAAAAAAAGGAAAGCGTGGTGATATTCTAAATTTAGAAGGGTTTCGAGAAAACGTGAAAATGACTGATTTCGATACCGTTTTTGTCTTCTTACCATTTATCTTCTTTACTGATGACTAAGACTTCTAAAACTAAAAATTTTAGGAAAAATTTTTGAAATTTCAAATTATTTTAAAATAATTGAGAGAAATAAATTCGTCCAACTCTTAAGCTAATAAAAAGTCCGTTTGGAACGTTTTACAATTTAAATTATCACCAAAGTAACCCGTTTTATTTTAATCTTGTTCATCTTAAAAGAAACTTTCGGGAACAATGAAAACCGAAACTTTTCGTTGAGAAATTTTCCTCCTAATCGTAATTTTAAAGTCGATTGAAATGGAAAGTGTTTTACGAGAGTATTATTTAACGTTTCGTTTATACAAGAATTTTTATTCGTCGTTTTCTTTTTTAATTTTATGAAGATTCTGAGGTTATTTCTGCTTTTATAGCTGTAACTAAAGCTTGTAACTAAAGGTCGTAGAGTGTCTCGTAATTGTTCTACCATGTATAAAGTTAATTACACCATAGAACGAGCAGAGGAGGTTAGCTTAGGTCCGATATCCGTCGTTAGTAATAGATATCTTGGAGCGCCTCTGTGAAAACATGATTAAGGGCTAACAGGGTAGAATACGATACGATAATAGTACTGCACGGATTCGTAGAATGTTATAAATGGAATGTTTTCCTGTAACTTGGTTACTGTAAATATTAAATTTACTTTAAATTTATATAAAATCTTGCATCTAAGTATTACTTGGGAATAAAATGAAACAAAACGAAAGAAATGGAGTACATTTTCTTGAGGAATAGGAAAAGCAGGATCTTTGGGTGCTTCTTGGTTTAAAAACCATAATAATTTAAATCTCTTTAGTGGAATGAATTGTAGCGCCTCGGCCAAAAGCGAATTCGGCTTCTACTTCTATAACATTGTAATGAATCACCTATATCTCTTTAATGGTGATGAATTGGAGAACTTCGGCCGTAGCGATCTCTGTAACATTGTAATAAATCAGTCATATCTCTATAGCGGATCATATTGTAGAGCCTCGGTCGCAAGCGATCTTGGCTTTTATCTCTATAACTTTGTAATAAATCAGCTAATATCCGTTTAACGAAGTAAATTGGAAAGCCTCGGCCGCAAGCAACCTCGGCTTCTACTTCTATAACATTGTAGTAAATCAAATAATATTTCGTTAACAGAGTAAATGTAGAGTCTCGGTCTCAAGTGAGCTTCTATCTCTACAACATTGTAATAAATCAATTGGACCACGCTATGGATCACTTGAAAGAGAAATGAATAATGTTGAGAAAAACGGGATTTTCGTTTTCATCTCTCTAAAAATACCACTCGAATCTAATCCGCAGGTCGATTTTAAAAATGTAATGGTGGTAAAATCTTGTAACATCTTGGTCACTCGTTGCGTTTTACGATTATATTTCTGTAAATCATGACATAAATTTAATCACTAAAACTAGAGACAAAATGATTCGTGTAAAAATTTTTTAAGAAAATAATAGATAATAGAATTTGATTTTGTACTTTTAAACTAGTTTTTATTTTATATAGAATTTAAGTCTAACCAGTTTCGGCCCTTGGCCATCTTCAGAGACTCTACAAATAGATTAACATTTCTCATCTTATCCATTTTACAAACAAGTTTCTTAATATTTCTTTTTGTTTTGTTAAAAAAGATCACATATCAAAGTCGAAATCAGATTATTAGTTACTAATTTACAAAATTAAAGTTTAAAAAGTTGTAAAATGAAATTAAGGACGAAGTGTTACAAGTTTACAGGTTAAAATTTAAGAACGCTCTTTTTTAACAAAAGAAATATTAAGAAACTTGGGAAAAATTCAAGAATCATCATGTGGCTTAAAAATCGACGATTTTTTTTAATCAATGTGAAATGACCCAAAAAACACGTTAAAAATAAAAAGAAAGTGCGGAAAAGTGACTAACACTAGATTAACTTCAGTTATAAAACTTCTATTATATGATAACTAACTTCAGGTTTAAAATGTCAACCTCAATTTTGACATATTTGTAATCTTCATTAAAAATCCTTTAAAATGAGTACAAACACGACATATTTATCTTCAATATTAATGAAGTTATGGTCAACTTCCGGTTAAGAATGTCAACGTCAATTTTGACATATTTGTAATCGTCGTGAAAAATCCTTTAAAATGAGTCCAAACATGATACGTTTAATTCCAATATTACTCGAGATATAAGCAACTTCCGGTTTGAAATGTCAATGTCATTTTGACATATTCTTAATTTTTATAAAATGTCTTAATATTTGTCACAAAAACAAAAATATAATAAAAAAAAAAAAAAAATTAAGGTTGGTATTAATATTTAAAAATTAAATTGCTATCTTCATTGTTGCTAACTTCGGGTTTAATGTTTTTTATTCTAACTTTTTTGTTTTTTGAGATAAGTGCGTCATCTTTGGACTCATTTTAAAGGTTTTTTAATGAAGATGACAAATATGTCAAAATTGACGTTGACGTTTCAAACCGGAAGTGATTGTATTTCCATTAATATTAAAGTTAAATATGTCGAGTTTGGACTCATTTTAAAGGATTTTTTATGAAGTTGACAAATATGTCAAAATTAAAAGTTGAAAGTTCGAACTTTTTTGTTTTTTGAGATAAATGCCTCAAATTTGGACTCACTTTAAAGGTTATTTTAGTGCTAGTGTAAAACTAGAACTAACCATTTTAGCCGTTTAGTAGGTCTGAAGACGCACGGCTAAACCCGAAACTTTCCAGTTCTAGATCTAGTGTTAGTTGTAATTTTAGTGCAATAAAAATATGCAACATAGTGATATCTTATGCTAACTAGCGCTACCTACCGCTGTCGTTTGTAAAATGGATAAGATGAGAGATGTTAATCTATTTGTAGAGTCTCTGAAGATGGCTAAGGGCCGAAACTAGTTAGACTTAAATTCTATATAAAATAAGTAGGACAGTAAATTCTAACAGGACTGCTACATCCATTGTTATGACAGTCAGCTGTTATTGTGTTTTATGCGTTCGCTGTGTATTTTTAGAGGTTATATCGTATATGTATTCATATTAACTTCAAAAGTAAATCAAATGTCTATCATATAACCTCTAAAAACACAAAACAAACGCATAGAACTTAATGACAGTTAACTGGGCGTGGCAAATAGTGTGACGTAGAGTGCGGGCAACCAACCCGTAGTGGGCTCCAAAACAACAATGGATGTGGCAGTCCTGTTAGGTTCATCTATTTTTTCTATTG